GGATGGAAAAGCATTTATCATGCAAATAGAGTGAAAAGGAAGCCAGGGTAACAATTCTTGTCAAATGAAATAGACTTTAAAACAAAGTCTGTAACAAGAGACAAAGGACACTTTATAATAATAAAGGGGACAATCCTACAAGAAGATCTAACAATTGTAAATATTTATGCACCCAACCTAGAAGCACCCAAATACATAAAGCAGCTAATTATAAACACAAGGGATGCAATTGATCTGGATACAGTAACAGTGGGGACTGTAGCATCCTACTTACATCAGCAGACAGATCATCCAAACAGAAAATCAGCAAGGAAACAGTGGCTTTGAAGGACACACTGGAGCAGATGATCTAACAGGTATATTGAGAACATTCCATCAAAAATCAGCAGGACGCACATGCTTTTCAAGTACTCATGGAACATTCTCCAGACTAGATCACATATTCAGCCACAAAACAAGTCTCAACAAATTCAAAGATTGAAGTCCTACCATGCATCTTTTCTGACCACAACTCTATGAAACAAAGTCAACAAGAAAAAAAATCTGGAAAGAACACAAATACGTGGAGGTTAAATACACACTACTAAACAATAAATGGATGAAGCAAGAAATCAAAGAGGAAATAAACACATGGAGACAAGTGGAAATGAAAATATAAGGGTCCCAAGTCTTTGGGATGTAGGAGAAGCTATTTTAAGAGGGAAGTGTAGAGCAACACAGGGCTACCACAAGCAGCAAGAAAAATCTCAAACAGTGTAACCTTACACCTAGTGGAGCTAGGAAAAGAATAAATAAAACCAAAAAGCAGAAGAGGGAAGGAAATTAGAGGAAAAATAAATGAAACAGAAATTTAAAACATAGAACAGATCAATGAAACCAGGAACTGGATTTTTGAAAAGATCAACAATATTGATAAGACTATCCCAGACTCCTCAGAAAAAGAAAAAAGAAAAAAGAAAGAGAGAGACTTAAATAAATAATCAAATCATAAATGAAAGAGGAAAAATAACAACTGACAGCACAGGATAACAAAAGATTATAGGAGAACAGGATGTAAATGCTCTGCCAACAAGTTGGGCAACCTAGAAGAAATGGGTACATTCCTAGAAACATATACGCTACCAAACCTGAATCAGAAAGAAATGGAAGATTTGAACAGATCAATTACTAGCAATTAAACGGAATCAGTCATCAAAAAACTTCCAACAAACAAAAGTCCAGGACTAGAAAGCTTCATAGGCAAATTCTACCAAACATTTACATTTAAAATTTTTTTAATGTTTATTAATTTTAAAAAAATTTTTTTTATTTATTTCTAGGAGAGAGAGAGAGAGAGAGAGAGACAGCGTGAGCAGGGGAGGGTCAGAGAGAGAGGGAGACGCAGACTCTGAAACAGGCTCCAGGCTCTGAGCTGGCAGTCAGCACAGAGCCCGACGCGGGGCTCGAACCCACGAACCGCGAGATCATGACCTAAGCTAAAGTCAGACGCTTAACCGACTAAGCCACCCAGGTGCCCCAATGTTTATTCATTTTTGAGAGAGAGAGCGAGAGCGAGCGAGTGAGCATGAGTGGGGAGGGGCAGAGAGAGAGGGAGACACAGAATCTGGGCAGGCTCCAGGCTGTCAGCACAGAGCCTGATGCGGGGCTCAAACTCACAGCCTGTGAGATTCTGACCTGAGCCAAAGTCGGTCATTTAACTGACTGAGCCACCAGGCACCCCCATTTAAAATTTTTAAATATTTATTTATTTTTGAAAGAGAGACAGAGCACGAATGGGGGAGGGGCAGGGAGAGGGAGACACAGAATCCGAAGCAGGCTCCAGGCTCCGAGCTGTCAACACAGAGCCAGATGTGAGGCTCAAAGTCATGCACTATGAGATCATGACCTGAGCCGATGCCAGATCTTTAACCCACTGAGCCACCCAGGAGCCCCTAATTCTACCAAACATTTAAAGAAGAGTTAATATCTGTTCTTCTCAAACTATTCCAAAATATAGAAGAGGAAAGAAAGCTTCCAAATTCATTCTGTGAAGCCAGTATCACCCTGATACCAAAAACCAGAAAAATACACCCTAAAAATTAAAAAAGAACTCAGGTCAATATCCATGAGGAACATGGATGCAAAGTCCTGACCAAAAATAATGAAATTCAAGCAAACTGAATTCACCAATACATTAAAATATTATCCACCATGATCAAGTGGGATTTATTCCTGGGATGGAGCAGTGATTTAATATTTACAAATCAGTCAACATGATACATCACATCAATAAGAGAAGGGATAGAAACTATACGATCCTTTCAGTAGATGTGGAAAAAGCATTTGACAAAGTACAACATCCGTTCATGACAAAAACACTCAACAAAGTAGGGTTAGAGGGAAAGTATCTCAACGTAATAAAGGCCATATATGAAGAACCCACAGCAAACATCATCTCTTTAATGGGGAAAACAGTTTTCCCCCTAAGATCAGGAACAAGACAAGTATGTCCACTCTCACCACTTTTATTCAACATAGCACTGGAAGTCCTAGTGACAGCAATCAGACAAGAATTAAAGGCATCTAAATTGGCAAAGAAGAAGTAAAAATTTACTATTTTTGGTGACATGACGCTGTATATAGAAAACTCGAAAGATTCCGCCAAAAAATTCTACAACGAATACATGAATTCAGTAAAGTCACAGGATACAAAATCGACATACAGGAATCCACTGCATTTTTATACACTAATGATGAAGCAACAGAAAGAGAAATTAAGAAAACAGTCCCATTTACAATTGCACAAAAATAAGACAATGCCTAGGAATAAACTTAACCAAACAGGTGAAAGATCTATATTCTGCAAACTGTAGAACACTGATGAAAAAAATTAAAGATGACACAAACAAACAGAAAGATGTTCCATGCTCCTGGATTGGGAGAATAAATATTGTTAAGATGTCCATCCTGCCAAAAGCAATCCACATACTTAATGCCATCCCATGAAAATACCGACAGCATTTCTCACAGGACTAGAACAAAGAATCCCGAAAATGTGTATGGAAGCACAACAGACTCCAAAGAGCCAAAGAGATCTTGAATAAGAAGACAAGAAGTGTAAGTATTACAATCCCAGACTTCAAGACCTACAACGAAGCTGTAGTAATCAAAATAGGGTGGTGCTACAGTCAAGCAGACACCCAGATCAATGGAACAGAAGAGAGAGCCTAGAAGTGAAACCACAATGACATGGTCAATTAGTCTTCAACAAAAGAAAAAGACAGTTTCTTCAACAAACAGTGCTGGGAAAGCCAGACAGCTACAGGCAGAAGAATAAAACTGAACCACTTTCTTACACCATGCACAAAAATAACACTCAAAATGGATTAAAGACCCAAATGTGAGGCCTAAAACCTAAATCCTTGAAGAGAGAAGAGGCAGTTATGTCTCTGACATCAGCTGTAGCAACATTTTTCTAGACATGTCTCTTGAGGCCAGGGAAACAGAAGCAAAAATAAACTATTTGGGACCACATCAAAATAAAAAAAGCTTCTGCACAGCAAAGGAAACAGTCAACAAAACTAAAAGACAACTTACTGAATGCACAAAGATACTCACAAATGACAGATCTGATAAAAGGTTAGTACTCAAAATATATAAATAACTCGTACAACTCAACACCAAAAAATAATCCAATTAAAAAAATGGGCAGAAGTAATGAACAGACATTTCTATAACGAAGACATCCAGGTGGCTAATAGACCCATGAAGAGATGCTCAACGTCACTGATCATCAGGAAAATGCAAATCAAAACGCAGTGATATATTACCTCCTACCTATCAGGATGGCTCAACTCAGCAGCATAAGAAACAATAAGCATTGACAAGGATGTGGAGAGAAAGGAGCCCTCATGCACTGTGGGTGGGAATGCAGATTGGTGCAGCCGCTGTGAAAACAGTGTGGAGGCTCCCTCAAAACATTAAAAGTAGAATTACCCTATGATCAGTAATTCCAGTACTGGGTATTTACCCAAAGAAAACAAAAACATTAATTCAAAAAGCTACATGCCCCTTCCGTGTTTACTGCAGCATTATCTACAACGGCCGAGGACGGGGGCGCCCATGTTCACTGAGAGACAGATGGATGAAGACGTGGCGTGTATATACGCAATGGAATAGAAGTCCACCATAGAAGAGAATGAAACCTTGCCATTTGCTACAACATGGATGGATCTGGAGGGTTTATGATAAGCGAAAGAGGTCAGGCAGAGAAAGGCAAATACCAGACGGTTTCACTCAAATGTGGAATTTAAGAAACAAAACAAAAAAAGAGGCAAATCAAACACCAGACTCTTAACTAAAGAAAACACACTGCTGGTCACCAGAGGGGAGGTGGGTGGGGGGAGGGGTGAAATAATTGATGGGGACTCAGGGACGCACTTGTGACGATGAATACGGGGTCAGGAATACAAGTGTTCAATCACCGCCCTGTGCGCCCGAAGCTAATCTAACACTGTGGGTCAGTTATATGCAATAAAAATTTAAAAAGACATGAATTTGATAAAAAAATCAAAATAGTACAATAAGATACAACGACATATAAAATGTAAAATTAAAGCCTCTTTCCCACCCACAAGACCCCCACATTTCCCTCATATAAGGCCACCACTGGGAAGGGTTGTTTGTACATTTTCTTCTAAGACTTTCCGTTGGGAGTTCTTGAATTTAACGCATACGTGTGTTTTTATAAGCACATATATGCATACATAAGTATATAGGTTTTTATAATCTCTAAAAAGGACATTATTTTCTGAAACTTAAAAACACTTAAGATCTTAAATTGATCTAAGCAGAATTGCCAAATTGCCCTCAAAGAGGCTTTATTAATATAGGCTCACAGCAAAGGTACGTCAGCATCTCTCAGTACGTAACATTTCATCGGGTGCCACGGTAAACTTCCCCCCGCGTGCCCCGGGACGCTTAAGGCGCTCGGCAGCTCACAGGGAGGCGTGACGTCCTACCTGCCACAGCATAGGCACTCTCGAGTTAAGGAAAGACTCATATATTTCCTCTAATTCTTGGGTGAGGAGGGTTTTTCCTTTTAGCGCAAGTTGAAGGCCTTTCAAAGATTCATGCACAACAAATAAGAACGTATCAAATCGCTCAATTTCTCGGCTCAGAAAGGTTAGCAAGGCACAGTGGATAAGGGGATCATAGCCTGGATGGGAAAAGACAGAAAATTAGCTTATTCTTCAGATGAAAGGAGGCTTCATGTGGAGAAACAGAGGCTTTGGAAATGGAAAGAACGTCATGTGTGGAGACCAGGGAGTGCAACACAGTTCCTGCCAAAAATCAGGACCTATTTCAGGCTCCGTGGCCACCCTGTCTGCGCCACGACTGGGGGCTCTGCTTCTGTGGCGTGAACACAGATGCAGACATACAAAAATGAAGATGCGTGGCCGCTTGCCAATAAAGTTTTATTTGTGCAGCTCTCAAATTTGTCTCCCATATGATTTCTATGTGTCCTAAAATAGTCTTCTTCTCTCGGTTTTTCCCAACCAATAAAGAATGCGAGAACTGGGGCGCCTGGGTGGCTCAGTTGGTTAACTGAGGCTCAGGTCATGATCTCATGGTTTGTGGGTTCGAGCCCCATGTCGGGCTCTGTGCTGACAGCTCAGAGCCTGGAGCCTGTCTTCAGATTCTGTGTCTCCCTCTCTCTCTGATCCTCCCCTGCTCATGCTGTCTTTCTCTCTCTCTCTCTCTCTCTCTCTCAGAAATAAATAAAACATAAAAAAAAAAATGTGAGAGCCATTTTAGCTCTCAGGCTGTCCAGGAGTGAAGAGCAGCCGGGCCTGGCCACAGCCCAGTGCACCGACCACGGTCCCGACTCAACTGCAGCACTGATGTCACCGACCACTGCTTAGCCCAGGGCTCCCAATGAACTTTCTTTAAAGGTTTAAGGCACTGAGGCGCCTGCGGGGCTCAACTGGTTGAGCATCTCACTGGCTCAGGTCATGATCTCGCGGTGTGTGGGGCCAGGCCCCGACGTCGGGCTCTGTGCCGTCAGCTCAGAGCCCACTTCGGATCCTCTGTCCCTCCCTCTCTGCCCCTCCCCTGCTTGGGCTCTCCCAAAAATAAGTAAATGTTTACAAAAATTAAAATAATAAAGGTGTTAATGTTGAGAATTTAACTGGGCCGTTTGCCACCGCCCCACACATTGGCCCCAGGCTGGGCGGCTCTGCCTCCTCTGGGCCTGGACCTGCCCCCTTTCCGGGTCCTCAGGCTGGGGGCCGCCTGGGAGGGACCCATGTTCCAAGCTGCTCGGCAGGCAGGCAGGGCAGGGACGCCCGAGCTGCTCTGGAGCCTCAGGTGGGGCATCTCCTTCCTGCTTTGCTACAAGCTATTGCTTCACTTTTAGTCTCAGGGCCGCGACCTCCCCTCCAGCCTCTGCCCCCACAAAACCAGAAGGGGAAACAAAGCTACGGCGTCCTCTCCTTCTCTGCTCCCCGTCTCTCCGTCTCTCCGCTTGGAGAGAGGAGGGGGTGGGAGAGACTGCACTTCCCATCCCACTCGGCCTGGCCGCGTCGGCAGGGCCTTGTGGGACCAGAGTCCTTCCCGAGGACGCGCACGCCCCGTGCCTACCTTGGACGCTCTTACAAAGAGACTCCCAAATGGGGCTGGACATGAGGCACCTCAAGGTGCTGGGAGGCGCCACACATTTCTCCTTCTCCACGGACACCGGCAGCCGCTTCAGCAGGTCGGAGAGGATTTCCATCACCAGTTCGTCGTTACTCTGCTCGTGACTACAAGACATCGAGCGGTGCGGATCTGTGTGACCCAGGACAGCCCGCCACTCAGGCCTGAGGCCAAACAGAGCTTCACAACCGCGGGACTACAGTACGCACGTGACGGAGTCCATGGCATTTTCAGATGAGAAAATGGCCGAGGAGGCCGACACGGGGCTCGACCTATGAACTGTGAGATCATGACCTGAGCCAAAATCAAGAGTTGGAATAAAACTGGCCCCTTGCCCTGCTTCCAGAGGAATTGTTATTTTATTTATAATTTTAAATTTTAATTTATTTTTTATTTTAGTAGGCTCATAAGCAGCGTGGAGCCCAGTGTGGGACTTGAACTTGATGACCCTGTGATCAAGAGTCAGAAGCTTGACCGACTGAGTCACCCAGGCACCCCCTGCACTTCAGACATTTACAAGAAAATATGTAGTTGTAAAGTTTTCTTAAGATTTCCATGTCAACGATTTGCCCTCTGAACATCTGCGTGATGTGCCGACACTGAAATGAAGATGCAGGAGGCGACCTGACAGCATGTACTTGTTACAAAGAGTACTTTGCGTGTCAAGTTCCTTGGAGGATGTGCTGAGTGGGTGGTGTGGACACAGGTCTGGACGAGGCTGGGACACTGAACGAAGCTGTAAAACACTAAAGCTGGAGGAAACTGGGGCTCCCAATGTGTTACCGGGTGAGAAGGAAACGGGGCACACCCTCTGAGCTGCTGTCACTCTGACTGCTGGTACGGACTGGTCTCTCACAGCAGAGTGTCGTGCCAACAGCCTGGAAGCCACACCATGCTCACCACTCACACCTACTAGTAGGTTTCCCTACTTTGTTTTCACACCTAGGTTGTGACTTTAAAGCAACTTTAGGGGCGCCTGGGGGCTCAGTAGGTTAAGTGTCCACCTTTGCCTCAGGTCATGATCTTACAGTTCATGGGTTCAAGCCCCACACTGGGCTCTGTGCTGACAGCTCAGAGCCTGGAGCTGCTTTGGATTCTGTGTCTTTCTCCCTCTCTGCCCTTCCCCTGCTCGCACTGTGTCTCTCCCTCTCTCTCTGCTCTTCCCCTGCTTGTATTTACTCTCTCTCACTCTCTCAAAAATAATAAACATTGAAAAATAAAAAATAAATAAAGCAAGGTTACTCAGTGGAATTCATCCAAAGTAGCTTCTGATGATTCAAAAGACTTCAAAAATCACACGTCTTCTAAGGGCAAATACTTGCTACCCCTGAGGATGTGAGGGCGTTAAATCAAACGGGACGGATCTTTTAGATCCAGTCACGCAGAGAAGTTTCTAGTATGTTTTGAGCTCAGGCAGCATAACCTCAGCCTTCCAGAATGACCAGAGGGGCACAATAAACATACTCGACATTGTCAAGTCACCCGGGCACCAGCTCGTCACTCACTGTTTGCTGGAGGTACAGCGTCAGGACTCAGAGGCGAGGATGCGCAGGGAACTGAACCTGATATTTGGGGGACGGACTGGGAGACTCCCAGTTAGCTACTCCTCTTTCTCTGTGTTCACCTCTCCTGCCACATGGCAAGTAGGACACTGTCACTCAGTCAGGGGTGGGGGAGGGGGCGCGGGCGGAGGGCTCAGTTACACCTATTTCGTGTCAGTTAATGGCCTGGGAAGAGAGCACCAGAGAGTGGGCCAAAGCCAGAGTGAGAATCTAGTCAGAGACCGTTTAATATGAGTTTCGTGGTCCAAAGAGACAGAAAGGGGCTCCTGGGGGCTCAGTCAGCTGAGCGTCCGACTCTTGGTTTTGGCTCAGGTTATGGTCTCACAGTTTCGTGGGTTCGAGACCTGCGTTGGGCTCTGTGCTGACTACTTGAGATTCTCTCTCTCTCTCTCTCTCTCTCTCTCTCCCCCTCCCCTTCTCGTTCTGTTTCTGTCTCTCTCAGGAAAAAAAAACCAAACCCAACAACAAAGAGACAAGACCGAAGAGTACAGGATTCCAGTGGGTTCAGAGGTTTTAGAACTAAGTGGAAAAAAATATACGCGTCTATTAAGAGCCTGTTAGAAGGTGAAGGTCAGTTCTGTATCCTCCAGACCAAGAGGACCATTTACAGAGTTTAGAGTTTTACTCCAGGTAAATTACTAATGGGGGCGGGGGGCCCTGGGGATGGAAGATCCCGGCTGCACACAGCCATTCTCCACAAAGCCCGGAAGGAGGGGGGTGAGGCTGTGTGGGCACCTGTGTCCGGGGCGGCTGCGAAGGAGCCCGGGGAACGGTGTCTCAGAACAGCAGGAACTCACTTTGCTGGAGAGGCATTCGAGCCCTGAGCTCCTGCCGTGTCACCGTGGCCTTGACAGACATGACCTTGTTTTCTAGGTACAGGCTGAGGAGGCCTGAGAATTTGGGTTACATCTGTTACAGCTTTTTAATGTTCATTTATTTTTGAGAGAGGGAGACAGAGTGCGAGCAGGGGCGGGGCAGAGAGAGAGAGAGGGGGACACAGAATCAGAAGCAGGCTCCAGGCTCTGAGCTGTCAGCACAAAGCCCAACACGGGGCTCGAACTCACAAACCTGAGATTGTGACCTGAGCGGAAATCAAGAGTCCAATGCTTGGGGCGCCTGGGTGGCTTAGTCGGTTAAGCATCCGACTTTCACTTAGGTCATGATCTCACGGTTCGTGGGTTTGAGCCCCGCGTCGGGCTCTGTGCTGACTGCCAGCTCGGAGCCTGGAGCCTGTTTCAGTCTGTGACTCCCTCTCTCTCTGACCCTCCCCTGCTCACGCTGTCTCTCTCTCTCTCTCTCTCCTAGAAATAAATAAAACATTAAAAAAAAAAAAGAGTCCGATGCTTAACTGACTGAGCCCCCCAGGAGCCCCCACTACATCTTAGACTTATTTGTCTATAAGTTCTGCATTGTAGCTCTTCAAATTCTTAAATATTCATCTAATGCTTACTTATTTAATACGAGTATTTAATAGTTTCCGACTGACGAGTGTTGTAGTGAGCTCTCACCGGATCACGAGATGGGCGGCGGCCCCGGGTTGCAGGGCAAGGAGACTGTCCACGAGGCGTTGGCCCTCAGCCTCCCTGCTGCTCCGTACAGCCTCCGGGTGCAGCCCCAGCAGCTCTGGCGTGTCGTCGTCGGGCAAGGACTGGACGAGGCGGACGTAATCCCTCAAGCTCGCGGACTTTGGCACCGGCTGCCGTATCTGAACATTTAACCATTTGTTAGTTTTTGTCCAGAGCGGTACCTACGTTCAGTGACCCGTGAAGATACTTCTTCCCGTGAAACTTATGCAGGAGCCTCCTCTTACTTCCGGGTGGCATATTCTAGACACTTTTGTCAAAAGCTACAGAATATGCCTGTGTTTGTAAACTGCAGCTCCGCAGCACGCACAGGAATGTTCTTCTTGGGAAAAGAGAGAGAAAAAGAGAACCCACTCTGGAGGTGAGCAGCCTCTGACTGCCTGTGGCCTCGGCGAAGCGTACTCACAGGTAATGGGTGCCGTCAGGCCTGAACAGACCACCTTCCTTTGGTGAAACTATAGAAGGAACGTGACAGTGATAATCAGTCTGACCACTTGGAGGGAGGGGCAAAATGGGTGAAGATGGTCAAAAAGTATAAAATTGCAGTTAGGAAATACACAATACATTTTTTTAAATGGAAAAGCGACTTAGTGGCGTGGGAGAGCCCTTCTGGCTGTCCACCAGCTTTTCCTTCCCGCCGTTAGCCGTGACTCAGTCCTCCTCTGTGGGGCCGACCCTCAGAGCCACAGCCAATGGGGAGGAAACGGGCCTCCTAAAACCTGTCCAGTGATAATGACAGACAGGACTATCCTGGTTAAAAAGACGCCCACTGCGTCTTGGACGTGATCCCTGTGACCCGTGGGACCCGAGTCTCCTCTCCCTGAATGGACGCTGACCGTTTGGCCTGCTTCTCGCACAAGCAAGGGGACAGTCTCACTCCCAGGCCTTCTCTGGCCTTGAGAGTACATCTGGGCAGATGAAATGTCAGTTGAGAGAGTAACGGCTAATAAAAGCCGTGAAAAGTGAACACGAAAATGTTTAAATGCAGACTTTAGATAACACACCCCCATTTGGGAAACTGAGTGCTGTGGGTCAGCATGTTCTCCCACCTCATCGCTGCAGAAGCTGACGTCCTCCCTCAGCACTTCTGGGTTGCAGAACTTGTAGAGAAGGGCATTAAGACACTGCCTGTCCCAGGTGTCGGTCACCCGGCCGCCATAAGTCACTTCCCCGATCAGGTAGCGCAGTTTCTGCCACGAAACGCTGCTCTGGGTGTTCAGGGCGCTTTCCAGCACCTTCATGGCGACCTGCGGAAAGGCCCCGGTCTGTGTGGTCTCGGAAGGTGTTTGTGGCCCACTCTGAGGTGTGGACATAAAGCCAACAACTCTCCAACAGCTGCCTGTATTTCCTCTTTAAAAATATCGTTGACCCTCGCACAACCATGGGTTTGAGGTAGGTGAGTCCCCGCATATGTGAATTTTTCACCGTTCCCGTAAATGTATTTTCTGTTTCCCATGATGTTCTTAGTAACATCGTCTCTCCCGGAGCCGCCTTTATTGTAGGCATGCGGTGTATCATGCACACAACACACAATATATGTATTAATCGACTGTTCACGGGAGGCTATTAGTAAAGCTTTGGGGGCGTCAGAAGTTATACTTGGATTTTTAACCACACGGTCGGTGCCCCTCACCCCCACATTGTTCAAAGGTCACTTGTATATGGAAATAGCAAGAGGGATAAAAACATCAGGATATACATTTTCATCCATTAATTTTTTTTTGTTGTTGAACACTGATTTACTAAATCAGTTATGATTACTATTACTTTGAATAGACACCGTAAGCTGGTGGCACTAGACCTGGAAGGCACAAAGGGGTAAGCAAAGGGACGTGTCTCCTGCGACCCCTGCTCTCGCCGTCAGACCCGTCCCGGAGACCCCGCTGGCCTTGGGAGGTTTCTTGGGCCCCTTCGCACAGATGTTCTCTGCACTCCTGGCACAGACTTGACCTCATTCCTCCTTCTCTCTCCTCCCCTCCCTCCCTTTCATCTTTTTTTCTTGTTTTCTTTTCTTCCAAAAATGCTAATCCAGGGGCGCCTGGGTGACTCAGTCGGTTAAGCATCTGACTTTGGCTCAGATCATGATCTCCTGGTTTGTGGGTTCGAGCCCCGCGTGGGGCTGTGTCCTGACAGCTCGGAGCCTGGAGCCTGCTTCGGATCCTGTGTCTCCCCCTCTCTCTCTGCCCCTCCCTTGTGCATGCTCTGTCTCTCTCAAAAGTAAATAAATATTTAAAAAAAATTTAGAAAGTAAAGTTTCCTTGCTTTAAAAGAATGCTGGTCTGGCATTTCCTTTTTATTCCCTCATTCTTAGTATGGATTAACATGATTTGACGTCATTAATGTGAATTATGTCATTTTCTTATTGCCTTGACCAGAGCCTCTGAGGCAATGCTGAATGTTAATGCTCTCATCAGCACCCTGCCTGATTCTTTTTGTTTTTTTGATTCTCGATGTTAATAAAAACAAGTTCAGTGGTGGCTGTTTAAGATATTTGCTGTAGTTTTTGGTAGGCTTTCCCATATTTAAGTAGTCCCTTATAATCCCTCTATATTTTTGCGTTCATGCCAGGAATGGTGTCTGAATTCTTAACAAGAGACTTTTCCACATCTAGTGATGTGCTTATGGAAAGCGAGTTACAGATTTCCAGAGAGTGAGCCGTTCTTGTGTTCTTGGACTCCGCCCTCGGTGCTCATAGTGGATTATGCTTTTGACTCATTGCTGAAGCTTATCAGTAGTTTATATAGATTTTTACACCAAGTCCTAAGTACAATTAGCCTATATTCTTACGTATATTACGTATATTACGGTATGAAGTAGACTCATTTCCTTTGTGTTTGGGATACTTGGTGATTTTCCTTTTAATATCCTCTTTGACAAAAGACTTACCTTGCGGCATGTTTCTTAATTTCCAACTTAAGATTTTGGGGGTCAAATTTTTATTACTTCTTAGATTATGATCAGAGAATATGGCCGATACAATAATTAAAGATTTTACTCTGTGGCCATGTTCCTGGCTGAGTTTTCTAAGAGTTCCTGAGGTATATGAAAAAAAGCATGCTGTGTACTTAGGGGGATGTTGGGTTCTACCTTATTCTATGATCTTACTCTTGCTCATGAGAGCGCCCTCATTCTGAAACGGGTTTTGAAAGTCCCCCTGGTGGTGACACAGGAGCGCACACACGTGTAATCACACGCACGTGCATGTACGTGTCCCCGGTACCCGCATACACGTTTGTGCACACGCTACTGCAGGCTATAGTCTGACCTGTGTCAGGACCGAATCGTGCAATATCCGAGCGCACAAACTCCGAAGCCAGACCATCTGGGTTCGAATCCTGACCGCCAACTCCCTCAGCCTCCTGTGCGTCAACCGCAAAACGTGGTAAGACCACCGTCTTTCCAGGCTGACGCGAGGGTCAAGGTCATGAGTCCACAGAGCACTGCGAGAGGCACTCCGCAAAAGGTAACCATTCTCACACTGTTGTTTCTTCACAAACTGTGTCTCTGTCTACTATTTGGTGCTTTTTCAGATTAAATTCGTTCTTGTCTGATGTTAACATTGTCATTTCCTGCTTTTTTGCTGTTTTTATTTTCTTGGTAGTTTTAAACTTTCTTCATTAACTTAAGTGTTTTTCTTATAAATTGCACGTGCCTCCTCGGGAGGGAATGCAGTCCACTCACGTTTCACACACTCCTTCCATGTTACTTTGCTGTCATTTATTCTATTCTGTTTCTCTCCCTCTTCCTTTCTGACAGTTTGATCACATTGTGTGCCCTTTGCTTCTTTGCTAATTTAGACATCGGAGTGTTTCCAACACAGGCAACCTTTCCTTTCCTTGAATTCTTATTAAAATAACATTTCTTTTTTCCCCGCCCCTAGTGGGAACAGTTCCCACTTCCTCCTCTGCCCGCCTAGCCTCCCCCTTCCTGTCCTCAGGGGACCCCTGCCCGCCCCACATGCCCCTTCTCCCCTACCTCTGGGTTCTGCTGAGATAGAGTAGTGTTTTTAGCCTAAGAGATTTTTCTTGTCGAATGAGCCTTCCTTTTAAATAATCTGTGTTAAGCACTTAGACCACTCACCCTGAGCAGCTCATTATTATCCATGTGGATTTAACAATGTGGCGAGGCTCACAGATTTCCTGCTTTCCACACTCGCCACTCAGTCACTTCCCTTCATTGTGAGTCTCCGCCTCCACCCTGATGTAGTCGCACACAGCAACTACTGTGCTGGTACAACTGAGAGTGAGAGCCAGGCTGGGCCATGCAAGACCCGCCTGTGTAGGACACCCCCCACCTTGCACCACCTGCTGTGCAGGACAACCCCCCCCCCCCCCCCGCCCCGTTGGATCCCCTGCATGCAGCCTCCTCCGGGGCTGTGTCTGCTCTCCCACTGCCTTCTGGTGGGGACCCCTGACAAGGTCACCATGGGTCCTCACGGCTCGGAATTTCCCAGCTCGTGTCCCAGCTCGTGTCCAGATGCGTGCGGGTTTTCAATCTTGCAGACTGATCTGTTGTCATCAGTGCGGGGAAAATAAAACCGCTTTCTTCCTAGTTTTTCTCCAACTAGTCCATCTTCTCGGCCGGAATTCCTGTCTCTTCAGACATCTTAGTTGTCCCCCGTGATTTCCATCATTCTGTCATTTTCTTCTTGTGCTCCTGGTCTTTCCAGCTGTTGACTCAACTTCCCACCCTGACCACTCTCCCCTCCGACTCAGTATCTCATTTTGTTTTTAGTTCACAGCGGTCGGTGTGAGCAGAGCCCGGATTTGCTGAAGACGGTGCGTGGAGTCCAGGCACCGGTGAGCTTCTTCCCTGCACCTGTGACACGGCTGAGCACCCTGAGCCCCACCCCCCCCTGCCCTTTTAACTCTGTGATCCTGAATATCCTTTAGAGATGATGTAGATCATAATCAGAGCTGTTAAGACAAAAAAACCGAAACCCCAAAATGTGGGAGTGGGCAGAAGGGCAGGCACGTGCCTTTTCCACGTCAGACCAGGCAGCATCCGGCACCCTTTCACGGACGACCAAGTGCTCTGGGATCACCGGTTTTTGTTCAGATGTGCCTGTGGTCAGAACACTCAGAATTCCGTCAGAGTAGATACTGATTCCCGGACAGCCGATGGCTTGCGATTCCTTCTGAGAAGAGTGCTGGTGAATTCTGTTCCACAGACACGGACGGTGTCCGGCTCAGCAAGAAAATCACAAGCCAAAGGCACCGTTTTATTGCCTGCAGGGCATTTATCGGTTTGCCATGTGACTTGGCAATCGTGTTTCGTGACTATCTCTCTCGGTTTATAGAACTTCTTTCCTATATATTTAAAAGTCAGTTTTACCATCTTGAGGGTAAAGAAGGTTAAAAAGAAACTGACGTGCGCTCACTTAAAAACATCGTGTGTCTGGAATACGTGTACATGCGCGTGTGTGGCCGTGTGTATCCTCACGGTCTCTTACACCTTCCTGTCCCTTTGCTTGTTCTTTCCTGCTCTTTCCCTTTGGCCATCAGGTCTCATTGGATGCATTATTTTCGTGGTCTCATCACTGGGGCTCAGGTCCAGGTTTTGGGGAGCTGTCAGGGGCCGCAGCCTGGGTGTGGTAGGGGGGTGCACTGATGCTTGGCCCTGTGGGCTAGGGGACAGCACCAGCCAGATGGAGGGTCCCCCAGGAGCCCCTGAGCTGCCTGACTACCACCGGCTGGCTGGGCACGCCCCCCACTGGGAGGAGCCTGTGTCCAAACTCAATTTCCCAGGGAAGTAGAAGTTTCCGCTTCCTTAATGAGGGGGCTGTGCCTAAATCCAGTTTCCCACAATGTTCCCAGTTGGAACTTCTGGACCCTCAGCTCGGCACCCACAAGGTCTTTGTCTCCCACGTGCCGCACAGTGGGGGGGAAGGAGGAGGGGGAGGAGGGGGGAGGAGGAAGGAGGGAGGAGGGGGAGGAGGAAGGAGGGGAAGATTGCCTCTTCTGGACACCGGCATCTGCCTGCAGCCTCTCTGCAAAGCTCTGAAGAGCAGCGCCCCAGGAACGCCAGCCGGCGCCAAACTCACACACGCTCTGTGGGTGACACAGTGCCTGCTAACACCCCCCTTCCTGCCGTTCATCTCCCCCCAAGATGGCCTAGGATGCTTTTTAGAAAACTATCTGTAAGAGAAATGAATTCTGTATAAATGCAGAAATGAAATCCTGTGGACGGGCTGTTAAAACCAGTTTTACCAGTCAGTCCTATAAATGCGACGATCTCTTTCTAAATCAACGATAACAGGAATTCCTTGAAGAATTTTGATACACACCACCAAGCTGCCTTCCGGAAAGTTAGTGACCATTCCCAAGAGCAGCGTAAGATTGGACCTGCCTCTCTGTGTTGTCGTTGTAGCCACCGCGGTGGGGAAAGTGGCATCTCACTGTGGCTGTAACGAGCACCTCCTTGAAGACTGTACCAGTCGGTCTCCAGAGGACCGAGGTGAGGAGCACATGCATAGAAACTGACTATTAGGCCCTGGCTCACGTCATGACGGAGGCTGACGAGTTTCCAGGCGTACTTCCGGTCTAGTGGCCCAGAGCGAGCCAGTGTTTCAGTTCAAGTCTAGAGGCTGCAAGAAGCCGGTGTTCCAGCTCAGATGCAGTCAGGCAGGATGATTTCCTTCCTGTTCTGGTCAGTCCTTCAACTGATTAGATGAGGCCCACCCACATCAGGGGGAGCGATCTGCTTTACAATCTACTGGTTTCACTACGAATCCCACCCAGAAACACCCTCACAGACATACTCAAAATTACATCTGACCAAATACCTGGGGGCCTTGTGGTCCCTTCAAGTTGATGTAAAATTCACATCACAACTGCTCATGGAGTTGAACAGATTTTCGTCATCTTACTGCCTTTTTGTATTGACACCGGGAACTGCCTTTCCGTGTCCTTTGCCCACTGGGATATTTTTCTCTCTCTTGTTATCTTGCAAGGAATCTTCATACAGTTGGCATGTTAGCCACTGATGTCATATATGCGACAGGCATTTCCCCCAATATATTGTTAGGTAGCCTGTTGACTGGGTGAGGTTAGGACAAAGTGTGTTTGAGCCCATACCCTGACAGAAGCCCAGAGCACAGCCGTTTTGTGTCCATCTGGTTAGGGGCACACACTGACTTGCAGAGGGTGTGAGAGCCTAGAAGCCCAATGAGGACATGGGAGAGGTGGAGGGCGCCCATCCGGGCAGGTCTAGGTGCTGGACACCCAGAGGCAGAATCAGATTTTGCTCAGGTTTTTGGCCTCTGATCTAGCCTGGGGGAGTGTTTAAGTAGCTGTCACCACATGTTTACTTTAGCAACAGAAAAACACCCTGTGACGTGAAGCAGATAGAAGGTTCTAGAAAGAAAATAATAATAAAGACCACTAAGCTGTGCGCCTCCCCCACAGCGGGTCAGTGCAATCTCTCTTGCTTTACACAAACCCAGTACAAACCACAGACATTTTGCAGTGGTTTCTGAGTGTTGGGCACTATGCTAACTTATCTATGTTAATTAGTCGGCCTGGTCAATGCCGTTTGAAGTGGGTGTGACATTTGGCTTCCCTTCCCTTATCCTGCTTTTTTTTCTTTCTTGGCCAAGAACCAAATCCCCGAGAGTTACTGAGCTCTCCAACAGACTGAATACTTGCACATCTATAGACTGGGAGCTGTGATGTGTTTCTGGAAAAGCGGGCAGGGAGGTGCAAGCTTTTAGACACTAGCTTTTGTTACTGAGTTACAGAGTTCATTTCCTGGCCGCCAGGGAAAACACCCAGTGTCTGTGCAGACATACAGCAGGCAGTTTGTATACACCGTTATTCATTCGTTGTTACTATTTGTTTTGAAGACCTAACACTTACCTCCAAGTCTGAAGAGCTAAATTTGTAAGCAGCATTCCAGCCCAGTAGTCCATAGTTTTTTCTTTCATTGATTAGCGCATTGAAGAAACATAAGCTGAATAAAAGTTTTTTCCACCAGGGTCCACAGTCTGGTTTTTCAAAGATCTCTTCTGTCACGTCCCCACTTCCGCTGTGTCCAAACATCTGGAGTAAATTATTTTTCAGTCCGTGGGGGGTTTCCACTGCAACCTTGAAAACAGAGGTGAGTAAGGAGAGTGTGCGCAGACGCAGGCACCTGGTGGGGGGACAGAGCCGGTCAGGGGGCTGGCCGAGCGTGAACCTGCAGGACTCAGCAGCACATCAAATATCTCGTGTTGATTCTTTTTTCACTTGAAGTTTCTGTGAGAGGATTGTACCAAGATTTCCTATCGTTCCCATTCAGATTTTAAAATGAAAAGTAAACTCCGTTAGGGCGCTGGTGTGGGGGGGGCTCAGTTGGTTGGGCGTCCGACTCTTGATTTCGGCTTAGGTCAGGATCTCACAGTGGTTCGTGGGCTCGAGTCCCGCATCAGGCTCTGTGCTGATAGCGCGGGACCTGCTTGGGATTCTCTCTCTCTCCCTCTCTCTCAAAATAAATAAACTTAAAAAGAAGTAAGATAGAACTCAATTAAAAAAAAAAGAGTGTGGCTGTGGACTCTGAACCTGTGGGGTGTGTGAAATGCCCCCTGTGTGCACGTCAGACGCAAACACACAGACGCGCACATGTATGTTCATATGTACAAACTGTGTGCGTGCTCGTGTGAGGATGTGTGTGGGGCATATGGTGATCCATGGATCTGCACGCATGTGATCGGGAGGTGTCTGGGTCCAGGCTGGGACTGTTCGCAGAGCCGCTCTCGTGCCCCCTCCCCCATGTTCTGTTCCCCCTCCTGGGCAACCCAGTGGGAGCCTGATGTATCCTGAGTGCTGTTGGGGTCTGTGCCCCAGCAGGGGGACCTGAGGGGTGAACCTGGCTGGCGGCCGCCCCTCCTCCTCCCCGGATTTGCTCCGAAGCACCAATCCCTTCTGGGGAGAGAGAGGGAGGTACTGGGTTCCCTGTCCCATCCCAGAGTGGAAGCCAGTGTCATCGCCCTCACCTGCGGCCTGGGTCCTGGAAAGTGCCCAGGAGAAGGGGCTATTCTCTACCTTCCCGGCCATGTTGACCTTTTGAATACCCTTCGGTGCAGATCGCCGGCAATTTTTACCAAGAAAGTGCTGTGGATGCAGGAATGAGGAGTGTTCAGTTTTGTTCCCTGTCATGACAGATCTTTGCAGACTCGGCTTGTGTCTCTAAAATTAAGTATCTGTGCAGCCCCGTAAGGACTTGCAGATGAAGGGGAAAGGGGGAGGGAGAGCGGGAGCAGGTGGGGAGGGGAGAGACAGAGACACAGACAGACAGGGAGAGAGGAAGTGTGACCTTGGCAAAGAGAGGGAAGCCATAGTTTGCTAATTGCAGCCACGGACCTGCTCCCGAGGTAAAATGTGTGAAATGTTCTATAAGGCCGCCCTTCAGGCCCCTGTCCCCAACACTGCTCTCAAGTGCTCTCTGCGCGAGCCTTCCCAGAGAACAAGCTGGGGGTGACGGGGCAGGGAGGAGGGGCCAGAGACAGGAAAGGGCAGGGGACACAAATCCTTTGCTCTGGCTCGTAGCTGCTGCAAGTCTAACATCCCTGTTTGAGAAAATGTCCGTCAGACTGTGAGTCCTTGGAAGCGGGGGCCTTGCCTGCTGTGTTAGTGTCCCTCACGGACCACGGTGCAGGGCCGAGCGCAGAGGAGAGACTGGGCGCTACGCTCAGCACCCTCTTTGGAATTCGGAGTTAGGAACGCAAGACAGTTTGCATTCAGTGTTCCTCGGTCCCTACCAAGCTCGTTCTACACAGTCCGTACCTTTAAGCTCCTCTGAAGAACAGGAATCAGGAAAGAACCGCCCGACTTTGTGCTTAACCACAGCCTAAACTCAGGGTCTACGGTCATATCTGGGCTATGAAATCTGCAAAACAGAAGGTTAAGCAACTAGTTTAATGTAAAAAAGGTAAGCCAAGCCAACCTATTTTTAGGAATCCCAGAATCTCTATGTTTGAACTGACCTAGAGCTCATTTAAATAATCGTGGGGGTGGTGGGGGTGGGGCAGTGGGGGCGGGGTGAGGTGGCAGGGGTGGGGGTGGGGGGCAGACTCTCCCCCTCCTGCTGTGCAGGAATTGGCACAAGAACTGGGAATTCCCCGTTTTGCAAAGTAGTTTTTCCACATAAGCATAAGCTCATTGCAAAAATCCTTGGAAAAATTACAACTTAAGAACAAAATGAAGTGTCCCCCCCCCTAATCTAGAACAACTGAACGTTGAAATAAGTGACGGCGGCGACAGACTGTACTCCACCAAATAGAACAGAATCTATGATTGATATAAAGAAACCAATGAGTAAATGGAGAGAAGGAAAGCCTCTTCCTTAGGGTAGAAGATCACTTAATAAATTTAGAAGGAATTGTGGAATTAGGAAGTCGCCATTTGGCAAATAACATAGCCATAATTCAGTCAAAAATTCCCAGTGGTGGGGCGCCTGGAGGGCTCAGTTGGTTAAGCATCTGACTTCGAGTCTAACATGGGGCTCTGTGCTGACAGCACAGAGCCTGGAGCCTGCTTCCAATTCTGTGTCTCCCTCTCTCTCTGTCCCTCCCCTGTTCTCTCTCTCTCTCTCTCTCTCTTAAAAATAAACCTTAAAAAATTAAAAAAAAAAATCCCCAATGGCTGTTACAACTAGTGGGTGAAAGGTTGAGACATGCACGTGGTCTGAGAGCCCCTCTGGGGGCAGATGCCTCTTGAATCAAATGAGCAAAGGTGTCCTCACCAGGGTTGGGACAGACTGACCCTGTGTGCTCTCCACACGATGCATGGAGAAGGACACAGATCTACCGTGTGGCTTTCCTGCAACGCTGTGTAACCACAGTCTGACCTGGAGAGAATCGCAGGCAAACCAAACGGAGGGACCCAGCTCGTACTTTTCAGAACTGTCCAAGTTATGAAAGACCAAGATTGAGGAAAGATTCTAGAATGAGGAGGATTTAAGAGCCGTGACAGCTGAATGCAATGAGAAATACAGAATGAGAACCGGGATCACAGCTTTGCTTCCTTTTTTTTTTTCTGCAGTAAGAGATATTATTGGGGGCCAACAGGCTAGACAGGATTAAGCTGACCAGATCATCGGGGCAAACTGGGGTGTCTGAGGGGCCAGTGTCTGCAACGGACTTTCAGTGATTTGGAAAAGAATTACATACAAACGTATGAAAGGCATGAAGTGGCCCGTGTGAACACGTGGGCACGAGAGGGCAGAGGGGAGTTTTCCTTCTGTTCTTGCGGCTTTCTGCATGTCTGACATTGTCGGTGTGAAATGTGCGGAACAAATCAAAGCAACAAAAGCAAAACGCAAACAAACAATAAAACAACCCCACCAAACCAAAGACAACAACAGCAAAAAAATCAAACACAGAATTAGAAAATAAAAACTATACTAAAATCCCAGGGCTCTGGCCGGCTCAGTTGGTTGAGCGTCTGACTCTCCGTTTCAGCTCAGGTCACAATCTGAAGGTTTGTGAGTTCGAGCCCCATGTTGGGCTTTGTGCTAAGTGCAGAGCCTGCTTGGGATTCTATCCCTCTCTCTGCCCCTCCCCTACTTGCATTCTCTCTCTCTTTCTCAAGTTAAATAAACTTAAAAATAACAAACAGTAAAAGCCCACTAACTAGGTGTAAGTATGCTTTTTCCCTTTTCTTTCCTTTTTTTTTTTAATAAAAACATTGCACTGTACATATTGTTTATAGCCTATTTTTCCTTAGCAATATGTTGTGAACATATGTCCTTAACTCTTAAATATAAGATATTTGCTTCACATTTTCCTCTCTCACAGTAGGCTGCTGGATGACAGTCTTGACCCCTAAAGGCTTGACTTGATAAAGAAGTGTGAATTTCTCTCAATTATACTCTGATTACATAGAATGTTTTTTTTTAATGTGCTGTTAACTACTTTTATTAAGCCTCTGAAATTCTGTTCTGAAGAACATTCCTCCAATTTCTCTTTTTCTTTTTTTAAAGTTTTTTTTAAAGCTTATTTAAAATAATAAGCTTAATCTATTCATTTAATTTTGGGAGAGAGAGGATCCCAAGCAGGCTCTGCTCCGGTGCTGAGTCCAGTGCGGGGCTTGAACTCACAAGCCGTGTGATCATGACCTGAGACAAAACCAAGAATCGGATGCTCAACTGACTGAGCCACCCAGCATCCCAACTAATTTCTTTTTTTTTTAAATGATACATTGCTCCCTGCTATTCTATGGTTGTTCTCGATCTTAATGTGCTTTGGAAGGCAGACCAATGTTGTCTGGTCCCTGCCGTGTGCACAGTCTCTAGAAAGATTCCTGGCAGGCGCCCCATCAGGAGTTTTGCATGATTCAGGAATGAAGGGTGCAGCAGGAGTTTCCACGCCCTCTTCCAAGGTTCACCAGTTCTGAAATCACACAACTAAGCAACCTTCCTCTTTTAACTCTTAAGTGACAAAGTAAACACGAAAAAGAAATTACTAAGAACTCTGTAAACTGCTGAAAGCACAGGAGTCGAGAACGGAAAGAACGATCCTGGCGAAGCTTTCAGGAATTCAAGTCTGGGCAGGTAATTTAGGTTATGGCTCCTTGTGAACGTGCCCAGCCCTGGAATAGCAGCATGAGGAGGAGGGCCTCACACACCTACACGTTCACACACACACACACATACACATACACACACGCACACACGCCCATGCAGACACACACTCTCACAGGACAGCGCTGGCCACCTTACACACACATGCACACTCACACACGCTCATGCAGACAAACACACGCATGCACGCAGACACACATGCTCACAGGGCAGTGCTGGCTGCCTCACACACACGTATGCTTATGCACGCTCACACACACACTCATACTCACACACGTTCACACACGCACACATGCAGACACACACGTTCACAGGACAGCACTGGCCGCCTTATACACAAATACATGCACACTTATGCAGCCTCACACACACACTCATAGGACAGTGCCAGCCACCTTACACACATATGCACACTCACAATGCTCACACACACACACGACAGCAACCGGTTAAAAATGGACCAGTTTAAAGCCTTGCTGATTCCAACTACTTCTGCTGCCAACAGGAAGGCTGAGCTTCTAGAAGCTTCTGCCTGAGCGAGCGGGATTTTGGGAGCTCTAACCTGGACAACTGGACTGAGCCGGAGCTGGCCAGAGGAAGTGCTAACTCTGGGCCAGAAAAGAAGTCACCCCAGGGAGGTTGGACGTGAGCTGTCTGGAGTCAAGTGGCATATTAAAAACTATGGTTTGGATGCACATGTGTGCACATATGTGTGCGTATGGCATATTTTCTGCTGAGAGGGAGGGCTTGAGGGATGGGGAGAAACAATCAGGGAGGCTCTTTGCCTGGAAAACTGATGTATCCTTAGAGTAGTTCTAAAGTTCTTGGAGGAAAAAGAACCCACGTAAGAAAGCTTAATTTTCCCGGATTCAGGCCATCAGTTCTTGGATGGGTTCATTTCCACTTTCACCTCATTGCTCTTTTCTGGTTTTTTTTTGTTTTTTTTTTTTTTAGATTATTTATTTATTTTGAAGGGGCGGAGCAGAGAGAGAGGGAAAGAGAGAATCCCAAGCAGGATCCACACAGTCAGCGCAGAACCTCATGTGGGGCTCAAACTCAAAAACAGTGAGATCACGGCCTGAGGCAAAATCAAGAATCAGAGGCTGCACTGACGGTGCCCCCCCCCGTGCCCCCCCCAAACCCCTCCTCCCAGTCTTAAGGTAACTCGCCTGGCCCCTCACAAACAAAAGTAAACCTCTCACGAGTCTATGATGGAGCAGAGCCGGGGCATGAACGACGCCGCGAGGTGGCAGTTGTGGAGGAAGACCCAGTGCGCGGGGCTGCTCAGGGCCGCCATGATGGCCTCCTCGGCCTTCGCCGCCTGGCCGCGGCCCAGGGAGATCACCGTCACGTGCTGCGTTCCTCCTTTCAACTCTTGTGCAAATTTCAGGAGTGTGCTGGTGAGGTCAGTCCCTGGACAACAGTGTGGAAACGGGCACACGGTTGTGAACTCATTCCATTCCCTCATAAAAACTACACCCAGTGGTGGCGGGGTCATGGGAAAGGTGCAGACATGGGGGACACAGTGTTTGGATCGCACACGGAGTTCAGGGTTTGGTTCTGTTACTTACTAACCGGGTGGCCTCGGTTTTCTAACATACGGTGGTGACAGTACCTACAGCAGCGACCGCTGGTATCTACTCCAGCATCTAGTCGTCCCTCTCTCCTCAGCAGCTGACCCCCAGGGTTACTCAGGATGACTGTGATTCCAGCTGAAAGACTTCATTTTTTGCAGTGAGGTAAGGGCATCTAAGTGTTGTGAACAGGCCTCGGTAGCAAGGTTTGTTAAATTGTTGTGTAATACGCCCTTTCTTCCATTCTATATATTGTTTGGAGTATGGGCGTGAGGGCTGGACCCCTGGCAGCCATCCCGGGCCATGTCCTCAGTAAGTGCACAGCACCTACTGTGAGTGTGTCAGGCACAGACCGGCTGCTTTACATAAAAGTTTACAGAGGAGGCAGCCTCCACATGGATGCACTTTCCTAAAGTCATTTTTTGCCTAATAGACTCAAAGTTTGAAAATGGTAAATCCTAAAGACATATTTGATCTGGAGATGATAACAGAAGATGAAGTAAAACTTGGGGTCTGTCGGGCAAAGACCAGGAAAAAAGCATTTGGAGTTTTGAGGAAGACAAGGGCTGGGTGGATGGGACCACTTTCTGATATATATGTATATTCAACCTATTAAAACCGTTAATAAGTGCAAGGGCAATCCCAACTTTCAGATTAATAATACGTGTTTAGGAGACATTTTCTGCACAGAAAATTAGTACTGGTAAGTTTTTCCATGGTTATGAATCTAGGAAACTGCATCCTTGGTTCTTTTATAGTTTTAGAAATATCCAGTCTTCATATAATTTAAACTTTTAATCAGTCCCTTTCCCAAAATACGTAAATAAAAATAGGAAAATAATTTAAACATAAAAATACCCACCACAGAACCTACTTCTCTATATCTTTTTTTTTAAGTTTATTTATTTTGAGAGAGAGAGCACGAGTGAGCTAGCAGAGGAGGGAGGGAGGGAGAGGGAGAGGGAGAGGGAGAGGGAGAGGGAGAGAGAGAGAGAGAGAGGGAAAATCCCAAGCAGGCTTTGAGCTGTCAGTGCAGAGCCTGACGTGGGGCTTGAACTCACAAACCATGAGATCATGACCTGGGCCAAAACCAAGATTCAGCCGCTCACCTGACCCACCCCGGTGTGCCTTTCAGTGAGCCCCGCCTGGGCAGCTTACCATGGGGGTGAATGAGTATCAGTGGAGTTCTGGCATTGGATTCCTCATATGACTCTTGCAAATTAAGTCCAGTTTGGAGACTATATTCATTTCCCATTTTTTCAGCTACAAACCTTCTCACTGAATTCTTTAAATGCTCTGGCTGAAGAATTTTTATCTGAAAAAGAGCACCCACAGGAAACTCCCTGTGGTAAAATGGAACCGAACAAGGAGGTATGTTCATTATTTACGTCCTCACAGCGTCACGCTGTACTTCGTGCTGGGAACCTCTAATGGGCTAGTGGCGAGGAGACAAAGGCCACGGCTCGTGGTCCTCACGTGGCCCTTCCTCGGTACTGAGCCACTGGTGCCTCTAACTCTCACACTGTGACAGAGATCTTGCCTTGGGTGTGAAAACCCAGGTTACGGTCCCCGATTCCCTGTGGGCACTTCCTGCCCCGCTGTCCACATACCCCACCACGTGCGGATGAGGGCCAGGTGCGCACCGACTCCTCCAGTAATAACGTGAAGATAAGCAGGCCAGCAACCTGGGTACGAATCTGGAAAGAACTCCAGAGGGACCGGAAGATTTTGGAAACTGTGTCCACGTGGTGAGTAGAGGTTCAGGACCCGTTGGAAGAAATCACTGCACATCTCGGAGGAAAGAGCTTTTGTGTGAAAACTGTTTTGTATCAACCTGTGTGCTGTTTAGGGAATGGTCACGGATTCTGTCCTGAGCATTTCCAGCACCAGAGAGCCCGTCGTTTAGGGAAGGGTTGAAACTGCGCATCTGTGTGGATGTCCGAGGCCGGACCATGGGAAGCCACTGTTCCAGGTCGAGAACTGTCAAATATTGGCAAAGTCACTGCTTAACATAATATGTGTGACCGATATGTCAAATTCTGCTCTTTTCTGTTCTTCCTTGGAAAAATTAATCTTAATTTTATTTGACTTAAACGCAGCATTTATGTCTGTGTGTGTGTGTGTTTCACATTTTTAAAAAATCCCCCCCGTCTCAGAAATAAACATTAAAATTTTTTTAAAAAAAGGGTGCCTGGGTGGCTCAGTCAGTTAAGCGTCCGACTTTAGCTCAGGTCATGATCACACGGTTTGTGGGTTCGAGCCCCGCGTTGGGCTCTGTGCTGACAGCTCAGAGCCTGGAGCCTGCTTTGGATTCTGTGTCTCCTTCTCTCTCTGCCCCTCCCCTGCTCACACTCTGTCTCTCTCTCTCTCAAAAATAAATAGATATTAAAAAATTAAAAAAGAAGAACAGCAACTATTAAAAAATTTATTTATTATGGGGGTGGTGGGAGGGACAGAGAGAAGGAGAGAGAGACTCCCAAGCAGGCTCTGTGTTGTTGCCTAAACATCTAGTCAGATGTTTAACCAGCTGAGCCCCCAGGCACCCCTGTGTGTATATATTTTTAAATGAATACCGGCTGCACACAGAACTTCTGGGGTCTGAGAGCCGAGCTCGCCGAGTGCGTCTGGGTAGTGGAAGCGTTAGAATCCACCGCGGGCGGCAGACAGCGAGGTGTCCTGACACGTCACGGCCGGGGGTGTCATGGCCGGGGGTGTGTCCCCCAGACGGGAGTGTGCCCCCCCTTACTTTACTGTACGTTGGGGTTGTGCTGAACTCTTTCCTAGGCAGGCATGAGCAGTTCTGGAAAGTTCTCTCGTGTCCACGTCCCCCCATTGCGACAGCCTGCCGGGCAGGCTGTCGCAATGGGGAGCGGGGTGCTAACGGGACCCGGCCCTGTCCTGATGGGGCTCAGCGGTATCATCCTTCCCCCCTTCTTTCTAATATAGTCTCACTGTATTAGATCCCAATTCCTCTTACAGGTCAGACCCAGATTCAAATATTCTAACTCGATTTCTTTGTCCGTACACGTGACACTATCAGACCAGCTCTTCTGACTGTGGGTTTGGGAACGGGACGGTACGCTCACAACGTTTCCAGCTCACACATGGAAATCATCTGGAGCTTACTGGGAAAGCTAATGCAGCTCAGGCTTCAGAACGGAGTTAGTTTTGCTGTTAAGGTGATACATACTGGCTCCATAAAATTCAAGGAATACAAAAGGAAGAAATGGAAAAATGAAGGTCCTATTTTCTAGAAAACCACTGTTGTTTCCTGCAGCTCCTCATGTTTCCTGTGCCCGTGAAAACATCGCTCCGTCTCCCCTCTTCCCGCGAGGGCATCCGCCCGCACAGACTGGTGTCCAGCGTCTGCGTTAATACCTCTTAACTGAACCTTCGGGTTAGCCTGGTTCTCTCTCCTTGAACGCTCTGCAGTCTCGTCAGAGAGACCTCGTAGGTTCAAGTCCATTTGTCTGGGACAAATTACACTCGAAATGTTAAGAACAGGAAGGCAAAGTGAAACACGCCTCTAAGCCACATGCAGTGTTGGGGGCAGTGTCTCTCTGGAGTGAGTTTTAAAGTGTTACAAGAATAAAATCCAAGGCGGAAATCGAAGGGTTACTGGCTGTTTGCAGAAGTGGGGGGCTGAGGTGGGAGAGAGGGGGTGTTTCTCCCTCACTGAGCTAGACGGCAGGTGTGGAAATAAAAAGACGTTTTCGGGGATAAGGATGAACTCGGAACAGTGTACTTGGAAGGGGTGTAGTGTTGGCTTCCCCCCAGGAGCTCGGGTCGTATACACTGAGTTCCAATCCCGGCTCCATTAGGCGATTTCTGAGCTCTGGCTCCCTGGCTCTGTGACGTGGGGGATACAGTTGCACTGACCCCCTAAGATTATTATGAGGGTTGAATGAAATACTGTCTGTAAAACACTAAGTGGCAAGTGTTCTGAGGGGCTCACAAATGATGCCCATTTGCACCCCCAGCCCCCCAACCCCCACCCAGATTCTCAGGTGGGGTATCCCCTGTATGAACAGTGGGTGGATGGATGTGGTGCTGTTATTAGCATTACTTGTAAAATCCATGTATTTCGCTAATAACGATTTACATTTGAATGGTTTAAGTTACTGATATGGCGCCCAAAGCACTGAGAACATCACTGCTTTGTCACAGTGCATCTTACCAAAATGAGTCTTTGAAATGGAGTGAGTTTCTCCCAGGGGAAATTCCTAGGCCTGTGTATTCCTTCATCTTCATTCAGAAGTTCAGCTAGATGTAATTCAGAGAAAGACACAGAGATGGACAGTCAAACACCCTGGGTCACTAAAAAGACACCACGATGACAAGTCTGGCCTAAGGCTGCACATTTTTTTTTTTTTTAAACACGGCTGACGTCTCTTCAAGTGAACTTTATGCCCATGAGACTGGAGGCGGCCTGAGGTCACAGGTGAGGCAGACCTCAGGCCAGGGAGCCTAGGCTTGGCCAATGCTTTGTAAGCTGCTTCTGTTGCGTGCGGTTTTTCTGGTGAACGTAAACTGGTAATTCTAGATCAGAGTTACCATCTGGTTAGAGATTTCTATGCGTAATCTACCTGTAACACATATGGGGACTGAGAGTTAAGTGGAAGTGTAACAAGATTCCCAAATTTTGGAAAAACCAACTATTATACGCATCTGGTTGTTTAATCCCAGGATCCTCTGGGTCACCCAGCCTACGATAGCGGGGTGGGGGTGGGGGGGCGGGGGGGCGGCTGTTTTTCACTTCCAGCCATCCCTGATGCAGCTGTGCTTTCTACCTGCCTCCTGTCACTACTATTTCCCTTCCCCAGTGTCTAACTTTAAATGCAACTTACATGACAGAAATGGCTTTTTTTGACTAAAGAGGAAATAGGTTTGGTGATCTTAAAAAAAAAAAAGCCCATGATACACAAAAATCTAGATACAAATGGATAAATCTGTTTTTTCTCCCTAAAATAAAAAGATCTTCGCCTTACAAAACAATGACGTAAGGGGGAGGGGGAGAGCTTCTTAATCAGAACTGGAAATCAGGAGGCTATAGAAGAACGGAAAACAGACGTAATTGGCCACGCAGACATTTCACCATGGCTGGCACAGATCCCATAGATAAATCCAACAGACAGTGACCGAGTTTTAAAAATATTTGAATGAACAAGTTAGTATCCTTAACAAAACAAAGTTAATCATCTATCACACCAGTAGGGTTCCTACAGATGGCCAAAAAAGAATAACCAATTCAGTAGAAAAATGAGCCAAGTACATTAACAGGTAAGTCCAAGTGGTCCACGAACCTCTGAGAAGGTATTTAAATGTAGTGCTGCGGCAAAGGAAACAATCCATAAAACTAACAGGCAACTGACAGAATGGGAAAAGATAGTGGCAAATGACATATCAGATAAAGGGCTAGTATCCAAAATCTATAAGGAACTCACCAAACTTCACACCCAAAAAACAAACAATCCAGTGAAGAAATGGGCAGAAGATTATGAACAGACACTTCTCCAAAGAGGACATCCAGATGGCCAACAGACACATGAAACGATGCTCAGCATCCCTCATCATCAGGGAAATACAAATGAAAACCATACTGAGATACCACCTCACGCCAGTCAGAGTGGCTAAAATGAGCAAATCAGTGGACTCTAGATGCTGGCGAGGATGTGGAGAAACGGGCACCCTCCTACACTGTTGGTGGGAATGTAAACTGGTGCAGCCCCTCTGGAAAACAGTGTGGAGGTTCCTCAGGAAAAAAACACTAGAACTCCCCTATGACCCAGCAATAGCACTGCTAGGAATTTACCCAAGGGATACAGAAATGCTGAGGCATAGGGGCACATGTACCCCAATGTTCATAGCAGCACTCTCCACAATAGCTAAAACATGGAAAGAGCCTAAGTGTCCATCAACGGACGAATGGATCAAGAAGATGTGTTTTATCTATACCATGGAATACTACATGGCAATGAGAAACAATGAAATCTGGCCATGTGTAGCAACATGGATGGACCTTGAGGGTGTTATGCTGAGCGAAATAAGTCAGGCAGAGAAGGACAGATACCATATGTTTGCACGTATAGGAGGATTAGGAGGAACTTAACTGAGGAACAAGGGGGAGAAGAAGGGGGGAAAATAGTTGGGGAGAGGGAGGGAGGCAAACCATGAGAGGCTCTTGAATGCTGAGAACAAACTGAGGGCAGATGGCTGGGGTGGGGGGGGGGTTATGGGGGGAGATGGGCATGGAGGAGGTCACTTGTGGGGATGAGCACTGGGTGTTATGCGGAAACCAACTTGACAAGAAACTATTAAAAAAAAGAAACTTAATAAAAGAAAATAAAATCTTAAAAAAGAAAATGTAGTGCTGGCCAAGAAATCCGAAGTAAAGTACCTTGACGGTTTCAGATTGGCCAAAGTTAAGCCAAAATCAGTAGCCCTCTCGGAATAGAGGAAGTCAGTGTCTCGCTGGTGGAAACAGAAAACTACCCTGGACTTTTCAGACGAGCAAACCATTAACAGAAAAATAATACAATTTCGATCCAGGAGTTCCCTTCCTGGCCTCCCGTCCCCAGGAATCGGAGCAGAGGAAATGCGGGTAAGGATGCGTGGGTTCCCTGTGGCGGAAATCCGGAAGGACAGCGGAGAGAAGTGTGGAGGGAGACACACTAGGATGTGGGTGGAGGTCCGGGCGCGACAGGGAACAGGTGTGCTGAAGACGGCGGTTCGGGGAGCGCACCTGCCACGACCTGTAAGGCGCGTGGGCGGCGCGCGTGGGCGGCGTGGCCGCGGCCTGATTTCACGCTCAGTCACGGGCGAGGTGGGCGGCGTGGGGCCGGCATGAACTAACACGAGCCGTGCTCACAGCTGAGCTACGTCCCCCCTTGGATTTTCTCCTGAGACACCGAGCCAGGAGTGTAAGCCGCCGGTGCGCACGCGCACAACACGCTGAGCGCTCTCCTACCGTCCTCCACCGGAGCCTCTTCTGGAGGGAAGGGCGCGCTCATCAGGCCGTAGACGGCCGGACTGGTCCTGAAGGCGCTCCACTGGGCCACGTGGGACAGAAGGGACTCGCACAGCAGCGCGAACGGCTCGAGCTCGCGGCTGACGTACAGACACTGCTCCCATGCGGAGCCCGACAGCCACCCAAGGTGCCGCTGTCTGCAGGTTTCATACGCGTCTAATAGAGAAAGGGAAACGGCCGCATTAAAGTAGACGATACCCGGGGCGCCTGGGTGGCTCAGTCGGTTAAGCGTCCGACTTCGACTCAGGTCATGATCTCCCGGTTAGTGGGTTCGAGTCCCGCGTCGGACTCTGTGCTGACAGCTCGGAGCCTGGAGCTGCTTCGGATTCTGTGTCTCCTTCTCTCTCCGACCCTCCCCTGTTCACGCTGCCTGTCTCTCTCTCTTTCTCAGAAATAAATAAGACATTAAAAAAATTGTTAAAAAAATAAAAGAGACGATACCCTTGACCTTTGCATTACTCACCAAAAGCAGATGTTTAATAAATGTCTGTTGTTGAGGAAAAGTCATTTTGTGTAAAAATCAGTTATGTAAGTGGCAGCTTTTTATTGTGGTAAAAACACACGCCATTTCTCATCTTAGCCATCTCGAAGTGTACAGTTCATCGATGTTAAATACGTTCATAATGTATCTCCGGAACTTTCCCTGCAAATCTGAAACTCTGTCCCCAGGAAACAGCCCTCCCCCAACCCCTGGGCACCCCCATCGTACTTTCTGATTCTAGGATCCCAACTACTCCAGATGCCTCATGTAAGTGGTTACAGTCTTGGACTCCTTGTGACTGGCTTGTTTCACTCAGCACGATGTCCTCAAGGCTCATCCATGCTGTAGCAGGTGACAGGGTTTCCTCCTCTTCAAGACTGAATAATATTCCCTTGTACGCTTACACCATTCTGTTTATCCACTTAGCCACTGGTGGACATCTGGGTCACTTGCACCTATTGGCTGTTGTGGACAGTGCTGCCGTGAACAGAGGTGTGCAAATATCAAGCTGAGACCTTGCCTTCAATTCTTGTGGATATATATCCAGATATGGTATTGTTGGATCATATGGTACTTTTAATTTTTTGAGGAGCCTCCATACTGTCTTCCATTAAGTGTTGAACCATTTTACATCCCACCAACCGTGCACAAGGTTCTGATATCCACACATCCTTGGAGCACTTGTTATTTTCTGTTTTTCTGTTCTGTTTTGTTTTACAGTAGCTATCCTAAGGAGTGTGAGACGATATATCATTATGATCTTTTGATTTGCATTTCCTGATCATCAAGGATGTTGAACATCTTTTCATATGCTTGTTGGCCATTTGTGTATCATCTTTAGAGAAATGTCTCTTCAAGTCCTTTGCCCATTTTCAAATTGGGTTATTTGATTTTTTTGTTGTTGCATTATTGAGTTCTTTAGGTACTCTATACACTAACTCCTTATTGACATATAATTTGAAATAGTTTTTCCTACTCCATAGGTTGCCCTTTGACTCCGTTGATTGTATCCTTTGAAGTTTTTAAGTTCGATGTAGTCCTGTGTGTATTTGCCTTTATTGCCTGTGCACTGATGTCTTATCCGAGAGCTCCCTACCAGGTCCAATGTTAAAGTTTTATAGTTTTAGGTCTTATGTTTAGATCTTGAATCCATTTTGAGTTTATTTTTGTATTTGGCATAAGGATCCAATTTCATTCTTCTGCATGTGGATATCCAGTTTTCCCAGCTCCATTTGTTAAAGGGACTGTCCTTTCCTCCAATGAGTGGTCTTCTCATCCTTGTTGACGATCCTTTGGCCATATAGGTGAGGGTTGATTTCTGTTCTGTTCTCTCTGTTCTATTCCATGGGTCTGCTTCCCTGTATTTATGCCTGTACCAGACTGTTCTCATTACTGTAGCTTTATACTATGGCTTGACACTAATAAGTATGATGCCTCCAACTTTGTTTTTCTTTTTCAAAATTGTTTTGTCTATTTAGAGTCCCTGGCAATTCTACATGAATTTTAGGAAGAATTTTTCTATACTTGCAAAAAGCACCTTTGGGATTTTGTTAGGAATTGCATTGAATCTGTAGATTGCTCTGGGTTAGTATGGACACCTTAACAATATTAAGTCTGACAATCCATGAACATGGGGTTTCTTTCCATTTATTTGTGGTCTTTGATGTCTTTCAGCAATGTTTAATAGTTTTCAGTGTACACGTCTTTCACCTCTTCAGGTTTATTCCTAAATGTTTTGTTCCTTTTGATGCTATTATAAATGGTTTGTTTTCTTAATTTCCTTTTCATATTATTTGTTGTTATGTATAAAAAATCACCTGATGATGCATGTTGGTTTTGTATCTTACAACTTTGCTGTATTGGTTTACTAGCTCTGACAGGGTTTTTGTGGACATTTAAGAGTTTTCTACATATAACATCGTGTCATCTGTGAACAAAGATACTTTTACTTCTTCCTTCCCAATTGGGACATCTTTTATTTCTTTTTCTTGTCTAACGCACTGGCTAGAACTTCCATGTTAAAAATAAGTGGTAAGAGCAGGGGACATCCTTGCCTTGTTTCTGATCTTAGAGAAAAATTAGTGTTTCTGATCTTAGAGAAAAATTAGTAGAATGTTAGCTGTGGGTTTTTCCCAAATGACTTTTATTGTGTGGAGGTACTTTCCTTCTAGTCCCAGTTTGTTGAGTGTTTTTAATCCTGAAAGAGTTGAATCTTATCAAATGCTTTTTCTGCATCAGTTAAGATGGTCATGGTTTTGTCCTTCATTCTGTTAATGTGGTTATTACATTGATTGATTTTTCTTATGTCAAAACGTCCTTGCAATTCCAGGAGTAAATTGCACTTGGTCACGGTGAATAATCCTTTTGATAGGCTATTGAATTTGGTTTGCTGTATTTTGTTGAGAAATTTCACATCTATAGTCATCAGAAATATTGGTCTGTAGTTTTCTTTTCTGAAGGAATCCCTGGCTTTGGTATCAGGGTAATGCTGGTCTTCCAGAACAAGCTTCAAGTGTTCCCTCCTCAAGAGTTTCAGGAAAATTTGTGTTTATTCTTTGTTAAATGTTTGGAAGAATTTTCCAGTGCAGCCATTTGGCCTAGGCCTTTTCTTTGTGGAGAGATTTTTGCTTGCTAAATCAATCTCCTTACTTGTTATAAGTCTGTTTGAATTTTCCATTTCTTAACATGATGCAGTCTCGGTAGATTATATGTTTCCATTTCTTCTAGGTGTCCAATTTGTTGGCATATGCTCATAGTAACCCCTATGATCCTATTTTTGAGCATCAGTTTTAATGTTCCTGCTTTCATTTCTGATTTTAATTATTTGAGTCTTGTCTTATTTTCTTAGTTTATGTAGCTTAGACTATTTTAATTTTGTTGACATTTTCAAGAAGCCGGCACTAGGTTTTGTTTTCTATTTTTTAATTCTCTATTTTATTTGTGCTTCACTATTTCTTGTTTCCTTCCTTCTGCTAGCTTTGTGTTTAGTTCTTTTTAATTTTTTCCTAGTTCTTTGAGGTTTACCTGAGACCCGTTTTTTAAAAATATTTTTTAATGTTTTATTTATTTTTGAGAGAGCGAGCGAGCGAGCATGAGTGAGAGTGAGAGAGAGGGAGACAGAGAATCCAAAGCAGGCTCTGGGCTCCCAGCTGTCAGCACAGAGCTCGACATGGGGCTTTAACTCATGAACCATGAGATTGTGACCTGAGCTGAAGTCATATGCTTAACTGACTGAGCACCCAGGTGACCCGAGACCTGTTTTCTTTTTGTTGTTGTTAGTGTATGCATTTAGAGTTATAAGCTTCTCTCTTCCCATTGCTTTTGCTGTATCTCATAAGCGTTATTATATTGTGTTTTCATTTTTATTTGTCTCAAGATATTTTCTAATTTCCCATGTGACTTTTTTGACCCACTGGTTAAGAGTATGTTATTTAATATCCACATGCTTTTAGATTTTTCATGTGATATTGATTTCTAGTTTCATTCCATTGTGGCCAGAAAAGGATACTAGCTATGTTGGTCACCTTGCCTGGAGACCCACGTCTCTAACTCAAGAGAGCGGTTACCTACGTTTTGGTCAAAACCTGGAATGCTGTGGAGACATGAAAAGTCTATTTCCTGACAGAGGAAGCTACTTGTGACATGTTATTAATTTGAAAAAAAGTAGGTGTGAGTCTGTTCAGCAAAGTCGCCGTAAAGAATACACATGAGTGTTCCTATATGGATATGAATGTATGGAAAGAAGATTTATAGGGAGGAAAGCCGGTGGAAGGAAAACCCTCAAAAATACTAACAGTGATGATCTCAGGACTGTGGAGTTACAGAAGATTCACTTACTTCTTTCTGCTTCTCAGTAGATTGTACTGGTTTGCTTAATAAACACATTCTGCTTGTATCATAATTTGAAAAAAGGAAGCTATTAAATGTTGTTGTTTCTTTCAGTGCACTGGGGGTGTTTTTAGGGGTCCAAGTAGGTGTTTTTACTGCTGGCCTTGTCTTCTGGCCACAGTGAGGGGTTCGAGAGTAGCTGCCTGCCTGGGGCTGTGGTGCTTAGACCCACCCTCCTGGACAGCTGGGGTCTGGCCGAGAACTGCTGGGCGCTGAGCTGGGGGGACAGCGGTCGCTGCTCTTCTCATGGTGGCGCACAGCTACGCACATTTGCTGTTTCCTCAGATTCCCCAGATACCCCTTCTGAACATTTTGATTTTTTTGGTTTAAGATTTTGGATTATTAAAAAATTATTTTAATGTTTTTATTTATTTTTGAGAGAGAAAGAAGTGTGAGCAGGGGAGGGACAGAGAGAGGGAGACACAGAATTGGAAGCAGGCTCCAGGCTCCAAGCTGTTAGCATAGCACCTGACACGGGGCTTGAACTCATGAACCCTGAGACCACGACCTGAGCCAAAGTTGGATGTTCAACGGACTGAGTCACCCAGGTGCCCCAAGATAGAGTTATTGTTTGTTTTTCATAAGCAAAACAGTCTTAATAAACTCATAAGAACATTTACTAACTCAACAGTCATTTACCAAACATCTGCATACCAGGCTTCAGTAAAATAAAGACAAATCAAAACTGAAACAAAACTATCCAAATGGCTTGTCTTCTCAAGAGCAATTCTTTTGTATTTCCCTTCTGGCTTCTAGGCTTTGCTAATATTCTCAAAAGACTTGACGGAGGACACTCCAAACCACCCCTCTTCTCCCTTGGGGAGAACATCAGACGGCCTTTGACTGTATACTTCCTGTGACTTAAAGTTACCACACAGGACAACAATGTGTCATTGAACCATACCCTTAAAAATGGTTAAGAAGGTAAGTTCTATGTTATGTGTATTTTACCACGATTTAGGAAATAAATATATTTTAAAATGTGCAACACAGGAGGATTTGAAAAGATTGCACATTGACGTGATTTTGCTAATCGTTTTGCATAAGCTTGCTTCCCGTGGTTCAGATTTTCAAGGGATTTTCATAAGAATTTGAGGGGGACTGTGGTTAGGAGGGGGAAAGTTTTGCTTTAGGTGGTATTTAATCTGTGTGTGTGCACATGTGTGTGTGTGTGCACGTGTGTGTGTGTGTGTGTGCAAGTGTGCATGCGTGTGTCCCTAATGACCAGCACTAGGCATTCAGTGTAACAGGTTAGGATTACTATAACCATAGCAAATGCCATTCATTCATCCATTCAGCAATTATTGAGCACCAATTATATGTCCAACAGATAAGGATACAGTGATACAGCACACTGACCTGAAGCTACTTTTAGTTGAATCCACAAAGAACCATGGACTTGGAGCACCTTGAACCTCTCAGGGTTTTTCAGGGAAACATGTTTGAGATGGTTTTGTGCTGAACCCAGAGCAGGTACCTTCTACTTACTATTAAGCTTACGCGGGGGCGGCAGGCCTTTAGCTTTCGTCAGCGTGTCGGAATGTAAGAAGATGTCCCATTCGTGGTCCGGGAGGGACCCGGGGTCGTGGTGCACCGGCCGGGCCCCAGCATTATTCTGCATGATCGCGGTGCAGAGCCGGAAGGAGAAACACAGCTTGTGCTGGTTAAACAGAGCCGAGGACACCACCTGGGGAGCGGGGGGGGGGGGGGGGGGGGGGGGGGGGGGGGGGGNAGGGGGGCGGAGAACGTGAGGTGAGGCTCGCCCTCCTCCTGCACCGAGGCCCCGGGAGACGCGCAGCAAAGAAGGTCTCACCTTAAACACCTTTCTTGTCAGCACATCCGTCGCCTGCTGCAGGTGCTTCTCTAAGAGACGCTGGTCGCTCTCTAGCTCGGGCTCCCTGGGGGGGTCTGCGGCGTCGCAACCCGTTTCCAGAGGCGTGGCCGCCCTTTTCGGGGTACGCTCGGGTTCTCCGCCCCGGGGGACCACCGATCGCACGAACACTCGGCGGAACCAGTCCAGGGGGAAGCGGTACACGGGGCTGAGGCGGGCGAGCCCGGCCACCAGGAAGTAGAGCAGGGCGCCCCGTGTGGCCAGCGGCGCGAAGCGGCCCCGCAGCGCTCCGATTTCGCCTTCTGCCTTCTCTGTCGCTTTGATGCGCTCTGCAATCTCACTAGAGGCCGCTTTGGATTTCCTTAGGATGTCCACAATTTCCTCGTCATCCAGTACACGCGCTGAAGTCAAAGATGAATTTGAGTGAGTAACAAACACTGGCATGTCAGTTCATCCTTCATCCTGAAATCTTTAAGAGTTTTTTTTCCCCCAAGTTTATTTATTTATTTTGAGAGAAGGGGGGCGGGGGGGGGCGGGGAGCAGAGGGAGAGAGAGACAGAATCCCAAGCAGGCTCCTCGCTGTCAGCACAGAGCCCAATGCAGGGGTTGAACTTGCGAATTGAGAGATCATGACCTGAGCGAAGTCAGTCGCTTGACCGACTGAGCCCCCAGGGGACTCCATGTGGGATCTATTTTTAGGGGACATAATAAGGAGCTGTTCCATCAGAAGGAATGACCCGCTAAACACAGAGGATATGAAAACCAAATTTCCAGAAAACAACAAGTGCCTCATTATTTCCTGTGATATACAGGAAATATATCTATTCTACTCTATTCTATTCTATTCTATTCTATTCTATTCTATTCTATTCTATTCTATTCTATTCTATTCTACTCTACTCTACTCTACTCTACTCTACTCTACTCTATTCTATTCAGCACATACAGTTGATAATGACCAAGGGAATTGATTTCTCATTCCACTGTCAGGCTACAACTTACATTTTGAAAAAGCACTGCTCTAGAAACACAGAATAATCCTATCCTTTTCGAATATTTTGGACGATTCTCAGATTTCCATGATCGATTCTATTATTTTATGAACAAAGCGTTTGCATTTTCCCCAGGTGCTTCTGTTAATGACATGATTTATAGAGTCCTCACTATCCTGGCCACTCATCTCGGGATACGTGTTGGTTTGAAAAGAGGCCTCTTAAAATGTGGTATCTAGAACTAAACACAGCTTCAGACGAAATCTTACGGAGTGAGGGGATTATTACATTCCACACCCTAGATACCACATTCTTCTTGATTTCAGTGACGCTTTCTAAGTGATGTCTGGGACCCAGCTCTGGGCTGTCTTCCACAGTCCCCACCCCACCTGGGTTTCCCACAGTGTGTGTGGAGCACAGTAAAGATAACATATTTAGGAAGAGATAGTAAGGACAATCTTTTTACTAAAACTTGGAAAAAGGGAAGAAAAAAATGTACTGAGTTAAGGAGTCTATTTAGTTTTTTTTTTTTCAAAAACAATTTTTATTATGGCCACTATTAGGGAAATTATAAATTAGTAAAAGGTTAGTCTTTTAAAAATCTCAGAGGGGCACCTGGGTGGCTTAGTCAGTTTGAGCCCCTGACTCTCGATCTTGGCTCAGGCCATGATCTCACAGTTTGTGGGACTGAGCCCTGTGTTGGGCTCCGCACTGGCAGTGTGGAGCCTGCTTGGGATTCTCTCTCCCTCTCTCTCTCTCTCTCTGCCCCTCCCCCACCTGTGCTCTTTTTCTCTCTCAAAATAAATAAATAAACTTAAAAAAGCCCTCAGACTCTACCACAAGGATCAAGTGCTAGGAATAAGCATCAAAGGCATAATGACAACTTACACTGCGGATGTGTTTTATCATAAACAACTTTCCTTTTGTCTCATTAAATCTATCTTTTGTCCAATGTAGACAAAAGTTATAGCAAAACATGACATGTGTCATATAGTGGTTCATGAAATGGGGCATCCGGAACCCCTTGGGAGCAGATAAGCCAGTGCAGCCCCAGGAAGTGGTGATACTTTCTCTTTAGTTGTTTAGAAATTATATTGTTAAAATGTAGAGGCTGTGATTTCTTAGCAATTTCTTGTGCTGAAGAGGAAAGTCCTTTCTGCTGCTATTTTAATAAACATCATATTTTAGTGGGACATGTATAAGTCACTGGATTATGTCCTTGTCTATTTTAGGTATGAATTCTTGGGAAACCTAATCTTTAGGTCTCTACTCTAACCTGATATGCAGAACAGACATCAGATACCTAACGTAAATGGCAGAGAACAGGGAGCATCGATTGGCCTCTGTAGGATTTTTCTTGCAACTTCCACTGACTGTCTCGTGGCAAATGGCCTATGGCATAACAAGCTAACCAGAGGTGCAAACGCATTTCATTTCAGAGATAGCGTGTTTCACCTCCATTAACCTGTTCAGTGGGAACTGCAGATCTGATATTTTTGGTACCGATGCAGAATATGGCCCTTAAGGCTTTTCTTCTGTCCTCCACAGAGTTAGCAAAGGTCTCCCAATGCCAGGAAATACCTTAACTAACCTTGTACGGTCTGCAGAATGTTTAACGTTGTTTCTTCTAGCTCTTCAAGAGCCACTGCATCAAGGGATATACTCTCCAGTAACTGGAAACGTTGATTTTCTAAGTGAGGAACTTCATGAGTTAATACTGTAGACAGGAGCTGACCCTGCAGACCTTGGAATGTTATGGCGAAGTTGATCAGAGTCACAAAGTCATACACCGACGAAGGGAAATGGGGGTTGTCTGTGTCTGTGGAAATGAACAACCTGAAGTATGAGAAAGGCGCCCGTTATTCGCAGGGTCCATGGAGGGAAAACAAAGGAAACTGATTTATGAAATAATGGAAAGAAGTATTTCTCCTGGAAGTATGCAAGGTGAATTTTTAGTGCTGTTCAGCCCTGTATGCAAAATAGGCTTTCACTTTATCCTATGTGGATGTATTTGCTATTTACAATTAAAAATAAAACACAGCCACAGGTTACCTCCTGACCACAGTTGGTCTCCGCATCGGGGCAGATGAAAGAAAAGTGCTAACTACCCCGTAGGAGCCCCGACCTGCCCTTAGGGGACCGTCACCACTGTGGTGTGTGCCACGGCCAGAAAGTGACAGAGCAGGGACCTGTGGCCAGTGTGCCCTCCGCCCTCCCCCCCTCCCCCCCTCCTCACACACACAGTTCATACGTGGGCACCAGGCTGTCGATTGGGCAAAATGTAGCTTCATTCATTCCTGGGGCCGTCGCTCAGTCCGTGATTTGTATGCAGCTGTGCTCTGGAGAGCGTTTGAGGCCCTTGACAGAAAGACTTGTGTCTGATCGCCTTTAACCTCGTGCTTTTACCAATGACGGGACCCCTTTTTTGAGTGATGCCTATCCAATCCCTAGGATGGGGATACTTGTTTTGAGGAACATACTCAACTGAAGGAGGGAGGCTGGGAGGGAGGACTCCAAGCTGTAAGAGTGTGGAGGGGCCCAGGGGCCGGGGCCCCCTGACCACCAGCACCACGTGAGGACTCAGCGTGTCAGGGCCCCTGGAACGCAGGTAGGCACACCAGGCTGGGAGCCAGTGAACCCGCCTTCTAACCGCTCTTGCTGATCACCCGCTACATAACGACCTGCTGATTATGAGTTCAAGGGGAGAGTGCTCCCGCGGGAACCGCATTTGTGTAGGATTAAGTCTGACTGTATAAATCCTTTGTGAGGTTGGCTGGCAGTAGGGGGGCAGATTCCTGACGGTCCCTAACTGCCAGGAACATGGATACACCGTTCTCATTGGACCAGGCAAACACACTCTCTCTCTCTTTTCCCTCCTGATATCCAATATGGATTTTGTTTTTTAAAGGAGCAGAAGCGTATTCTGCTGAAATCAAATGTGAGGCAAACAGATCAAGGGGGAAGGGGGGGTGCCGAGTGGGGTCCAGCTTCCGGCTTGCCGGCGCTCTGCACACCTTTCTGGGGACCCCTCCTGCCCCCAGTTTTTATCAGGCACAGCGTGGAATATACTGGCTGGGAACGGCTTGATAAATACAACTCCGTTCTCTAGTCTGCGTACCGACGGGTGTGCCCGGAAACACACACAAACAAAACGTTCAACTGCAATCTCACTGCTTCCTCTGGGAGCAGCTTACCTGTACTGAAACACAGGGCCTTCTGGGGTATTTGTCTTAAAAAGTACAAACATGTGACTCAGTTTAGCTGTGAGAGACATTACCTAAAGTGGGAGCTGTCTTCATTCTCAGAGTCATCCACCCTGATGAGACACTGTCCTCTTTTCTGCTGGACACCTTTCTTCAGAATCGCCTGTAAACTTGGAGCTAACGGTTCAGGGAGGTTCTGAAAGATCCAACAGACAGGAGTAAAAAGTTCACCTTGGAACAAATAAGTCAGTTGAAAAGTCACAGCATTTAAAAATGTAAATGTAAATCTTTTTAGTATTTGAATACCAAAGGAAGCCTGATCTGAATGAATGGAACATTGAACAGTCACTGTATGTATGTATTTATTATTTTTCCCGACAAGGTTACCTGTGACTAAAACTTTTATTTATTTTTTTATCTTTTTATTAATTTTTTTTAAAACTTTTATTTTATTTTGAGACAGAGAGACACAGAGCCTGAGTGGGGGAGGGGCAGAGAGAAAGGGAATCACAGAATCTGAAGCAGGCTCCAGGCTCCGAGCTGTCAGCAGAGCCCGACACGGGGCTCGAACTCACGGACTGCAAGATCATGACCTGAGCTGAAGTCAGCCGCCCAGGCGACCCTGATTAAAGCTTTTAGTCTCCATGCTCACTGCATACCGTCTATACTGCAGCTGCACGGAATTAGGGGGTCTGTGGTCGGTGCACAGTCCATATTGCAGCTGCACAGAATTAGGGAGTCTGTGCTCAGTGCATACAGTCTATACGGCAGGGGTGCGGAATTAGGGAGCTTGGCCATTCCGTCCAAATACCTGCAAGAGGACACTCCCTCCTGTCTTCACAGCATTCTCTATGGTTTGGATATAGCTGCCGTCCTCAACGGAGAGCTCCTGAAGCCTGGACCCTTCCATCTGCCGGATCCAATTGTGCGCCTGCTTCTGCGGGTCAATCAGCAGTGGCCACTGCAGGCAGTTCGTGGTCAAGATGGCATTCTCGGTCGCGTACTGACCGAGCGGGAGCCCCTGCGAGTGCCACCGTTGGATCTGGAACGAGAGCGTGAGTAGGGGCACTCCTCCTACGCTTCCTGGCGCCTGCAGCGCCCCCTACGGGACACTGAGGGGTCCTGCGGGGCCGCTGCCTTCAGAAAAGTAAAATAATCTTGAGGACATGAATAATTTAAAACTCTGGGATACGAAATTCTGGGTAATTATTCACTCAGTTACACCTTTCTGTTCATTGGGATGGAGAGTGCCCCTCACAACAACGATGCTACGGGGGATGGACACAAAATGTGACAGGTGCCTGTTCCCAGGACGGTGGGCCCTGGTGCGGATGCCTCGCGACAACACGGCGGCTCTACCGTGCACCCACCAGCTGCCCAGCACGCGCGAGCGTCATCTCGTCGCACCTGCTCCAACAGCCCTCACTTCTCAGCAGGAGGGACTGGGCTTTGCCCGCGGTCGTGCCGTCCCAGCAAGAGGCCGACCTAGGGTTGGACTCTGCAGCTGATGCCAAGGCGGATAAACTTCATCCGGATTTCCTGGCAGTGTCAGCAGGCTGGGAGAAAAAAGTGAGGCCAGAGGAGGGAAGGACACTGGGGACATTCCAGGGCGACCCCGCGAGCCAAATAGACTTTTCAGTTTTTAAAGGAAAGAAAAAGTGTTTTGTTGAAGAACTGCATGCCCTTGATGTCTATGGAGAAGGAAACATGAGGGGGTGTGTGTGAAGAATCCTGAAAACCACAAGAGTTCGCTGATTGGGGTACAGACTGCACCCAAATACAGGCGCGAACAGAGAGTCAGCGTGGACAGAGAAATAAGCTGTGGACCTGAGTTTCTATTATTATTTTCTTTAAAGAAAACTTCCTATTCAGTAATTGCTTCTGGATTTTTAAAAATGTTTATTCATTTTTGAGACAGAGGGCGTGGGTGGGGGAGGTGCGGGAGGTGGGGGGGATAGAGGAGCCAAAGCAGGCTCTGAGCTGTCAGCACAGAGCCAGACATGGGACTCGAACTCACAAACCGCGAGTCCGTGACCTGAGCCGAAGTTGTATGCTTAACTGACTGAGCCACCCAGGCGCCCCCGTAGTTTGTATTTTAAAAAATCAATTGTGCTCCTGACTTTCATGCTTTTCCTTATTATCTTACTGAAGTTTGTAGTCCTATAGTTTCATTTTGCTAATTTTGGAATTTTAGATCAAGGAAAGTTAAGTATATTCCCTGTGGCTTCGTCTGTGTGGCATTCTAGCTGGATCCACTGTGTGAACAGCTCAGGTTTGTTTATGTATCTGTCTTGTTGGGGAGGCCACTTGGATTGTGTCTCAAGTTTTTTGCTATTGCAAATAATGCTACAGCGAACAGTCTTTTATGTTGTTTTGATCAACTTACATATGCATTTCTTTTGGGGAAACACCTAGGAATGTAGGGTCTTAGGGTATGTGGATTTTTAATACTTGTAGCTAAAGTCAGTTTTCTTTTTCTTTTTTTAAATGTTTTATATATTTCTGAGACAGAGAGAGAGAGAGAGAGAGAGAGAGAGAGAGAGAGAGACAGCGTGAGTGGGGGAGGGGCAGAGAGAGAGGGAGACACAGGATCTGAAACAGGCTCCAGGCTCTGAGCTGTCAGCACAGAGCCCGATGCAGGGCTTGAGCCCACGAACCACGAGATCATGACCTGAGCTGAAGTTGGCTGCCTAACCGACTGGGCCACCCAGGCACCCCTGAAGTCAGTTTTCTAAGATGATTTTAGCATTTTGTATTCTCACCAGCAGTGTATTGAGAATTTCTGTTACTCCAGATCCATGCTGACTCTTAATATTGTTAGTCTTTCAGATTTGAGTCCTTTGAGCTGATGTGTTGTGGTATCTCATCTTAGAGTTAACTCTAAGTATCTCAGTAATATTTTATAGTTTTGTGTCTGTAAGTTTTACACAACTTCCTGATGGGTTCCATTTTGATGCTATGATAAACGGGGTCCAAAAACCTGGGCACCCTCTTTGTGGTTGGTGTAGAGAAATTCAATCAGTTTTTGTATATTGACTTTAATCCCAGAAACTTTGAGAAACTTCACTAAACTTTTATTAATTTTCATGATATATCTACAGATTCTCTTGGATTTTCCAGGTACAGATCATCTGCAAGAATTTATATTTTTTGTTGTCTTTTTTTTCTTCTTTTCCAATCTTAGTATCCTTTACTTCTTTTTCCTACCTTCTGGCATTGTCTGGGATCTCCACTAGAGTCTTACAGATAAGGGGAGAGAGTGGGTTTGTCATGTTTCTGGTCTCAAAGGGAGAACTTTCACCAGTGCTTCATGTTTTCAATTCTGATTTCTTCTTTGAGTTATGTTTAGTTTAGAGGTGTGTTTTCTAATTTCCAGAAATATGGGGGGTTTCCAAAGAAACATTTAATTATTGACTTCTGGCTTAGATCCCTTAGTTCCCTTTACGTTTAGTATGCCAAACATACTCTTTGGCAGCTGTTGAAAAGTTTTGGTGGTGCGTTACATTGTCAATTTTGGCAGTGTCCTGTGTGTGCCTGCCCTGAATATGTGAGCTCCAGAGGGAGGCTGCAGGGTCCTGCGTGTGCCTGCTAAGTCCACTTGTTGGTTATATTGTTCAGATATTCTCTATTCTTACTGATTTTTGTGTTTTCTATGAGTTACAGGAAGAAGTGTGTTAAAATATTTCACCATGATTGTAGATTTGTCCATTTTTATCTGTAGTTCTTTTAATGTTTGCTTTATATTATTTGAGGTCTTATTTTTAGGTACAAATTCAAATTGACAAAACACTGTTGGAGAATTAAACTAACTCTTATTGTAACATAAACTTATTTAATTCAAGTAACCCCTTCCCCTTTTTTTGCCTTTAAGTCTATTTTGTCTTTTTTTGGTAACCTATGGTAAGTTTCCATTTTTTTTTTTACCATCAGTATTTATGTTTTAGATGTGTCTTTTCTAAATAACTTATGGTTTCTGTTTTGTGATTTAGTTTATATTTTTATATAGTCTTACAATCTTAGCCTTTTAGGTGGACTTTTTAGACCATTTACATCTAATGTAATTATTGATCTATTTGGGTTTAAGTTGGTTATTAGTATTATGAAAATGGGAAGCTAATATTTTCTTCTGAGACTTTTTATAGATTGGATAGTCAATTTAAGGTGGTTTATCACTGAATCAATCTAAAATTACTCTTTGGGGATCAATAAAAAAGGCATATTTCTTTTTTTTTATCCTTTCAACATAGATAAACAATAAATATTTATTGATAAATTGAAAAATGTGAGGTCTATATTTTTGGCTCTTTCTAAGAATGCTACCTGTGGTTCAATAAGTTCACCAATTTTATTAATGAAAGGGTTTCTGGGAGAGAAATTGGCTATATTTATTAGCGTAGGTCAGCAGTATTACAATGAGTAAGAGGACATTCTATGACTTTTGCCCAGAGGATGAGAAACAAGAAATGTAACTAACTGAGGCATTAGAACTATACCTAAAAAAATTGTTTTTAAGACCTGGAATAATTTTCAGTATCTTCCTTTATCAAAACAATTTGGGAAAAGATCCAAGTCAAGACAAAATGCACTTATGTGCCCCCCCTCCCAATTCAAATCAACAATAACAGCCACTTAACCGGATCATAGAAATATGTTAGTACCTCATGTTTTTGTGCCATGACTTCAATTAAAGAAAAGTTAGGAGACAAAGGAATGTTGTTTTCAGTGCAGAGAGTCTCCCATTTGTTCACAATCAACTGGCGAAATTCTGCTGTTAAGGGTCCACTGTAGACGATGCATGCGGCTGAAAGAAGTATGTCACCCCAAATTCCTTCCAACTTCTTGTCTATTTGATCGATTGTTTCTTGCCATTGAGTCTAAATGTTAAAATAAAAGTGAGTTCTTGATATTTGACATGAAATATGCTATCAGGAGACATTTTAGGTATTCACGGTTTTCCACTTGGATCCAACATTCTCATGGGTATGCTCATTAAAGTGAGTAACAGAGGACATTAGAACACCAACTGTTTTCTAAGGATAACATGAGCCCCACCCTTGGATTTGTCAATAGTGTCACATGTGTTAGGGCTGATAGCCATGTCAAATCCTTTGTGTAATAATTTTTAAAGTAACAATTCATTGTATTATTAATGATGTTCAATAATAATAGTGAGTGACATTTATCTAACAGGCATTTGACTTTGAAAATCTCATTTGACACTTCCAATACCCTGTTAAGTAAAAGTCACTGACTTCATTTTAGTAGGAGGAAGTTGAAGCTTTGGGAGGATCAGAGGAAATGATGAAACAGGAGATAAAGGAGTTCTAAAAAATGTTCTTCTCCCTGATGACATCCCCTCCCTTTCAGTCACCCTTGTTTTGTGCATTCAGCTGAGGCTGTCCTTGCACCGGACAGGGAGGGCTCATGACATAACACAGATTCTGTGGACCTCATCAGACAAGGGAACTGATGCCTTGGGAGCAAGAGGAAGTAACGTCTGATCCACGTGGTCTGTTCCCTCTGTTTCAAGACTACTTGACCAGGACTCCTTTATTTTTATCAGGAGCATCTCAGTAAAACAGACTGGACGAGAAGATAGTCTGAGGAGGTATGTGCGTGATACGACCTTCAGTGAAATACCCATCCCGGAGCTCGCCAAGCCCTGTAGGAATTGATGAAGGGGGTATAAAGCCAAAGAGAGCCATGCCTTCTCGTCTTTCAGGGTGGTGAGTAAGATGGACGCACAGTGCAGGCGCCTGGTGGCCAGTGTCTTCCTGTTTGCCAGTAGCTGCTTTTGAGCAAGGAGATCCTTGTAGGTTGCCTGCAAAACCAGCACATGCTCCTCGATCTGAAAGACAATTGTTCACTGCTGAGACTGAGTGTTATATTCTCACGTTGCCTCAAGAGCTTAAGTGTCATCTGTACACATATGGTGTGTAACCACTTCATTTTCACGTCTTGGACAGGTGATTGTGCTAACGAGAAAAATGTAGTAATTAAGTACATGATTTTGTGATACTAAAATTTCTTTATAAAATGCCACCTGCCTCAGGAGGCTTTCTTACAAGCTTAGCCCTTGAAGAGTCATCCTTTTCTGATTTATTTTTTTGCACTGAAAATGTTGTATCACATCCAGTTTCCTTCTCTAACAAAATGACCCAATTGCTTCATCCTAGATACGCTGACCAGCCTGGAGGAACGAACAAGTTTTCCAGGTAAGGCTGGGAGGATGAATTGGCTCTTAAACCATCAAGCAAAGCTGTGCTTACCAGCCGCAGTTCATAATCTATAATTTCTCCCCCATTCTAAACCTGCTCTCCTGGTGAAAATACCTAATCTTTAAAACAATACACACGCGAGCTACTCTTGGTGTGATTAATGATGTATTACTTATTCCTGGTTCACCCACAAGAATTACTCAGTTGCTTCGACTCTGATATAAAATATTGTTTTTGTTTGCTTGCTCATTCCCTTTGATTTGATTATTCTGAGAAAACACTCTTGCTACTCATGACTTAGTGAGTGAAAGGACGATTCAAGTGTACGACTTACGGATTCAATTAAACACATGAAATCTTTTTTTTTTTTTTTTTTTGCTTTGTATCATCACTTGCTTATTTTCTTTAGTTCCAGTTTAACATACAGTGTAATATTAGTTTCAGGTGTACAATATAGTGATTCAACACTTGCCTACATCAGCCGGTGCTCATCACAATAAGCGCTCTCCTAATCCCCATCTCCTATTTCCCCCATCCCCCCACTCCCTGCCCTCTGGTGACCAGCAATGTGTTCTCTGCAGTTAAGAGTCTGTTTCTTGGTTTCTCTTTCTCTCTTTTTTCTCTTTTACTTGTTTGTTTTCTTAAATTCCACATGTGAGTGAAATTAAATAGCCTTTGTCTTTCTCTGATTTATTTCACTTAGGATTATACTTTCTAGCTCCCATCCATGTCATTGCAAATGGCAAGATTTCATTCCTTTTTACTGCTGAGTAATATTTCATTGTATGTGTACACCGCATCTTCTTTATCCATTTGTCTATTGATGGACACTTAGGTTGCTTCCATATTTTGGCTATGGTAAATAACGCTGTGATAAACACAGGGTTGCATACATCTTTTTGAATTAGTGTTTTTGTATTCTTTGGGCAAATACCCAGTAGTGTATTTACTAGATCATAATATGGAAATTCTCTGTTTAATGCTTTGAGGAACCTCAATACTGTTTCCCACAGAGGCTGCACCAGTCTGCATTCCCACCAACAGTGCCTGAGGGCCCCCTTCCTCCACATCCTCACCAACACTGGTTGTTTCTTGTGTTGTTGATTTTAGCCATTCTGACAGGTGTGAGGTGACACCTGATTGTATTTTCCCTGATGATAAGTGATGTTGAGCATCCTTAAACACATGACATTTCTATTGTATGGCAACATTGTGTTCCCAAGGTAACATTTTTTAAAAAGCTTATTTATTTCTGAGAGATGAAGAGAGACAGCAGGCACACATGAATGGGGGAAGGGCAAAGAGAGGGAGGGAGAGAGTCCCAAGCATGCTATGTGCTGTCAGCACAGAGCTGGACGTATGGCTCTAACTCATAAACCATGAGATTCTACCTGAGCTGAAACCAAGAGTTGGACCCTTAATCAACTGAGCTACCCAGGTACTCCCCAAGGTAACATTTTTAATGGAAGTTTATAGGATATAATATGTTCTTGCATTATTTATTTCCCCTAAATTCCCTAGAGTTTTATGAAATATTTTTTATATTAGGGCCCAGATGAACAAGGGACCTATTTTTAAAATGGGAGACACATAATATATAACTCAGTGGGGAGAAAACCTCAGCAAAGGACTTAAAATCCATGGAGATAACTACTATGCTCACTTTAAAAATATTAAGTGTTTCCGTTAATATTTTATATACATATATACATTTCAAATATATTTGTGTAAGTTCAACAAGTTAACATAATAGAAACTTCTCATGAAGGCCATGGTTGTGACCTGGAGGGGAATGGAGAGTGTCAGTGAGTAAGGTTCTGATTGAAATTTAGAGTTTATTTTTTCTTACCCTACACTTCATAATAATTAAAACAAATGGACAATATCATAAATAAGTATTTGCTGGGTAAATGAATGATAATACAAAAAATATGTAAAAAATCATGAGCATTGTGAGAATTAAGTATGAAAATGGAAGATGTCAAGCATCGGGAATAGGTGAAAGGGAGCTCCAGTCCAAAATGGGGAGACAGGGGGCACCTGGGGGGCTCAGTCGGTTAAGTGTCCAACTTTGGCTCAGGTCATGATCTCACAGTTCATGGATTCGAGCCCTGCATCGGGCTCTGTGCTGACAGCTAACTCAGAGCCTGGAGTCTGTTTCAGATTCTGTATCTCCCTCTCTGTCTCTCTCAGAAATAAATAAAAAACAAAAAAATTCAGAATGGGGAGACAGGAGGCATCTGAGCTCACCTGCTCCTGTGGCCACATCAAGCCTATGGCCAGTATGGAGCCATTCCCCATGAAAGAAATTCAGAAACTAGCAGATGAGATGTACTTGCATCCACACAGGGAAGGCTGAGATGCTCTCACCATAACCCCCACCCCCGGCACAGTGATACACAAACAAGAGAGAACTCACAACTCCCAGCTTCTCCCTGACGGCAAAGGCTCTGAATCCAGCATCTAGGGTCTCAACTTCTAAGACTTCCCCCTGAGGGATGGGCATCCAAATAGTTAGCTCTGAAAGCCAAGAGGGCCTGCATCCATATAAGACCGCTAGACTATAGCAGACAGGTACTTTCTGACTGGTTATCCCCCCCAGGACTCAGCACAAAGGGCAGAGATAGAAATGCCTCCCAACCAGGCTTTGCTTTAAAGAGGCCTAGGAAAGAGGCTCTGGTCTGAGGGCCAGGCCTCTCTTTAGCATACATTTAGGGGCTGACTGGCTTTCTCCTGAGACAGGGAGGCCAGTAGGCACCATCTCTGCATCCTCCCTTTGGTGCACTCGAGGTCTCTGCTGTCTCCCTGGAAGGAACTTGTGCACAAAATGGCGCCCCAGACTTGGTGGCTGTGGCCCAGGGGATATACCACCCGAGCACCTGGCTCTGGTGGCCAGCCGATCTTGCGTTTGTGGGCCTCATAGAACTATAACAAACAAAGAAACATCTTAAGGGGCCAGTGCTGAGGGCTCAGATGGAGACACCTAACCCCCAAGCTGTCCCTGAAGAGAACTATTCACACAGGCTTCCAACGAGCCTCAGTGCTGACTGAGATGCTCCCCTTTGGGACACTGGCGGATCTCGGCACATGCTGAATACTGGGAGCCACTAAGGACACACGAGGCTGCCTGGGCAACTGCAGTGGTGTGCGAGACAACCAGGAGCTCGGCCTGGGCTGATGGGGCTCATCTCCTCCCCTGGACCACTCTGTCAGCACAGGGAGGGCTGGCTATTTTCGCAAATGCACAGAAACCAACACAGAGAGTCAAGGAAGATACAGAAACATAATTCCAAACTACAGAATAATAAAGCAACGGACCTGAAAAATGAAACTACAGGCTAAGGTCCTTGATGAATATAGATACAAAAATTCTCAACAAAATACTAGCAAATTGAATTAAAAATGTTTTATATCACATCAATGCAGAAGAAGCATCTGACAGAATACATTTTCATGATAAAAACTGTCAACAGACTGGGTACAAAAGGAACAAACCTCAAGATAATAAAGGGCAGTTATAGGGGCGCCTGGAGGGCCCAGTTGGTTAAGCGTCCAACTTCAGCTCAGGCTATGATCTCCCTGTTTGTGAGTTCAAGCCCTGTACCCGGCTCTGTGCTGACAGCTCAGAGCCTGGAGCTGCTTCAGATTCTGTGTCTCTGTCTCTCTCTGCCCCTCCCCCACTCATACCCTGTCTCTCTCTGTCTCTGTCGCTCTCAAAAATAAACATTAAAAAAAAAGCAGTTATGACAAACACACAGCAAACGTTACACTCAATGGTGAAAAACCGAGAGCTTTTCCCCTAAGCTCAGGAACAAGACAAGGATGTCCACTCCCTCTATTCTTACTCACTATAGTCCTGGGAGTCCCGATTAGAGCAATCAGGAAAGACAACGACACAGAAAACACCCAAATCAGAAAGGAAGAAGTAAAAATGTCACCATTTGCAGATGATATGATCTTTGTATATAGAAAATCTCAGAGACTCGACCCAAAAACTGTTAGAGCTAATCAACAATTTTAGTGGTGTTGCAAGATGTAAGGTCAACACACAGAAATTAGAGCATTTCTACACAGCAATGAAACAGCACGGTGCTGGCATAAGTAGATACACAGACGAATGGAACAGATTAGAGAGCCCAGGATCAAATCTGGCAAATAAGGTCAACTAACATTCAACAAGGGAGCCAGGAACCCCCAATGGGGAAAGTCCAGTCTCTTTAACAAATGGTGCTGGGAAAACACACAGAGCAATGAAAGCGGACTCCTGTCTTACACCACTCACAAAAATTAACTCCAAATAAACCCAAATACCATAGCACTGATACCATAAAACTCCTAGTAGAGAATCTAGGGAAGAAACTGCTTGACATGGGTCTTGGTAATGATTTGTTTTGGCTATAACACCAAAAGCACAAACAACAGAAGCAAAAATCAACCCATGGGACTACATCAAACCGAAAAGTTTCTGCGGAACAAGAAAAACAATTAACAAAATGAAACGGTAGCCTCCGGGATGGGAGAACAGTTTTGCCAACCACATGTCGGAGAAAGGCTAATCTCCGAAGACCGCCTACAGCTCAATAACAAAAAAACAAAGTATCTGATTGCAAAATGGGCAGAGGAACTCAACAGACATTTTCCCAATGAAGACATACAAAGGGCCAACAGGATAAGATGTCCAACATCATTCATCGTCAGGGAAATGCGGATCAAACAAAACCACAATGAGACCCTGCCTTGCGCCCGTTAGAATGGCCATCATCAAAAAGACAAAAGAGAACACATTTTGTGATTCCATACACATTTTAGGATTGTTTGTTCTATTTCTGTGAAAGGCACCTTGGAATTCTGACAGGGGTGGCATTCAATCTGCGGCTTGCCTTGGGTAGAGTGGACGTTTTACAATATTAGTTTTGCCTGGTCACGAGCATGGAGTATTTTGCAGTGTATTTGTGTCTTCTTCCTTTTCTTTCCTCAGTGTCTTAACAGTTTTCAGAAAACAGGGCTGTCACCTCCTTGGTTAAATGTATTCTGTAGGCATTTTATTCTTTTTGACACAACTGTAAATATGATTGTTTTCTTAATTTCTTTTCTGGATAGTTTGTTGATGGCTTATAGAAATGCAACTGATTTTTGTACATTGATTTTGCTTTTTGCATCCTTAATGGATTCATTTATTCTAATAGTTTTTTGGAGGATTCTTCGGGGATCTAAGTTAAAGGTTTGTTCATTTGCATGATCTTTTCAAAGAACCAACTTTTGGTTTCACTGATTTTCTCTTGTTTTTTGATCCTTTGTTTTGTATATCTCTGCTCTAATGTTTATTATTTCTGTTCTTCTGCTGGTTTTGGATTTAATTTGTTCTTTTCTTGTTCCTTAAAGTATAAAGTAAGGTTATTGATTTGAGATCTTTCTCCTTTTTAATATAGTTATTCACAACTGTAAAGTTCCCTCTGAGCACTGTTTTTGCTGCTTGTCATAAGTTTCGATATGTTGTGTTGTTTTGATGTGTCTCTAGATGTTTTCTTAAATTTATTTTTAATGTTTGCTTATTTTTGAGAGAGAGTGAGAGTGAACATGCACGCACGTGCAAGTGGGGGAGGGGCAGATACGGAGGAAGACATAGAATCTGAAGCAGGTTCCAGGCTCTGAGCTGTCAGCACAGAGCCTGACGTGGGGCTCGAACTCAGGAATGGTGAGATCATGACCTGAGCTGAAGTTGGCCGCTTAACCAAGTGAACCAACTGGGTGGCCCATTAACTAAATCCCCCATTTTAAAATGTTGATAACTACATTGAAATGTAGGGGTTTGGGAGAAAGACTGTTCCCTGCTGGGTGGCCATCTGCAGGGTGCCACGTCACCCACTCTCTGGATGCGCGTCCACGGGCTGGTGACCTCAGTCCTGGCTCTCATAATGATACCCCTACTTTAGCTTAAAACCAAGACATTAAGAAATAACCACGGGGTGCCTGGGTGGCTCAGTCAGTTAAGCATCTGACTTCGACTCAGGTTATGATCTCACGGTTCGTGAGTTCGAGCCCCGCGTTGGGTTCTGTGCTGACAGCTCAGAGCCTGGAGCCTGCAGATTCTGTGTCTCCCTCTCTCTCTTCTCCTCCCCTGCTCGTGCTCTGTCTCTCTCTCTCAACAATAAATAAACATTAAAAAAAAAAAAAAAGAAACAACCACGTCTTTACAAAGCAAAAGAGTAGTTGATATAAACAGGTTAAGAACACAGACTGATGCTGGTAAGTCTGTGGTAAACTGGAGTCACCAAGCTCTCCTGGGAGAAGTTCGGTGAAACACTCAATATATTACTGACACAGTAATAATCAGCAGTATTGAGTGTTTTATTATGTGACAGTGCTTTACATACAGTATCCGTGCTACTCACAGAACCATGATTAATCTCTTCACGACTCTCATTATTATCCCTGTTTTCTCCTAAACTGAGAAAACTGCTGAGCTAATGGCTCTCCCGGGTGTTTCCGTCCAGCCCACAGAGCTACTATAAGGCTAATAAGCAGTTACCATCTCACCAGCTGCAAACCTCTCTGTTTCTCAGCCAGCCTCTGCCGTGCATATCTTAGGACGCTCTGGGCTTCGGCCACCTGCATCTGCCTCGGGCCCACCAGCTGAAAGAATGTCACAATGCTAAGTGTTAAAACAGGCCACGTTCATCGTTAAAAATGTTGCTCATGCTTGACAGACATTTGTGTCATTTCTTATAATAATCTTTCCTGGAACCATGTGCACAAAAGGGATATAAAGTGACTTACTGTGGTGACACATAAAAACAAATAAAACAGCACACATGCCGCAAATACAATAACTTGGCGGGTGCACCTGCTGCCTACGTGAGCCAGCACAGTGCCTCTGGGGACAGCGGTTCTCACTGCGTGTTCTGTCCACAGAAGTCCCTCTGAGCACCATAAGTGAGAGTTACTTCTGGGACCACAGAGGGTCCCTTCCAGGTTGTTCTAGATATTTCAGAGGAAAGAGCGTACCTTCCGCACTTCGTGGTAGTTGCTCAATGCTATGATCCACTGGCATATAGAGGAACAGGCTATAGAAATGAAAGCGATCTTGTTTGGGTTGAAATCAGGTGAGAGTACAATTTTTTTCAGCTTCATGAAAGCCTAGAGGAAACACAATGCATGTATCACAAGAAAAAGACCTATTGTGCTGAGGTCTTCCCTAATCCACATTAAAATAACATATCATTTCATAGAAGAAAACTCGACTGCTCCTCAGTGGTAGAAATAAAGACATGTAGCCGTGAACGCAGTGGCCCGGCCACAGGGGAGGGAAGTCTCTGCTGGAAATATCTGGTCGTTGCTACTGTTGTCATGGGGGCTTTGCTGTGCGGCTTAAAAAGGAACTCCATTTGATTTTTAAATTTTTTTTGTTTATTTTAAGAGAGAGAGAAAGAGAGATGAGAGAGAGGAAGAGAGAGAATCCCAAGCAGGCTCTGAGCCATCAGCACAGAGCCCTACACGGGGCTCGATCCCACGAACCACGAGATCATCACCTGAGCCAACATCAAGAGTCAGACATCGAAGTGAGCCCCCCGGGCACCCCAGGAACTCCATTTTAACACAAAAATAAACCAGGTTAACTTCCTCCAGCTTGCAAGGTCTGAAGCTTCCTTCCTGTGCACCTGCGGTGTGAGTGGGTAAGACCAGCCCCCCAGCCCCTGACCCCGAGAGGGGTGTCTGCGGGGCATGGCGCCTATTTAAAGATCTGTCTGGCCAGCAGTGGCAGTGCGGCTGGGGACACCGAGGCTCAGCGAGGACACTCTCCAGCTCATCCGTGTCACGTGCCCACAGAGCCACCACATCTCCATGGTACGACCTTGTTTCAAGTTGGGCACATGCTACTTCCCGCCTACTTTGGGGGCCGTGACCAAAATGAAATCTTTCTCGGACCGACATTCCTTTTGTCTTCATTCCCAATCAGACATGTCCTCTTGGAGGACAGAGCCATTTTGCTACGTAATTTAGATGGCAGGGGGCCCATCAGCAGTTTACTACTGTGTTCCCATTATTGCTTCGAATACTGTCATGTTTTTTAACAGTTTCTTGACGGGAGCTATTATGTTAGCTTGAAAGATATACTTAAATGAAACCACAGGGAATCATTTCAGTAAGAAGGCTTCAGAGAGGGAGTGGTTGTTACATTAACGCATGAATAATATGGACATCGACAGTAAGACTCTGCTAAAAATATTCACCTTGTCCATTCGGTACCTGTATTTCCCAATGCACAGATCATCATTCTAAGGAATTAATTAACCACGGTTAACCATGCTGTTAGCTATTCGAGGTCTGTGTTACCCATGGCGTGTAAACCTTGTAACACCAGGGAACGGGCTGCTCGTGTAACCTACCATGATATCTCGTAATGTCCCTCGGAAGGGTACCCCACAAATGGTACTGAACAAATCAAAGACAGGGCTACGTGGGCGTCTGCAGGTCCGCCCACGCGTCCCCCGCACGTAAAGTCCCCGTCCGGGTGCGCCTCTGCCTCCTCGCGCCACCTGCTTCCGGAGCCGCCTTCGTACTTCCAGGTTTTTCCTACGGCAGCGACCACCGTGTGGGCCCAAGATCTCTATTCGTTTCCTGGGAGCATGTTAGCAGCTGCCACAGACTGGGTGCCTGAGAACAACGGCAATTTATTCCCTGACGTTTCTGGAGACCAGAAAGCTGACGTCCAGGTCCAGGGGGGCCAGCGCTCTCTCTGGGGGACCCGGAGGGTGGTTCTGTGCCTTGCTGCCTCCAGCCTCGGATGCCGTGGGCATTGTTCGCCTGTGGCTGCACCGGTGGCGTCTGGCTCATGTCCTGCCATCTGCTGGCCCCCTTCCTCCTCCCACAGGACCCACTGCCCAGCGGGGCCCCCGCCCGCCCGGGGCCCTGAGCCCAAGACTTGCTCAGGGCTTTGGCCCTGTTCTCAGGCTCCGTGAATCCTACAGGAAACCTACACTGTTCTGAAGGAAATCTGCTCCAGCAAAGCCCTTCACTAGGCATCCAGCCGACCTCAATTTCTTCAATTTGTGCTATGCCCCAATCTGACCCCCATCTCTTCCAGCACAAAGTAATATTTTGTGAGTGTTCAGGATGGTTTCTGGTACATGCTGTTCTATGAACATTTCTTACGCAAATAAAAATACATTTTAGGGATCTAGTTCAAGATGGTGGTGTGGGGGGCGCCTGCGTAGCTCAGTCAGTTAAGGTCTGACTTCAGCTCAGGTCATGATCTCATGGTTCATGGATTTGAGCCCTGCATTGGGCTCTGTGCTGACAGCTCAGAGACTGGAGCCTGCTTCTGATTCTCTGTCTCCCTCTTTCTCTGACCCTCCCCTGCTCACGCTGTCTCTCTCTCTCAGAAATAAATAAAAAACATTAAAAAAAATGGTGGTGTGGGAGGATCCCGCACTCATCTCCTCCTGCGGATACACTGGATCTCCAACCATGCACGGAACAGTTACCTCCAAAAGAAACCCAAATGTGACCTGAATGACTCCTATACATCAGGCGGATGTTCTCTAAACACCCTAAGATGCAATCTTGCTCTACCCTCCCCTCTTGGCATGGTGACCCACAGTTGGGAGGGAACTCACAAGCCCAAGCTTCTCTCTGAAAAGTAGCAGGTTTGAACCCCACATCTGGCACCTCAACTTTTTAAGTAAAAAAAAATTAATGTTTGTTTATTTTTGAGAGAGAGAGACAGAGAGAGACAGAGCATGAGTGGGAGAGGGGCAGAGAGAAGAAGACACAGAATCTGAAACAGGCTCCAGGCTCTAAGCTGTCAGCACACAGCCCGATGCAGGGCTTGAACTCACGAACCGTGAGATTATGACTTGCTCTGAAGTCGGAAGCTTAACCGACTGAGCCCCCCAAGTGCCCCTGGCACCTCAACATTTTAGACCTGTGCCTGAGAAAAGATCCCTGAAACACCTAGTTTTGAAAGCCCACAGGGCTTCCGTTCATGAGACCCACCAGGCCAGAGCGAACTGGGAAACTGTCCTGAGAGGGCTCGTGCAGACTCGCCCACCCTGGGGCCCAGCGCACAGAAGGGCCACCGAAAAGTTTCCAGCCTCTCAGTGAAAGAAGTCTATTTGCTACGACCTGAGAGTCAGTCTTATAATTCAATATGTAACCCCAAAAACTAGGAGAAGAAGGACGAGTGAAGTCCAAAGTTAGCAAAAGGAAGAAACAACAGAAACGAGAGCAGAAATAAATGACACAGAGACTGAAAAGAGCTGTTTTTCTCGAAAAGACAAACAGAAGTGAAAAACCTGTAGCTAACTCACCACGAAAAAAAGAGAGAGTGCCCAAAGAAGAAAACGAGAAACAAAAGAGGTATTACCACTGACGACACAGAAATACAAATGAGTCACAAGGGACTTCCATGAACACCAACAAATAGGACAATTAAAAAAAAAATGGATAAATTCCTAGAATCATGCAACTTACCAAGACTGAATCATGCAGAAATAGAAAGTCTGGACAGAATAATTATTGGTAAGGAGACTGAATCAGTGATGAAAAACCTCCCAACAAACAATCCAAGACCAGCTGGCTTCAGTGGTGAGTCCTACCAAACATTAAAGGAATTAACATCAATCCTTCTCAAAGTCTTCCAGAGAACAGAAAAAGAGGAAACACATCCAAACTCATTTTATGAGGCCAGCATTACCCTGATACCAAAACCAGACAAGGATGCCACAAAATGAAACTTATAGACCAATATCCCTGATGAACAATGATGCAAAAGTCCTCAACAAAATATTAGCAAACTGAATTCCCTCTTCCATTGAAAGTACCATAAACCATGATCAAGTGGGATTTATTCCCAAGGGCAAGGATGGTTCAAGGTCAATCAATCAATGTGATCCACCACCTTAAGAAAATGAAGATAAAAATCATATTATCGTCTCAATCCATGCAGAGGAAGCATCTGACTAACTTCAATATCCATTCACAATAAATCTCTCAACAGACTGGGCAGAGCTGGGGTATACTTCAACATAATAAAGACTGTACATTACAAGCCCCCCCTTCACATCATACTTAGCAGTGGGAAGTTGAAAGCTTTTCTTCTAAGATCAGGATGCTTACTCTCACCACTTTTATTCAACACAGTATTGGAAGTCCTAGCCAGAGCAACTAGGCAAGAAAGACATGAAAGTCATCTGAATCGGGAAAGAAGAAGGAAAACTGTCACTATTTCAGAGGACATGATTTTACATGTGGAATTCTCTAGACTCCATCAAAAAACTGTTAGAATAAATAAATTCATTATAGTTGCGAGATATGCAAGATTCAGTTGCATTTCTATACACCAACAGTGAACCATCAGAAGGAGAGATTATGAAAACAATCCCATCTGTAGTTGCATCGAAAAGGAAATATCTTGGGGTGCCTGGGTGCTCAAGTGAATATCCAGCTTCGGCTCAGGTCATGATCTCACGGTTTGTGGGGTCAAGCCCCACATTGGGCTCTGTGCTGACAGCTCAGAGCCTGGGGCCTGCTTCAGATTCTGTGTCTCCCTCTCTCTGCCTCTCCCCCTGCTCATGCTCTGTTTCAACTCTCTCTCTCTCTTTCAAAAATGAACATTAAAACAAAAGAATAAAATACCTAGAAATAAATTTAACCAAAGAGATGAAAGACCTTTCAGTACCCCAAAAACTATAAGGCACTGATAAAAGAAATTGAAGAACACACAATAAGTCAAAAGATACTTTACACTCAGCGACTGAAAGAATATTGTTAAAATGTCTGTAATACCGAAAGCAATCTACAGACCTAATGCAATTTCTATCCAAATTCCAGGAGCATTTTTCACAGAAATAGAACAAATAATCCTAAAATGTATATGGAACCACAGAAGACCCCAAGAGTCTTGAGAAAGAACAAAGCTAGAGGCATTGTGCTTCCTGGTTTTGGACATACTACAGAGCTACGGTGATCAGAAGTGTACGGGCATAACACAGACACACCACAGGCCCATGGGATGGAACAGATAGTCCAGAAATAAGCCCATGCACATGCGGTTCATTAACTTATGTTGAAGAAGCCAAGACTGTATGATGGGGGAAACGGCAACCTCTACAATAAATGATGTTGAGAAACATGTGCAAAAGCATGAAGCTGGACCCCTAGCTCACATCACACCCAGGAATAACTCAAAATGGATTAAAGACTTGGAGGTATACCTGAAGCCATAACACTTCTGGAAGAAAACACAGGTGGTGAGCTCCTTGACATCAATTTTGGCAATGATTTTAGATTTGACACCAAAAACAGGCAACAAAAGCAAAAATAAATAAATATGACTACATCAAACTAAAAACTTTCTGCAAAGTAAAGAAAAACTGTCAGCAAAATGTTAAGGCAACCTACAGAGTGGAAGAAAATATTTGCCAACCACATATGTGATAAAGGATTAATATCCAATGTATAAAAAAACCCCTCCTACAATTCAATAGCAAAAAACAAAAACAAAATGTACCAAAACCAAACAAAAACAAAAAACATAAATAAATAACCCCCCCAACCAATCTGATTAAAAAATGGGCAGAGGATCTGAATAGACATTTTTTCCAAAAGAAGACACATAGATGGCCAACAGACACATGAAAAGATGCTCAACATCACTCATCATCAGGGGAACGCAAATCAGAACCACAATGAGATACCACCTCACACTGGTCAGAATGGCTAGTATCAAAAAGATAAGATATAACAGGTGTTGGCGAGGATGTGGAGAAAGGGGAACCCTTTCCACTGTTGGTGGGAATGCAAACTGGCGTAGCCACTGTGGAAGAAAGTATGGAGGCTCCTCAATTACATTAAAAATAGAACTACCATATGATCCAGCAATTCTACTTCTAGGTATTTATCTAAAAGAAACAAAAACACGAACTTGAAAAGAGATATGTATTCCTATGTGGAATGGGAATTCCACATGGGAGCAAACTAAGTGTCCGTTGATGGATGAACAGATAAAGAAGAAATACACACACACATATATAACATGATATATAAATATATATACACACATATATGTGATATATAAACACACAGACACATATACTGTGATATACACACACGCGACATATATACACACATATGTGACATATATACATACTCATAATGTGATTATATATACACACATGTGATATATACATACATATAATGTGATATATACACATACACACATGTGATATATATACACACATATATGTGATATAAGTATATACACACATATGTGATATATACATACCACACACGTAATATATACACATACACACATGTGATATATATACACACATATATGTGATATACGTATATACACACATATGTGATATATACATAACACACACATATAATGTGATATATACATAACACATACACATAACATGATATATACACACACAGTGATATATATATACACACATACATACACATATAATGTGATACACACACACACACAACGCAGTATTAGCCATAATTAAGAAGGAAAACCTTCCAGTGTGACAACATGGCTGGGCCTTGAGGGCGTTACGGTAAGTGAAATAAGACCAAGAAAGATGACCTCATTTAGATGTGGACTCTAAAACAAAACACTGAACTTACAGAAAATGGATTGGTGGCTGTCAGAGGTGGGGGTTAGGATGCTGAAAGGGGTCAAAGGCTCCACCTGCCAGTTATAAGGTAAGTCCTGGGGAGGTAACGCACAGCACGAGGACCATAGTTAACAATACCGTGTTGTTAGAGTAGGTCTTAAAAGTTATCATCATGAGAAAAAATACTTGTGTAACTACGTGTGGGGCAGATGATACCTAGGCATACTGTGGTGCTCATTCCATGCCGGGACAAACATGGAATGCTGTATACCTGAAATCAGTACAATATCACACACCAGCTATATCTCAACTAAAAAAAATCTCGGACACTTGAATCCGCCGCTTTAATCACCCCTTGCGGTTTCCTGGTGTGGTGCCATCCACCCGGCAGACCTCCTCCACCGGGGGGCCCGTCTCTCCTTACAGCGATTCTCAGACGGAGCATTTTCCGATTTGGGGTGCGCACTGCTGGTCCCGGCGTGGGCTGACCCGCTGCGTGTGGGTGTGGGGCTGCCCCCTCATCGCTCACCTGCACCACCGCCTTCCAGGTGGAGCGCATGGGGCCAAGTTCAACACTAGGGACTAAGAACGCCTCAGTCATGCACTAATTAGGCACCAACTCTCTCACCTTGTCGGGGATGCTGTCCTTGTCCAGGTTTACCAGTTTTTTCAGGAAACCGGTTTCTGAGAGCAGCAGCTTTGCCGAGGCCCAGTTGGGTTTCTTCTGCAGAAGGATGCACACGGCGTTCATGACCATCAGCACGGGGGCGGGAGGCCGCGTATACACCCTATGGCGGGAGGGAACCCCATCAGCCTCGCGACGGAAACCACGAGGCTGTCTCAGCAGGCAGTGCCCACAGATGTCTGACAGGCACTGTCATGCGACTTCCCTTTGGGGACCTTGAAACAGTCGGGTTCCATGTATGGGTACTTTTGCTTTCAGAAGACGAAATGCACGAAACCTAAATATGCAGAGCCACCGAGAGAGAGGGTGGTTCTCAGCAGCGTGAATGCGCTCAGGGCACCGTTCCTCAGGGTCAGAACCCTCCCGTCCCATCCTGTCCCATGTCAGGTGCTAGTGACGATGTGACAGAAACCAGCCCACCCCTCCCCTTAAATATGTCGTCTGACTTCTCTTCATCCTGATCTCTAGTCTCCACTGTGAAATCACTGAAATAATACCGGGCGGGAGGGGTGCCTCCTGGGTGGTTAATAACATGATTATTAATCAGAGGTCACCTCCTGCAGTGTCTTAGGCCGCCAACAGGCCCCTGCACCAGAAACGGGAAGGGGACACTCCAGAGAGCCAGGGGTCAGGACAGTAGTCATAGGGAGCGAGTTTCGGTGAAAAGACATGAGGTGGTAGTTGCTAATCAACAGCCTTTGGGACTTGGGAACGGAAGGGCAGGTCCATCGTGGTAGTGGGTCTCCCCCCATCACTTCCCAAAAGAAGGCTGGCAACGAAGCCAGTGTTACGAGGGCAACATTGTCTACAGGGGTCACTGAGAAGGTCACCCTGCCTTAAATTTCATCATTAGAGATTCATCTTTGTTCTCTTTTATAGTGTCCTTTTAAAACAGATATTTTTCAGGACTAACTAACTAAATCATTAACACTTTGTTTAGAACTAATTTATCAGATTGCTTTTCTGAGATTCTCAGTATGAGAATGATCATTACAGAGGAACTAGCGAGAGAGAGACAAGGTCCACAGAGGAGAAATGAGAGCTCCAAAAACAAGATTTCCTCAGTTTTACCTATGTTTATTTAGTTATTTTGAGAGAGAGAGAATGACTGAGCATGAGCAGGGAAGGGGCAAAGAGAGAGGAAGCTCTATGCTGACCGACGCAGAGTTCATATTCAACGAACTGTGAGATCATGACCTGAGCTGAAAATCAAGAGTCAGACACTCAACCCAGGCGCCCCTGCCTCTTTGTAAAGCAAACATAATAGGAAAAGAGTCAGGTTGACATTAAATGTATTATCTATAAAATTTTAATATAAATTAAAGAGAAAATAGATTGAATTGACTATAGTTTCACCTACATGTCACCTTCCAGAAACAAATATCTGATTCCAAGAGAGACCTACTGGCACAGCAATCTGCTGTAAAGCCTCATTACTACAGCAGTAAGTTGCTGCAATCTGCATTTTCTACTGCCTCTCTCTCTTTTTAGTGGCTAACGCTGCTAGTCGGCAAAGGTCAGTGCTGTCACGGGGTCCTCATTTGCACACTGCTACTCCCAGAACGTACTGGACTGGGGTCCGCTGGGCGCCTCTGCCGCACATCCCAAGAACAGCAACAATGATCATATCACAAGGCTTCCCGCTTACCTGGCACTGGGATTGAAGAACCGTACCGTAGCCACATCACAAGGGAGAATCTTAGACAAGCACCCCCACCCCCTGCCAAGGCACGAGGAAGGAGTCCCAAGGAGGCTGGTTTGCGGTACTGGGGGAGGGGGAGGGACTGATGGATCCAAGGACACCTGTCAGCACTGAAGTGACTTGAGCACCTGCCTCAAGCCTGCCTCAAGCCAGACTCCGTTCTGGGCACTTCACATGTTTCAACTCATCCAACCTGTCATTGCCGCTGCATAAAAGGGAAACTGAGGCACAGAGCAGCCCTATAAGTAGAAAGCCAGGGTCCCAACCCAGGAAGCCTGGCACTAGAGCTGTGTGCTTAGCCCCCTTCGCACCTGCCCCGAGAACCCGGCTACCAGTAAATTGGGCTGGGCTCCTTTGGGAATCTCTGCCAGGGAAAAGCCAAGCGAACAGGACTTCTGGGACACGGCCAGAAGGTGCAGGGGGTGACACTGGGGAGGCCGGGGCATGGATACTGTCCCACCTGACCCAGGCTACCCCCTTGCGCTCTTAGGCCACAGCCATCCAGGCGTTGGGTAACCCAGGAGGCACATTTCTGCCCCAGACTCTGGTGCTTCCCATCCCTCCTGCAGACACCCGCCTGGTTCACGTACAAATCTCATGCAGTTCTCCGCTTCCGGGCCACCGCGCCGCCCAGACCACCGCACCCTCAGCGCCCAGACCGGGCCGGGCTGCAGGGCACTGAGCACGTCTGCAGAGTGAACCTGTGAGAATGCATTCCCGGGAGCGAGGCCAGAGAGTTCAACGAAGTCAAGAGTGTCTTTTGCTCTGCTTGTCTCTCCCTCCCTCCCTCCCTCTGTGTCTGACTGTCAGCTATTGGGATGAAAGTCAGCTGCAGGGATGAATGTCAGCCGCGGGGATAACTGTCAGCTGCGGGGATGAATGTCAACTGCAGGGATGAATGTCAGCCATGGGGATGACTGTCAGCCGTGGGGACCAGCCTCCCGGCACCGTGTGCTCTTCTCTCCGCAGTCACACGGATTACAGGCCCCTCATCTGTTGTCTCTCTTCTCATCCCCAGAGTTAATAATGCTGTAAATATCACAGTGGATTGGTTCACTCCTGCTTTCTTAATTGAAATACTACTTTACCTGGGGCACCTGGGTGGCTCAGTCGGTCAAGCATCCGACTTCAGCTCAGGCCATGATCTCGCTGTTAGTGGGTTCAAGCCCTGCACTGGGCTCTGTGCTGACAGCTCAGAGCCTGGAGCCTGCTTCTGATTCTGTGTCTCTCTCTGTGGGCCCCCCTCCCCTGCCCACACTCTCTCTGTTTCTTAAAAATAAATAAACATTAAAAAAATAAACTACATGTTCTACTTTTCCATAAATAATGGGAAATGGAAGCCATTGGAGCAGACAGCATTGCTGTCTGCTGGCCACAGGCCTCTCTGGGAGCATCTCAGCCGAAGATCGGAACTAGAGACGTAGGGTCAGGTTTCAGACCTCGGCGCTTCTCATTTCTCCTCATATGACCCTTTGCATTTGTCTTTCCTGGCCTTCCCGCATGCCAGGCGGCTGGGCCTGGACACAGGGCAGTGGGCCCCAGGGGCACCTCGGGGCCCCGACCAGCGCTGCTGCATCAGGCGGGGGCCTCCTGGGCACGGGCAGTGGCCCCACAAGCGCCAACTCCCCACCTGTGGGACCGCGTCCACGGCACACAACGCCCCGGGTGCACATTTAGGTCTCAGACGGGGATTCGGTTCATGACCAATAGTGCATCATGCAGTTTACCTGGCAGTCAGTTTCCCAAGGCGACAAAAGATACCAATGCGCCTTCAGGGCACGGAGAAGGTGCAGGGGGTGACACACACAGTGCACAATCTAAAGGAGCCAGGATGGGACCCGATCTGAAAATGTCTGAATACAGACTCATAACTTCTACCATGTGTTTATGCTTCATTTTGAGCGTTCCCGACTCAGAACAAACTGAGGTGCATTACCTTAGCTCGGCGACGTCAGCTCTATCCAGAGCACTCAGGGCCATGGTGGCCTTGTCCAGAGCAGGCAGCACGCTCCTGATCTCTCTGGCGGTTTTCTGCAAAGGTCAGAAACCCCCATGGATGTGTGAATGAACAGGGCTGCATGGAAGTGTTTATACGCCGTGCATGGTCACCTCTCTGTATACTTCAGTTATTGCAAAAGCTGTGTCGGGTTGGAATGACTTCCAAATGCTTTTACCGATCCTGCCCCAGCTTTCCTGGTCATGTGACCTGAGGTACTGGGCCAGAGGTCCTGTTGGAAGAGCAATTTATCTGACAGCAGGTAGCGGAGGAGAAACAAGGTTGGCAATATACACATCCAGAACCCGGGTTTTCTGTGGAAAGTCCTTCTGTTTATCTGGAAGTGGGGGGTCAGGTTCTCACCGACACCTACTCAAAGTGGAAGTTCATGCCTACGTGGCAACTCCGGATAATGCAGCACACAGTACTCTAATCTGCCACTCATGTTCTGCTTTTCTGGATAGGAGGTTATGCAAAGAGAATGCATCAGAATTCCTAAGTTTTGCAGAATAGTGACTGTGTTTAAGAAGACGTTTTGGGGGCACCTGGGTGGCTCAGTCGGTTAAGCCTCTGACTTCGGCACAGGTCATGATTTCACATTCGTGGTTTCAAGCCCCACTTTGGGCTCTGTGCTGACAGCCTGGAGCCTGCTTCGGATTTGTATCTCTCTGTTTCTCTGCCCCTCTCCCTCTCATGCTCTGTCTCAAAAATAAATAAAACATTAAAAATTTTAAAAAAATCTATAAAAAATTTGTCAGAAAAAAAAGATGTTTTTGTCCCCCTAAGGTCAAGAACAAGACAGGGATGTCCACTCTCACCACTGTTATTCAACGCAGTATTGGAAGTCTTAGCTTCGGCAATCAGACAACACAAAGAAATAAAAGGCATCTAAATCGGCCAGGAGGAGGTCAAACTTTTACTCTTTGCAGATGATATGATACTCTATATGGAAAACCCAAGATTCCACCAAAAAACTTCTAGAACTGATCCATGAATTCAGCAAAGTTGCAGGATATAAAATCAATGCACAGAAATCGGTTGCATTCCTATACACCAACAATGAAGCACCAGAAAGAGAAATCAAAGAATCGATCCCATTTGCAGTTGCACCAAAACCCATAAGGTACCTAGGAATAAATTTAACCAAAGAAGTGAAAAATCTATGCACTGAAAACTATAGAAAGCTTATGAAAGAAATTGAAAAAAACACACACAAACGACGTATCAGATAAAGGGTTAGTATTCAAAATCTATAAAGAACTTATCAGACCCAACACCCAGAAAACAAATAATCCAGTGAAGAAATGGGCAAAAGACATGAATGGACACTTCTCCGAAGAAGACATCCAGATGGCCAACTGACACATGAAACGATTCTCAGCATCGCTCATCAGCAGGGAAATACAAATCAAAACCTTAGTGAGTTACCACCTCACACGTGTCAGAATGGCTAACATTAACAACTCAGGAAACAACAGATGTTGGTGAGGATGCAGAGAAAGACCATCCCTTTAGCACTGTTGGGGGGAACACAAACTGGTAAAGCCACCCTGGAAAACAGTATGGAGGTTCCTCAAAAAATTAAAATCAGATGACCCTCCCCTATGACCCAGCAATTGCACTACTAGATATTTATCCAAGGAATACAGGTGTGCTGTTTCGAAGGGGCACATGTACCCCAATGTTTATAGCAGCACTATTGACAATAGCCAAAATATGGAAAGAGTCCAAATGTCCATTGATGGATGAATGGATAAAGAAGAGGTAGTATAGATATACACAATGGAGTATTACTCAGTGATCAAAAAAATGAAATCTTGCCATTTGCAACTATGTGGATGGAACTAGAGGGTATTATGCTAAGTGAAATTAGTCAGAGAAAGACAAGTATCATATGACTTAGCTCATATGAGGACTTTAAGACACAGAATAGATGAACATAAGGGAAGGGAAGCAAAAACACAATAAAAACGGGGGGGGGGGACAAACCATAAGAGATTCTTAAATATGGAGAACAAACAGAGGGTTGTTGGAGGGGTTGTAGGAGGGGGGAATGGGATAAATGAATAAGGGGCATTAAGAAATCTACTCCTGAAATCATGGTTGCATTATATGCTAACTAACTTGGATGTAAAATAAATAAATAAATTAATTAATTAATTAATTAATTTAAAAAAGACATTTTGGGATATCTCAATAAAATGTGAGAAATTACATGTTCCTTACACAGGTATATGTGAAAGGTGCCTTATTTTATAATTTAAAATTTTTATTTATAAATAAATAAGACAGAAATTTGCAGACCATAACACAAAAGTGATTGTTAAAATCCATAGAGATTATATTGAATCACAAGCAAGATGCGATGAAAATTCTCAGGTCATACCAAAATCAATAGTTTATTAAGAGGAAAAAACACATTTAGGTAACCATCTGGCTCATGTCTGTTTGATAATCCAGCTCATGAAGAAGAAGGCGTCATATAATCACACTGGAAAATTTCAGGCTCTGGTGCAGTTTACAAGAACTAGTGACATTCATGAAACAGATATCAGAAAACAACTGAATACATTGGTAGAAAATTGGTAACGAATGCCTTCAATTCACATGACATCTAAAACTACTCACCGCCCAAGAAACCTCGAAATGCGAGTTTGCTTACACCCATTGAGAGAGACATTAGAAATATTCATGACGTCATCAGCGACGAGTTATGAAATGGAAGGAAAGTGCCCTAAACTAGCAAAGATGAAAGCCACACTATTGTGAGCTGTGCCGACCACCCCACAGGAACGACACCCCGATTTTCAAGCGGGGACCCGCTCAGTCTGCAGTGGAAAGTGCGGGCGAAGCCTCTCGGGCACCTAAGGCAGTTACTCAACATTGTTATGTTACTTTTCTAGGTTTTGTGATGCTTGTAATAATTCTCAGCTTTAAAAATTTTGTATTTCATTTAATGTTTTTCTTTTCTTAATAAGTACTTTTACGTTGAATTGTGAACGAGTAACTTGAGATTCTAAAACACACACCTTTGAAACCGTGTCAGCATCCGGCGTACAACTGCGACCTGCCCGGGGCCTTGCTGCCCTGTGCTGGGGCAGACACGGAGCACCGCAGAGCCCAGAACACGGACTCGGCTAGGTCCATTTTTTCTCAGCTGGAAGGCTAGAGCCTGAAGTCATGCCTGGCAGGGCCCGAGGGAGGGGGGAGGCCCCACTGGGAGGGCTGGCAGGGGGTGGCCGGGACGTCTGCTTGTGCGCCCGCGAGGAAGGGGGTTCGCTCACACCATCGAGTGTGCAGTAAGCCAGCCCTCAGAGCAAACAGTGTCCTGGAGGCTCCTGAGAGAAGGGGAGCCTGGGGGACACGAACCTGGAGGCAGGAGGGGTGGCTGCTCCTCGTTTGTCCTGTGCACGAGGCCCCCCACTCCACTGCCACGGCCTAACATGAACACGGCGATCTAATCTGAGATGTGTGTTCACATCCACTGCGGCTCGTGATGCACCCCCACCCCGGGTGCTGACTGACGCCCGCTAGCCATGGGGGCTCGTGTGTGTAACTTACAAATAGGCACGCAGATGGCGGGGACAGGCCTACATGTGCCTTTGCCCTGATGGAGCTGCTCGAGAAACCGCTGCCCGTGGGAGACGCGCACAGCTCTGCCTTCACGTCCTCTGAGCAGGTGCACCCGGCAGCCCGGAAGAGTGGGGGCTCCTGGCCGATGGCTGTACCGACCTGACTCCTGCCCGGCTCTCACCGGAGGGGGGCAGGGCTCGGCCAGTCAAGCCAGAGGGTTAAGACTGCTTACATGGAACTAGCGGTGATGGGTGCCTGGGGCCCCTCCCGCAGGCCACGTGTGTCTGATGTGGCGCAGACGACTTCCTGCCGTGGTGACCTGGATGGCCCGGCCTCTCTGTCTCCGGCTGGGGGTGCTGCTTTCTCACGGTCAGGGATCCCGCATCTCTGTACGCCCAGGTTCCTTTGCAATAAACACTCATTGGGGTAGGAATTAAAAGTGTCCACGCTTGAGTACAATAAAGAGCAGTCAGTTCAACCTTCAAATTCTGGGGTTAGGGGGTAATGTTGCAAATCCCCTAGTAACCATCATGGATCATATCTTAGTTTTACCTGCGCATAATCTTCCACAATTCTTACGTCTTCTGCCATAATTTCCTCATCTTGTTTAACGAGCATCTGAACTTTCTCGACTACTTGTGAATCTTTCTGCAGTCTTTTCACTAGGGCTTCCTTATCCTAATGAAACACACAGTTCTTTGGAGGATGGATTTTAAGAGACACGGCATCTCTTTTTTGAAGAGAAATTCATTCAAAGAAAAATTCATAAAGCTCATTTCATTATTACAAAATATATCAAAATCAGCTTGAAATATATTCGGCCAACAGACTGAACTAGAAAGGATGACCACAGCAAAGATCATTCTCTTGCAACACACGTAAAGAGTGGTAAGTACAATTCTTATTTTAACTTATTATTATTATTTTAAAAAAAGTGGCTTCACACCCAGCATGGAGTCCAATGATGGGGCTGGAACTCATGACCCCGAGATGGAGACCTGAGTTGAGATCAAGAGTCGGATGCTTAGGGGCGCCTGGGGGGCTCAGTCAGTTAAGTGTCCGACTTCAGCTCAGGTCATGATCTCATGGTTAGTGAGTTTGAGACCCACATCGGGCTCTGTGCTGACAGCTTGGAGCTTGGAGGCTGCTTTGGATTCTGTGTCTCCCTCTGTCTCTGCCCCTCCCCCACTGGGGTTCCATTTGTGTCTCTCTCTCAAAAATAAACGATAAAAAAAAAATTGGGCACTTAACCAACTGAGCTGCGCAGGCAGTGTGAGAGGAGTGATTTTAGAACACCCTGCACCATGCAAGTAACCGCAGCACCAGTCGGGTTGACTTAATTAAGAATGACGGAATTTTTCTATGTGAGCTTTTACTAGTTATATGCCTGTCATCACAATTAATTATTAAAATACAACAATGTTACTATTTTGCTATCACTGTTATCGTTTTGCTCATTTCATGGTCAGAAAGCTGAGGCCAAGAGGCTCTGGGCTGTGTGCACACGGGGCGGTGCTCTGAGCCGCCTCTGCCGAGTGTGAGCGCCTCTTTCCCAGCATGTTCATATTCAACCACTTTCACAAGAGGTTTTGAGCCAGACGCACCTTTGTGTTCTGTTCTATCTGGGGGCCGAGAGTCAGGAGCTCCTCCTGCATTTCTGTAATGAGAGACGTGGCCTCCAAGACCTTGCTGAGGCCCATGTGCAAACGACTCCTGCGGGAAGAGGGGTCACAAGGTGAGACAGGACGGAAGGTCAGCAAAGCGGGTCCATCGTGGCCACGTACCGAGGACGGCTGGTGAAGGGCTCGATTCCTTGCGGCAGCCTCTGGACACCTGCCTCTAGGGAGGCTTTTCCCCCTTGGAAAGGTAGATTCTGGCTCATTTGCTTGTATTTGTATCTTTCTCTTTTCTTTTCTTTTACAAATAAAAGCACCGATTTATTTATTCATTAACATTTAAAAAAATATTTGTTTATTTCTGAGAGACAGAGAGAGACAGAGCATGAGCAAGGGAGGGGTAGAGAGAGAGGGAGATACAGAATCCTAAATAGGCTCCAGGCTCTGAGCTGTCAGCATGGAGTCTGACATGGGGCTCAAACCCATGAACCATGAGATCATGACCTGAGCCGAAGTCATACGTTTCATTGACCTAGTCCCCCAGGCACCCTTAAAAGCACCAGTTTTAAAAAGACACGGGTTTCTGATTTGGCCTCAAAGTCTCACCTCTTTGTATGCATCTCCCTCCAGCGTGACCTCAGTATGTAAGCAAATGTATCCATGAATTGCAAGAAGCTGTTGGGAGTGACGTAATGATGCTGTCCAGTCCTCTGAAAGTACGTTGTGTTCAAGTCTTTTATGCTTTTGTGGATTTGGACACATGCTGGGGCGAGATTTTCCTTTAAGTCCTGCAAAAATAATAATTTTCAAGAATTAAGAGAAAGCAATCTAAATACGCACCAAGAAAGGGGAAACTGAACACGGTCAGGAACCTGAAAGAGTCTGAGGTGCAGGGCGGTCGATAAAGAGCCTGGGCAAAGGGGACCAAGAACACAGAAGATTTAGGGGGTTGGATGGTGTCGGGGGGACAAGGCAACAATACAGCCAGTGACCAGTGACCCCTCCCACTGGGCCTGACCCGCATCTCGCCTATGGCCATCCGATATGGCCATCCGAGCATTCACGGAGGCGCTGTCATGGCCAACGTTCGTGGTGACGGGCCGACTGACTGACTGATATCTCCCATCGTTCTTTCTTAAAGTGGGTTATCAATTGTGAGACGCAATTTCACTTCCTTGAGTGAAGTAAGGCTGTGAAAATATGAGGCCTCAAAGGATATACTGATATGCTGGGTGGGAAAACCAGAGGAGAAAGAGTGCCAGGCTAAGTTTTGGGGAGAATTCTGTCTGAGACACAAGCTGGGGTCCACCCCCAGCCCACAGGGTAGCTGCTTCCCGGTCACCTTCCACCCAGCTGGCTTCACATGGACTCTACCCTCGGCCTTTCATCTGGTGGACGCTTGGCTAGCATGGCTGCGAGCCCTTTTGTGGGGGCTGTGCCGAGTTTCAGGGGCTGTGCTTTTATGGCCTCCTTTGTTACAAAGTTTGGGTCACAACAGAGAAGATGCTTCCTCACGGTAGCCCACGAATTCTGAGCGAATGCGGTTTGCTGCTCACACAAAGGCGTCTCCGGGGAACACAGAAGGCTGCGGCCACCTCCCCCCGCCATCTGGCTCGCTACCCAGAGGCTGCTCCCCTCCAAGGACACCTGCTGTTTCCCGGGGGACGCGGGAGCGGGGAGCCCCGGGCAGTGAGGAATCTGGGCATCTTTGAGGTAGGACAGACCAAAGGAGATAGGGAATGGACAGAGTCAAGACAACTGGCCAGCCAGTCTCACGGTTCTGCCCGCCTAGGAGCCACTGCTCCCCGGGACGTCACTGGAAACTTCCCCTGTGTCAGACTTTCAACTGGGGCTGTATTTACCTCCCTGCTCTCCAAATCCACCTTCTCTCTTAAGACAGAATGGGCGGCAGTGAGGAGGGCTTCCTCTGGCCACCTCTCGTACCAGTCCACCGTGCACGTGGTGACCATGGAAGAGTGCTTTTGGCAGTGCTGGCGGAAGTTGTGTCCCGTGGGGCTCACCGTCATGAAGACGTGAAGATTTTTATGTATTCTCTGAAAAGCAATAAAAACTCAAGTTGTTAACGTGTAACCTGCTGCTATGGGAAAAAAGGTTGTGTTGAAAGTTCCATGTGAAACTCATTGTTCCCGTTCTTTACTTAATGGGCGGAGAGGAGACTGAGAAGCACGGTGCTCTGTGGGGCCCGGAGTGGCCCTTGCATAAACCTGAACTTGGGAGGGGGTGTGGTGGTCGAGTTCTGCTCGGCAGGGACCTCAGGCCACACATGGGGTGCTGCCGCCCCCGTTCTCTGGGGTGCTGGCATTCCGGGTGCACAGAACGTCCATGGGAGAAGTGGGCGATGGTGGAGAGCTGAGAGGCGCAGAGAGAAACAGGGCCGGGTGGGGATGGGGTGCCCGGGGGGCAGCCCTGAGTTCCCACGGTGGACGGATTGGAGCCCCTGCCATCCTGGGGGTCTTGGACAAAGCGCTAGTTTCTATGACACCCCCTTGCAGCTTCCCCCCAGAGGGCCTTGCTGTGGGCTACTGTTCCCGGCTTCTTGCAAGGCTGGCCTGGGTTCAGTCTCCCTCACTTCCAGGTGTTGCTTTAAAGAAACACGTGACTGAAAGCAGCTGCGGTCAGTCAGCGTTCAACACAAACAGTCCCGTTTGAGCAAAGCGACGGCATGTCCGCATGTCAAGGAGCCTACTGTGCCCAGGGAGTGCGCTAAGGCTGGAAGAGCAAAGTGCATAAGATTCTCTCCCTGCCTTTTCATCTCTCGAGAACTTAGAAAAGCAAGTTAAACCAGTCAGTGCAAAATTCATACAACACAGAAATGTTTGCATCAAAACCGAAATGACCTTCCTTTGCTTTACCCATCCCCAAATTCCTAGTTGAGGATGCTGTTCACGGGTTAAAGTATGCCTTCTCCATTACCACTGTAAGATGCTTCAAAGCGTTTTTGAAAGTGTGGTATAAGATACACGGAAGTCATGAACTAATTAATTCTGCCAACTGGGATTCTCGGTTTGCTTTTTCTTTCTGGAGGGCACTATTGTCCACACTCCAGATGAGAACTTCCTTGTTCTTCCTCACCGATCACAGTCTGTATAAACCCATTTCGTAACAAGGTGCTAGAATGCCACCAGGGATCAGAATAACTGCTATCTTTCCTTCTGCCATAGCATTTCCAAATATAACTTGGGGCGCCTGGGGGGCTCGGTCGGTTAAGTGTCTGACTCTTGATTTCAGCTCAGGTCATGATCTCACGGTTTGTGAGTTTGAGCCCCACACTGGGCTCTGTGCTGACAGCTTGGAGCCTGCTTGGGATTCTCTCTGTCTCTGCCCCTCCCCCTCTCACACTTGCTCTCTCTCTCTCTTAAAAAAAATATAACTCAGTGTAAGCATCCATTCATCTGGTGTTCTCCCTCAATCATGGATTCCATTTCTGGAGGGTTGTTATTGTTGTTGTTTTTTGTTTTTTTACATCTTCTCCCTGTGCCGATCACTGAAGGTGGAGGGTGGCCCATTTTTCAGATGGCTCCATTATAGATAGGCACCGGCACTGGAAACAAGTCAGCCTGTGGTCCTTCCCCTCTGGACACCTGGTCTGGGCGATCACATCTCTCCGCTGAGCTGCTGGTCAGTCATCGTGCCTTAAAGACACAGAAAGCTTAGCTGGTTGGTCTGGACTCTGTCTCCCTTCAAACCAGCTCTTTACCGACCCCATTGCTGAGTCCCTTCTGAATATCACCTGCTCTCTCTGGATTGTTCTTTCTGTACCACTTCCAGGGCTATTCAAAGGGATGAAAGAATTCTTATATCTTGCCTTTCCTGGGATCTTACTTCTCTTATTTACAAATTTTTCCATGTTTATTTATTTTGAGAGAGAGCAAGCATGAGCAGGGGAGGGGCAGAGAGAGGGAAAGAGAGAATTCCAAGCAGGCTCTGCACCATCAGTGCAGAGCCCGATGTGGGGCAAGAACTCATGACCTGTGAGATCATGACCTGAGCCAAAACCAAAAGTCAAACACGTAACCGACTGAGCCCCCAGGCACTCCCTCATTCTCTTGTTGTTGACTCTCACGGTTACCATTTTCTTTAGCCACTGATCGCTGGGCAGGCCCAAATCCTTGCTAATCCTGGATCCTGTGCCTGGATGGGCATATCCACACACGTAGCTTTGAAAACTCATTTATCCCATTCTGAGAGGAGGGAAGGGGATGGGGAATGGAGAGGGGGGAGGAGCGAGGGGGGAGGGAAGAGGGAGGAAAGGGGAGGCGGAGGGAGTAGGGAAGGAAAGGGAAGAAAACTCATTTAAAGGCCTAAAACCTATGATCCACCTTGGAAACCATGGACAGAATTATACACACGTCTACTTTTAATTTACCTTGATAATTTGCTGAAGCCAGCCCACCATCGCCTACCTTCTGGAAGAGGGCAAGTAAAGCTTGCCTGTTGTCGACAGAACCAGACTGCTCGGCAAAGGAGCGGAACCTTAGCACGATGGAGCCCAGTTCCTCATCTTCAAACAAGTCCAGGATTTTCTGCGAGTTGAGAATGGCGTTCAAATCTTCCAAAAATGACTCCTTAGGTGAAACAGATATTGAATCAGCAGTAAACTGTTTATGTATTTGTTCTTAACACACCAAACTGAGACAGCAAATGTAGTTAAGGACAACTCAGGTTTATTTATTATTATTTTTTTAAAGCTAAACTTCTCTTAAACCCATCCAATGTTTTTTTTGTTTTGTTTTTTGTTTTTTGTCTGAGCAAAAATAAGTGTCATCCCTCCATTCATTCCTTGGAGCATTAGAGAGACTGTGGTACCGACGGTATGCAAACGCCTGTGTCACTTTGCGTCACTGGGACCAGAGTCAAGGGGGGGCAGTGCAAGCGGCGCAGACACCTGGCTCCAGACAGCTCATGGAGACCTTGACACGCGCACAAGCTGCAAGTTAACACGGCTGCAGGTCCCAGATCCAACGAGAGAGGTGACAGGGACAGTGGGCTGGGACAGACACTCGACCGGAGGAGTTCCTGTTGCAATGTCCGAGCGTTTTCATTTTGGGAATAAACCCAAGCTTTATTTAAAAAACATCACGTCCAGCGTCAGCCTCTCCGCCCGGTGTGGGCGGGGCCATCGGATTTCAGGTCTCTCCCAGGACTCGGCTTAAGAAACACACTGATCATCTCACACTCTAGCTACTCCGTGGTGTCGCTGGCTCGGCCTCTGTTCTGTCCCAGCAAGCAGCCCACGGGGACCCTAACGTGATGCCAGCCGCTCACACAAGCAGCCCGCAGAGTGACGAGCAGGTGCGAGCCCCTGGGAGGTCTCCCCGCAGCCCAGGGTCGCCGAGCAGAGTGCGCCGCTTAGATGGGACCCCCGCGGGGTGCACCAAAACACTGCTCTTTAGGTGTGCGTGGACCCATCTGGCCCTAACTGGGAGCCCCAAGTCACACCCTGCCTTGACCTCTCCGTGTGGCTCCGCAAGGCAGGCGGAATGACTCTTCCAGAACCTATGAGTAAGGTCTCCTTGTCGTCTTCTGCTGAACCGTGGCTCACCATCCTGCACCCTGTGCTCCACCTAACAAATGTTAATTTAACAGGGTCATGACACCATTTTTGGGATTCCCATGGAAAGCAAGAATGTGGCCAGGAGAAACCTGGAAACTGTGGAGACGGGATCCAACGACCTTGAAGTTCTGGGTAAGATACACCATCAGGTCTCAGCTTTGACCTAATAGCGGTTTTCTGAAAAATGATTTCTTAAATTAAACAGTAGGCCCCTGGCATGAGAAACAACATCATCTGAAATCCAGAAGTGTCTGGCAGGAACCTCAAGCTGATGAAGGGGAGAGGGTATTTAGATGGAGGGGCGCCTGGGGGGCTCAGCCATTTGAGGGTTGACTCAGGTCATGATCTCACAGATTATGTGTTCGAGCCCCGCTTTAAGCTCTGTGCTGACAGTGTGGAATCTGCTTGGGATTCTCTCTCTCCCTCTCTCTCTCTGCCCTTCCCCCCTACTCTTTGTCTCAAAACAAACAAACAAACAAACAAAAAAAACCCAAAAAAAACCCCCAAAAAACCCAGACTTAAAAAAATAAATAAATTTTGGAGAGAAGACATATAATTAAAGTGGAAAACTGGATACCATGGAGAATAGCAGATACAACATAGCACTCAGATTTACTCTCAAAATACCCCTTGAAAGAAAAACAAAACTCTAGGGAGAGAGGCCTAGGCTTAGAGAAGAAACATGAGGAAAGTTTGACACTCCATAACTGTGTGAGTCTGGATCGTAGATGATAAATATTGTTGCCTTGACATGTCACCACAGAGAAGGAAATAGAATCTGAGGCAGCTTCCCCAGTTACGTGTGGGCTGCAGAAAGGCATAGTTTATGCCAAGCGACAGATTAAAAAAGTAATTGGGTGATTAGCATTTTTTCTAATCTGTAAACAAAGTATATCCTGCAAAGAAAGTGCTAAACTTGACGGTGAAATTAGCACAGGACGCTGCGGACAAGAGTTGACAGTGAATTCAGACGATAGCGTTTTTTTGTTTTTTTCCCAAAACCCAGACTAGAAAACCAGTTCAGCTACACAAATTACTCAGAATCTGTGAGTTACAATGAAAATTATAAAGACAGAAAATGCTTCTGTTGTTGGCCTGATGCAAAACTACGTGCAGCTCGACTTCACATCCAGAGCCTCACGGGCTGTGACTGGGGACGTGCAGCCGGGGCACAGCCAGACTTTCCTTTCAAATATTAAATGAGTGGGGCCATTTACACAGCCAGCGTTAGCAAGTAAGGAAGATAAAAGGCACTTACCTGCTTTAGGTTTATGTTAGCAACTATCAAAGCGGTGGGGTTCCCCTCTAGTCCTGCTTGAATAAACCCTCTTTTGAGGGCTTCTCTGAACTCTGTGTGGGCGTGACTGTGAGGCGAGAGCACCAGCTTGCACTCCGTCAGGCGGCACGCCAGGGTCGCACAGGTCTTCTTCCCACACCCATCTACGCCAATCTTCGGAAGAAGAACAATCTATCGTGAGATTCTTACATGCGTCCTGGGAATCTTTCAACGTACAGTTTCCTATGTCTGCGAGCCAGAAATTCACACAGTGAAAGTACCTATTTTTATAAACTTTTTGGGAAGTACATGAAATACAGCTAAAGCACTGATTGGAGTTCTCTAAGGTGTTAGCACACATTCAGTATTCACTTCTTTGCTCTTTATAGTTTCTTGAAACATATGAGACACCTTCTCTGGAAAGATAACGCAATCTGGAAAAATGGCATCGACAGGTTGACAAAGTCATCACTATGTTACCGCCAATGTTTGATTTTTCATTTATAAGAATTCAGGAGGTCTTTCCCCATTTATTCTGAGCAGTAAACACTTCAGTGTTCTTTGATAATCATGACAAAGCATTACCTTTATTACCAAAGTATTAACTTTACCGGGGTATAATTTACAGAGGTCACCTGCTTTTATATGTACCATTCAATGATTTTTAGTACAATTAGAGAGTTATACAACCATTACCACAGTCTACTTTTTTTTAAGAAGTTTATTTATTTTGAGAGAGAGTGAGCATGAGCAGGGGAGGGGCAGAGAGAGGAGAGAGAGAGAATCACAAGCAGGCTCCAGGCTCCTAGCTATCAGCACAGAGCCCAATGCAGGAGCTCGAATCTATAAACTGTGAGATCATGACCTGAGCTGAAACCAAGAGTCGTACGCTTAACGGACTGAGCCACCCAGGTGCCCCTACCATGGTCCATTTTTAGGACATTTCTATCCCCAGGAAGGACACCCCAGCCCCGTCTGTACTCAGTCTTCATCCTAATGCCAGTCCCAGACAACTTGTCGCTATAGATTTGCAGTTTGGGGATGTTTCCTATAAACTGAGTCATAAATAGGAAGTGTTTCGCATCACTGAGCAGGATGGTTCTGTGGGCCTTGCATGGAGGAGGGTGTGCTAGCAGTCAGCAGAGACCACGTTCTGTTTATCCATCATCTACTGATAGACACTGGAGTGTTTCCACATCACGGTTGCTCTAATAAGGCTCCCGGGGACGTTTCTGTGCAAGTCGTGGTGAGAACATGTGTCTTACTTTTTCTTGTGTTGATACAGAGGAACGGGCCACTCAGTTAAAGGGCAAATCTGGGTTCACTTTAGAAGAAATGCTCAAACCGTTTTCCCACCAGCAATGTATCTTCCTCCATCTTTTCATTTTCAACCACTCTGTCTCTGCAATTCTTGTTGACAGCGTATGCTTGGAGTTTGTTCTTTTAAAAATCCTTCCTACGATCTCAGTCTTTTTATCAGAACATTTAGTGCATTTACATTTAATGTTATGATTGATAGGATTTGAGTCACATCTGCCATATTGCTGTTTTGTGTCTTTTCCCCTTTTGTTTCTCCTTTAGTGTTAACTAACCTAACACTAAAGAACTAACCTTCTTTTAGTGTTAACTCAATATTTTCTAGAGTTCTAATTCAATTCCTTTGTTTTATATAATGTATTTTTTGAGTTATTTTTTTTCATGATTTATCTAGGAATTTCACTGGATATTTTAATTTCTCAATATACTCCAGATTAATGAGGGCATAATTCCAGTAAGACACAGAAACTTTGCTCCAGTACAGCTCCATTTGTTCCTTCCTCCTTTGTGCTATTTATTATTACAGATACTAAATCTTTATGTTATAAGCTTCACAATAGTTTTGTAAGGATTGTTTTATGCACCGGTCTTTGAAAGCAGTTAAAAGAAACATATAACCATACTGTGTGTGTGGTAGGCAGGATAGTGCCCTTACCGCCTCACCCTCACCCTCAAATATGTCCCTAGAACCTATGAACAGATTACCTTATATGGCAAAAGAGACTCTGCCAATGTGATTAAAATTAAGGACCTTGAAATGGGGAGATGATTTTGGATACTCTGGTGGGGCCAGTCTAAATACGTGAGTCCTTAAGAACAGGCCACCTTTCCAGCTGTGGTCAGACAGAGAGACAGAGGGAGAGGTGTGACAGCTGAAGTGTCGGAATGGTGCATGCTGCTGGCTGTGGAGACAGAGAAAGAAGCCATGAGCCACGGGGGAGCGCAGCCTCTAGAAGCCTGTTTCCTTGCTGTGTTAATTCAGTAACACAATGCAGCTCAACTAGGTAGTGCTTACTTTGAATAAGTCACGTATGATTCATTTTTTACTTTGCGTATTCAACTAGCCTCATTTGAATCAACTAATCTAGATCATAATTGTGTATTTTTTAAAATCTGTTTTAAAATTTTCTTCACTGAGTCATTATATGCCTTCCAGGTGCTTCTCCCTGCTGAAGCCTCAGATTGGGTCAGCCTCCAGTCATATTGCTGGGTTTGTTTTTTTTTTTCTTACGCTAACTGTAGCTTTTTGTTTTTATTTTTAAAATACTAGGGTGCCTGGGTGGCTCAGTCGGTTAAGCGTCCGACTTCTGCTCAGGTCATGATCTCGCGGTTCGTGGGTTCGAGCCCTGCATTGGGTTCTGTGCTGGAAGCTTGGAGCCTGGAGCCTGTTTCGGATTCTGTGTCTCCCTCTCTCTCTGCCCATCCCCTGCTCATGTTCTGTCTCTCTCTGTCTATAAATAAACTATAAAATTTTTTAAAATATTTATTTATCATGAGAGAGCGAGTGAGCATGAGCAGGGGAGAGGGGCAGAGAGAGGGAGAGAGAATCCCAAGCAGGTTCCATACTATCAGCACAGAGGCCAATGTGGGGCTCAATCCCACAACCGTGAGATCACGACCTGAGCTTAAATCAAGAGTCAAGAGTTGGATGCTCAACTGACTGGGCCACCCAAGCGCCCCTGTATTACTGTTTTACACAATTGAACTCTGGTACTAGCTTGACCCGGGCAAAGATCTGTTGATGGAGTTTGACTGGGGAAAGTAGATGCAGGATCAGAGGAAACAGGCACTTGCCAGGCTCTCCCTTGTAGTTTTGATGGGGCCTCTGATACGATGCTTGGGTCACGAGAAGGAGCCAGGCTTCCAGCCAAGTGTTAGGTTTTAAAAACTTGTTCTGGATGCAATCTCAGCAATTTTAGATTTGAGAACTTTTGATAAGCTTGCTTGTTATTAGGAAAGAAAGAGCCACTTTGTGGTAAAAGAAGTGGACAGAGACTGTGAACCATTTGGGAGAATAAAAAATAACGTGTTGATAATGGAAACAGGACAGAGAGAATCAACGCTCTTACAGAGCTTCTGTTCCAGATGTGGAGATGGATAGTAAGTGAGAAATTATGTAAGATGAGATAGCACTCAGCACGAGGGTGCGGAATCAAGGGACAAGTGACAGGGACCTTGGGAGGTGCGGCTGCAGGAGCCCCAGGGAGGCGGGAGCCACTCGGTTGGGGTGGCAGTAGCCGAGATGCGCACAAGAGGCCGACTTGAAATAGACCTCGGAGGTCACATCGCCAGCACGTCCCCATGACCGATGACCGAGTGGGGGTGTGATGGAGATGCCTTAAGAGCAAGGGGTTCTGGGGTTCTGGCTGGAGCAGATCTACGCGGGTGCCGTTTGTGAGATGACAGATGTTAGTAAAAGGAGCGTTTTGGTGGAGAAAGTATTTGCTTTTGTGTTTCTGCTTCAATTCAGTTTTTCAACTTGTAATTCCTTTTAATTAGTCTTGCACATGTCTGTTTACAGAAAGCTCTAGTACTTCTGGGAAAAAATGGTGTGAAGTAAATAGTTAGAAACAACGAAAGTATAAAATAGATGAGCAAGAGGCATAAACGACGGCTTAAATGTTCACGAATGTGATGCATGGGAAGGGGCCGAATATGTTGGATTTCACTGAGCCTTCTGGAAGCTTTCTCTTGTCCAGCTACATGGGGATTGTCCAAACATCCAACCCCCGCTTGTTTTCATCACAAATAGAACTCTGTGCGAAGACTCATGTTTCTAAGTCAATCTTCCAGTTGATGCACGTTTTCAAAGTCAAGGTTCACCTGCAGACTTAGTGCTGAGGACTCGTGACGGATGGTGGCAGCGCCATCGCCTGCCTTCCAAAGCCAAGCATTTTTAGGTGTGGATATGTTTCTCATGCAAACCTTAGAGAGGAATTAGGTCTTGCCGTGGGACTCAGTGGCTGGAAGCTTCCACAAATACAAAGCCGGGTTAAACAGGGCTGCTATAAGCGAGGTAGATTTTGTCAGATCTCAATTTTTACTTTGCAAACGTAAAAATATCTGAGCCATTTAAATCCCTACCAGTAGCATGTGACTCGCCGGCTGCCGGAGGACCCTGGCTGCTCTTGCGATGTGTTCGATGGCTTCCCTGAAGAACACGATGGGGTAAGAAGTCTGGAGGAGGAAAGGGGACACGTAAACTGCTTGGAGGCACAGACAAATCACATGGTCACTGCAGTGGTGCAGGGACCCAGCAGTGAGAGTGAGTGTCCCTGATCCCATCAACTGGGTCACATGGGTGCAAGATTAATGTGTGTGATGAGGCCTGTGCCTACATCAGTGTTCCCATGGGCATGCCGGGCGGGGTATGGGCTCCAGAGAGGAGGTGGGGGTACAGGGTGGAGAGAGAAGGAGGGGGGTACAGGGTGGAGAGAGGAGAAGGGTACAGGCTGGAGAGAGAGGGAGGGGGGGTAAACTACAGCATCTGTGCTCTGTCTCTACTGCCCTGTTCTGGGGCGGAACACAGCGGGAGGGGAGTGGAGGAGGGCTCCCAGGAACTGGGGTCACGGTATTAGTGACTGAGGGCGCCTGTGACGACACCGTTCCGCCCGCGACGGGAGGGGTGCTGCCCCTGATGCGGCCTCGGCTTCTCTCGCATCTCTCAGGCCCACTAGCTCTGCGCACGCAGCGCCCACAGTCCGAGTCAGGCACCCGTCTTACAAGGACCCGCGGACGCGGCGGCCCAGGACAGGCCCGTGGGACGCTGCAGTTCCACGTCCGCCCGGTGGGGGCGCACTCTTCCCCTGCCCCTTCTTATGTGCGCACACACGCACACACATGCGCCCCCATGTGCGCGCGCACACACACGCACAGCCCACACACGCACCCCCAAGCGTGCGCACACACACGCACAGCCCACACACGCACCCCCATGAGCGCGCGCGCACACGCACAGCACACACACGCACATGCACACACGCACAGCGCACATGCGCACAGCACTTCTCCAATTTCACAGGGCGTGTCTGTACCTCCGAGGGTGTTGAAGTCGACCTCATCTGGAACTCACTCAGCACACTGGCGAGTTTGTTATAGTCACTGGTGCTCCGATACATCTTCTTCCTGTGAGGCTTGTTTATATCCAAGAAATCCACAAATACAACTGAGTCGCTCATCAGTTTCTCTTTCGTCCAATTAACCTATTGTAAGATCATAAATGAGTAGTGTGTGTTAATAGCAAAATTCTGCTTGTCAAAGTGAATGCAACACATCTGCTCCGGAGAAGCTCCGGGCACAACAGATCGGGGCGCTTAACCTTCTTGTGCTGCAGACCCTTCAGGCAGTGAGGTGTAGGCGGCTTCTCAGGAAGGCATTTTAAACTCAGAGAGCGAATCGCTTCTCAGCCTTTTGGCTAAGATCAAGGGTAAACGCAGAGAGCGACACACGGGCTGCAAAGGAGACCACACGTACGACGCAGACCTCCTTCTAAGGACCCCCAAAGGCTACGGCCCTAAGAGCCCCTGCTGTGGAAACAGCAACTTGAAGTCTCGGCAACAATGAAGAACAGTCTTCCCTTGTTCGCGCGTTAGGCACCAGCGCGCAGCTGGGGGCAGGGAGACAGCTCGGCCGCACGACTGCGGCGGTGGTTCCACAAACGCACGCCCGTGACGACGCTCCCCCGACAAATGCCCGCTCGCCGCCTCCACACGCGCGACTCGACACTGGCGATTCCAGGCAGAGCCTCTGGTCTGGTTGAAGACTTGGACACGCTTGCCCTCCCGCTCTCCTGGGCAAACTCCTGTCTGTCTGTCACAGCAAGGTCGCGGGCTACCTCCCCTCTGAAATCTGACCCCGTCCCGCTCCCTGAAAACTAGGGGGGGGGATTACATCTTTGGTAATTTTGGAAAATGACATCATCATATGCTGTGATAGGAAGAGTAGAGCCAAGGGGCGCTAAAACCCGGAAAGGGAGTGGTGGTTGCCAGAAAAGTCCCCCGAAAGAGGAAGCGTGAGGTGTGGGGTGGCCAGAGCTGGGGGGGGGTGGGCACCGAGGGGAGGCAGAGACAGGAGACCCCGTGCTACATTCTGGCCACCACGCGGGCTGAGGTGCCGAGGGTTCGGGGGCGCGTGCGGGCTTGGATGTGAACGCCGGGCCAAGGGTCTGGGTGGCGCAGGGCCACAGCGGACGCACACCCGTCTTGCCAGTGGTTCTGCGGGTTGACTGGGAAGCACCCCGGGGAGCACGGGACAGATCCCGACGGCGAACCACGGGCTGGCTTTGGAGTTCACGTTCCTTCTGCCAAACCTCCTGTTCTTATGTGGAGCGTGGATGTACGGTCTTTCCCGTAGTGCGACAGCTTGCGTTTACTGAGCACTTACTGCACGTCAGGAGCTGTTCTAAACACTTTACGCAAATTGGTGCAGTTAATTCTCACCGCAGCCTCCGAGGTGGGGGCGCTGGCGACCCCTCAGGAGGCCACGAAGGAGAACCGGAGGCGGGCCACGCCCCAGGAGACTGCATAAGAGTGGAGGCCGAGCGGAGTACCCCTGGGTACTTAGAGGAAAGATTATTTATTCGATGTTAAAAAAAAAAAAAAGATTGGAGGGCGGAGTGAGGTGCTTTAACAAGAAGACATCAAGAGGGATCTGGACTGAGGAGCAGAGAACTTGGATTGGAAGAAAATAAGGATGAGACTGTCTAGAAAATCATTTAAAAAAGATTTTTTAAAAACCTTTTTGAGAGACAGAGCATGAGCTGGGAAGGTGCAGAGAGAGAGGGAGACACAGAATCCGAAGCAGGCTCCGGGCTCTGGGCTGTCAGCACAGAGCCTGATGTGGGGCTGGAACCCATGAACCATAAGATCATGACCTGGGCCCAAGTTGGATGCTCAATGGACTGAGACTCCCAGGTGCCCCTAGAAAATGTTTTCGAAAGCTTTCTGAATTTGTGACTTGTGTGCAAAGTACGTATGTTCACGAACACAGATGGACATATATGTGGACATTTGTATTCCGAGTTTACATGCACATGTGTATCTCTATGGATAAGCGTTGTGTTCCAAAATTCTGTTTTTACTGTTGCAAATGTAGTAGTACCTTTGAATTTGTTATGTTTCTGGGGCTCCTAAGAATGGGCCGAGAGGAAGTGGCACCGCCAAAGGAGAGAGGAAAGAACAGAGGAGTCACCTCCAGAAACGGATTCCAAAGAGTCTCCTGAATTCTCCGGAGAGGAGCCTGGCCCTGGGCTCACCCCTCTGCTGGCTGACAACCCTCGAGGGCCAGTCCATGGCACTGCCTCCCTTCCTCCGGGACGGGGACCACAGGGTCCCTGGGAGAGCCAAGTTCCAGAAGGTGCAGGTACTGAGAGGGCACACGTCTGCCCGGCTGGAGAGGAACAGCAGCCTCAGAGCTCGCAGAGGCCACGCACACAAGCGGAGGCCTCCAGGCCCGGTCATTTCCATCATAGCAAATCTAGACTTACTTAGACATTATCAAGTGAAAAATGGGATTGTTAATAAAGTTCCTTTCGTTACTAGCATAGAAATGTCTGGGGGGAGGGCGGCTGGGGGGCTCAGTCGGTTGAGCGTCTGTCTGACTCCTGATTGTGGCCCAGGTCATGATCTCGTGGTTCGTGGAATCGAGCCCCATGTTGGGCTCTGAGCTGAGCACAGAGCCCATCTGGGATGCTCTCTCTCCCTCTGCCCCTCTCCTCTGCTTGTGCTCGCACTCTCTACAATAATTTAAAAAGTAAAAAAAATTAAAGAAATAGAAAGGTCTGAGGAGTTTTAGAAAACAGTACTTTTGCCCAAGATACCATTTGAAATACTTTTCAAAATATGTTTACCTGAAAATAGTTCTCAAGTTCCTCTGAAAGAAACTGATAGAAAAGCCCCTTCTCAGGATAGTCGATCAGGCGATCATGGAACACTCGAGTGGCTTCATGAACAAAGAACAGGGCCAGCGTCTCTCTGGAGTTGACAGCAGCCTTCTCAGCTTGCAGCAAGCCTAGAAGAAGCTGTTAGAGACCGGACGTGAGACTTCCTGTATAACACGAGAAGGTAGTATGTGAAGTAAAGGCCTAAGTTTTGCAGGTTTATAATTCCATAAAAATAGAAGCCATTATTCAAGGTAAGTATAGTCCCTTTCTATAAGCGACAAATGTAAGTTTGAGGAGATGGGCAGGTTACAAGTCAGGTGGAGATGGCACGGCATCCCCTCTGGAGGGACAGGGTCTGAGGACCTCTCGGCGGGCCCTGCGGATGCCTCACCAGCACGGGAAGCCCTGAGTCTGGACTTTGGGCTGACCCGGAGGCACGGTGGGGGCGGTGATGACAGAGACGTGTTTCTCCCTCCTGGCACGTCCTCAGATTGTGAATTGGGATTCTAACGGGATCTGCACTCTCTTGGACTACGGCCACGGCAAGGAGAGAAAGATCAAATTCAAAATAGTTTTTCTTCAGATTTTCATTAGGAACATTATTCGATCGAGGCTAATGACCGAGTCAGCACCGCTGGCAACGGTTCCTGCCATAAAGAGCAAGGCTGGTGGGGATTCAAGCACATTTATGAAATGTGTATAGATTCCCATTTTTCAAGAGCTGCAGTAACATCTCAGAAAGAGAGCAAACCCCAAGTCTGTGCCTTCCCTGCTGAGAATCTTAAAACTCTAGCGGTCTTAGCGGCATCATTGCCAAATTCTCTGCGTGGACTTACTGTAATGGTTCTTTTTAAAGTGGCTCCTGGGAGAAGCGGCTAATAAATAGCAAAACGAATCAATTTTATTTCTCTTTTCCCCCTTCTAATAATTGCACGTTGATGGCAGAGAAATGGAGAAAGAATCGAGTTAGTAAAAGTACCTCTGCTCACCGTAAAATGTACCATGAAGCCAGAGGGTAGATTGAAAACACACCTTAAACATGTCTCGAAGGTTAAACATGTAGTGGCATTTGGCGGGAGTCGGCAGCATGTTCTGGCATACTTGGCGGTACATGGCCAGCGAGCAAGATGCTATTTGATCCTGACATCTCTGGACGTCAATGGGGAAGTTATTGATGGAGAAATACATTCCCAAATGGGTCTGGAGGAAGAAATGGTAGTTAGGCCCCTATTTTAAGCACGATCCTGCCTGTACCCCTCTAGAAAGGAGAGGCGTGTGCTCTCATGGAGGATTAATGGCATTTAGCCCATTAGCATAAAGAGTCCACTTGAAGCAGATGGCAAACACTGTGGGTGCCACAACTGGGGAAAATTCCGGCTGGTCTGAGTCTGGTGAATGATTGAGATGCATGGGCTGCGTGCTCTCTGGGGAGGATTTGTGCCTCACTGTGTGCCCCGCCAGGTGCCCTGCGCTTCTTCCACCTCTCTCTCCTGAGCAGAGGCCATGAAACAAAACAGAAAGTGATAAAACTGTTCCCTCAGTTTCAGCTGATGTACACACATACACACACGTACACACATGTTCTTCTACATCAGGATTTCTTTTTAGATGTGAGTCACTGCGCAGAATTACCAAGTGCTTTTTGAAAAATGGATTTAAAAATTAGTATTTAAATTTTATATTATAAAGAAGAAAAATAATTAGTTTTGAAGAAATTAGTAATCTTGCAGATTTTTCTTTGAAAAAATTTTAGTGTTTATTTATTTTTGAGAGAGAGACAGAGACAGAACATGAGCAGGAGAGGGGCAAAGAGAGAAGGAGACAGAATCCGAAGCAGGCTCCAGGCTCTGAGATGTCAGCACAGAGCCCAACACGGGGCTCAAACTCACAAAATGGGAAATCATGATCTGAGCCAAAGTCGGATGCTCAACCGACTGAGCCACTCAGGCGCCCGGTAGATTTATTTTTCTAATCAAACTAATTTCAAGTTGAGCCATTTTTCTAATAAGGCAGTTCAGATTTTTTCTCTCAGTTTTTATTCTATGAAGAAACAAAAAGAACAAATCAATTTGGCACAAATCCAGGTGGCTGGTGAATGACTGCAGCTTCCTGAGCTCCGCCCCACAGACACCGGGTCAGAGCCCTGTGAGGACGGGGTCCGAGGGTCTCTACTGCACAAGTGCATTAAATGTGCACCACAAGTGTTTCTCAGGGCACCTGGAGGGCTTGATTTCAGCTCCAGTCATGATCTCAATGTTCACAGGACTGAACCCCGTGTCGGGCTCTGTGCTGACAGTGGGGAGCCTCCTTGGGATTCTCTCTTCCTCTCTCTCTCTGCCCCTCCCCTGCTCATGCTCTCTCTCTCTCAAAATAAATAAACTCAAAAATAGTTTTAAAAGTGTGCACCACATGTATTTCTTATGCACACTAACATATGTTTTTGCTATTTAGAGACAAATTACAACCACAGGCCAGAAAATTTGAGGGTGGAGGGGGCAATTAAGACCCATCCCCTTAAGGGAATTTTCATTCAATATCAGTGGTTTTAAGTCTCACGTTTTCTCTCACGCCGTGGAACTAAAATTCTTTTTCAGTAGAAAATGAGGCGGGCGGGTTACCTGGAAAATGGTACGTAAGGCGCTCTGTGGCGGCTGCGGCAGCACCAGGACGGAGAAGTGTTTGAGGAGACGCGGGCTGATGTGCCTCCTCGCTGCCAGAGGGACACAGGCTGCCACCAGAGAAAGATCTTGAATGTTCTGCGGGCAGAGGGGAGAGGACAAGTACGCGCGCCTGCAGAAAGTGAAATACCGTTTCCCAGCCCCCAACGAACAGAAGATTTACATTTGTTTAGACAGAAAAAAATCCTTTACTGCGAAAACACAAACTGTGATGGTAACAGAATTCAATGTTCTTAGAAGTAACCAAAATCCTAAACTGCAATTTCAAGACCTGTTACTTCTAGGAGGCCTCCTTAAGGTCATCAAGAAATAGCATAACCTTTAAAAAGCAATGACTGGAAAATAAGCAACATGTTATTGAGGCTAGTGGAGAGGAGCTGGTGATGAGCAGGGAGCCGGAGAAACATGGCAGTGTCTCCGAAAAAGACGATGTCTCCAAGGTGGGCTTGGGGACCGTCTCCTCGGCCACAGCCCGTGGATGCACTGTCACATCACAACATCCCAGGCCTGCAGAGCTGGGCTGCACCCTACGGGTGTCTCGTCTACACACAAGGGGCTGTTTCAAACAGATTTGTTTCCACCCCGGGTCCTGGCCCAGCCACAAGAACCCCGCAAAAGCCTGGTTTCACATTCTTCTCAGTTCCAGAACTTCTCTGGGCTGGCTTCCCGACCATTTCTCGCTCTCCCTTTTGTCCCCGTTTCCCAGATTCTCCGTGGGCTGTGTCTGTCTGGGTTTTATCCTCCACCGTGGGTTGATGGGTGGCTCAGGCCCGTCTGCTGTCACTCACCAGCCAGGGCGCCATCCAGGACCCAGGGCCCAAGTTCGTCCGAGACATGAAGCCATGTCTTCTACAAAGTCTGTTCTGGAGCACAGGGCTCATGACTTCCAGAGAAGAAACTGAATCAGGCACGTGTGTTTACTTTTTTAAAAACTTAAGCCATTCTGATCTGGTTTCGTGTAACAAAAATAATCACACAGGAACAGCGCCCTGGACATTTGTTGAACTTTGCAATACACTGAAGATCCCTGATCTGTGTTCTTCAAAATAAAGATGAAGACGGGTGCCTGGGGGCTCAGTCGGCTGAGCGTCCAACTTCGGCTCAGGTCATGATCTCTCAGTTCGTGGGTTCCAGCCCTGCGTCCACAGCTCAGAGCCTAGAGCCTGCTTCGGATTCTGTCTCCCTCTCTCTCTGCCCCTCCCCTGCTTGCACTCTGTCTCTTTCTCTCTCAAAAATAAAACAGTAAAAAAATTTATAAAAAAAAAAAAAGAGAGATGACAAGCAGTTTTGGGTAGAGAGTAAGGATGTATTTGTCAGGCATATCTTCATGAGCTTTTCTCATGTGCGTTAACTGCTGATGCACTGAAAAGTCTGGTTAACTACTGATGTGATTAATAACAGTGAGCACTTATATATACCCAGAAATCAAACCTATGGGACACTTGTAATTACCAGTATTTAATCCCACCACAAGGATTTCCATGAACCCATGGACTTTTGCCAAGTTGCAAAGATGCAACTGGTTAAATTAGGGTTAAATTAGGGTTTCAGACTTGTTCTATATGGCCATCTGACCAGATTTTCGAAATTTCTGAATTCACTTAGCACTGTTGTGAATATTTAGTTACTGTTGACAACAGCAGTTAATGTGAGCAAATTGTAGGGACACCATACCTTCCACGTGATCGTCTTGGTGTCATAAAGTCCTCCCAAATCCAGCAACTGTCTGATCAACTCCAGGGGTGGCTGGACCCCATACGTGTCCGGTTCAGGCACGTTCAGGTCATCAATGAATATTACAATCTTGAGGAAGACAAAGGGTTTAGAACATAGGAGCTAGTATGGCCTTTCTTTAAATTACCAAGTACGAACAGTAATTAATGCTGCGGCCTGAGAACAAAGTCGTGTGTCACGACCGCCCTGTCTTACTAATGAAAAGCAGCAGCCTGAATTCCACTGTGAAGATGGGATTTTAGAAAACAGCACGTTTTCAGAAGAGCAGAAACTACTCCACAAGGTCCTTCTCTTGGTACCTTTCCCTGAGGCTGGTGTTCAGAGTAAGACAACAGGCCCTGAATGCCGTCACTCAATGGTGATTCCATGTCACCAAACTCAGACCTAGCTACAGTTGTCTGCTCTTACACCAGGCCCTCAGCATGTGAGTCCTCTGCCCGGTGGACCGTACCGCCCTGGAGGACAGGGAGACCACCGCCACCAACTGCTGCTGGCCTGGAGTAACGTCCTTGCGCCCGCGCCCTCCTGCCTGTGAAAGTCGTTCATTTTGTGCAGCTCCTTGGAGCTCCTTCCTGTCTGTTAGGTGTATACCTCCCAGATTCACAAGTAACTGAGTAAAGCCAATAAATGTTAAAAATGAGTTCGAGCCCTGCATCGGGCTCTGTGCTGACAGCTCAGAGCCTGGAGCCTGCTTCGGATTCTGTGTCTCCCTCTCTGCCCCTCCCCCAGCTTGTGCTCTGTCTCCCTCAAATATAAATAAACGTTAAGAAAAATTAAAACAAAAACTCAAAGCCTCCATTATAAACTGCATTTTCTAGTAATGTATATGTTACAATGATCTTTTTCTGATTATTACTATTAATTAAACTGAGTCACATGACAATGTGAGCTGTGTGGAGTGGGTCAGCAGGCGTGGGGGGCTTTACCTGGTTGCTCTTTGGCGCCCCGAGACTGTCTTTCGTCCTTCTGACTAACTTCTTAAGGATCATCTCCTTGGCCTTGGTGGCAGTCATACTGATGCTAAAATTTATCGTTGAGACGATAATTCCTTTATTATTTTTTTTCAATGAGCTTTCATCAGCTTCAGCTTCTGGCTTTCTAATAGTCTTCCCATCTGTTATGCCAAATAGGGAAAGAAACACAAATTTAGAGTATTTTAAGAATATTCGTGACTTATTTTAAGGTGTTAGGAAATATAACAATGGCATAATTTTACTATATTGTTGTCCTTTTCAAGACATTGCTCTGAGGCAGTTCAGTGAGAGAAGGTTCCAGCGACTCCCTGACTTGTATGGGGCACATGGCGTCTCCATGCAGCCATGTGCAATGGGACGAGAGCCACAAACTCTACATTTCTGCACAATCGACATGGGTAACTTTCTACAATTTAAAAATATTCAGGTCTGCAGGACGGTGTGCATCTACTGAAAGGCAGTGCACGTGAGAGGTGTAAAAGCAGGCGTGTCCCCCAAGGCATCGGATTCAGGACCCATTCGTCCCCGAGTGAAGCTGGTCCACTGCAGTCACCGGGATGGTGCGACAGGAATTCAGCAGCCAGGCCCCCCTTCCCGTGGCTCCCGTCGCGGCCGGCTCCTCCTCTTCGGAAGTGGGGAGCTGCTCCCAGACCCCTCGGTCAGGGCTCCCTGGGACGAGGTTCTGGAAGCTCATCCACAATTTTAATTTCTCCACAAGCAGGAGAGGACAGAGCAGCCCGCCGCCGCCTCCGGGGACTTGGAGAGCTGGACCAAGCCTGGGAGGCCAGAGTCCCACCTTCCGGCGAGCTCTCCCACAGCTATTCCAGCTTGGGGCTGGGGCCTGGCGGTTTGACAGGGCAGTGAATGCTTCCCAGGACCATCGGCTTGAAACCCTCAGTGGCAATGCGGGTCCGTGAGTCCTGACACGCGCGCCAGGATCTGCGGAGCCGAGACGGGGGCGGTTTTCACACGAGGTAGTTGATACGCACCTAGCCTTGTGGTCGTTCTCTGTTGAGCTTCAGAGAGCAAGATGCTGATGTTCTGCTTCAGGCTATGGGAAGAGAAGTTTTGACAGATTCAAAATTTGCTCGTTTGCCAGAGTAGCCGGCTACACAAAATGTCATCAAAGTGTCAGTGTGGTTGAGTTTCTCTCTCTCCCCTACAAGGAAACATTTTTTTCCTATTTGCGCTTTTACAGGTAACACTGTGTCGCCATTGTCAGCATTAAAACCGATTCCCAAAGTTAACAACACAGGCTTGCTCTAGAACACAAACAGGACAGGGGCACCTGGGGGGCTCAGGTCATGATCTCATGGTTTGTGGGTTCGAGTCCCACACTGGGCTCTGTGCTAACAGCCCAGAGCCTGGAGGTTCTTCAGATTCTGTGTCTCCCTCTCTCTCTCTCTGCCCAAACTCCACTTGTGATCTCTCTCTCAGAACTAAATAAACATTAAAAAAAATTTTTTTTTAAATAAACCGGACAAATTCCTAGGATGTCAGGCTACTGGTATGTCCAATGGGTAGCAAACCATTAACTCACTTGTCCCTTTATAAAATGAAAGCCCCATTCACCTCTAGTTTGGTTTTGGCTTCATGTATTTCTTTTTAATATTGCTTTATTAAAAGCCACTTCAGTTTAAATAGTAAACATAGAGTGAGATTTATTTTTTAAAGTCCACAATTTATAACAATTCAGATAAGGAACGATTCCTATGGTATTAAATGTTTTTCTGATTTTTTACAGTCTCATTTAACAGCAGTGGGATTCTGTTCCAAAATCGTCTGTGTGACATCAGGTGACAGTGGCCCAGACCAAGAGTGGCGTTGGGCAGAGATAGGTGCGGGAATTCACGATGTCTCGGGCAGATAGGGCAGCCTTGACACGTGCGGATGGAAAGTGGGAGCGCGGCTTGGGGGGAACAGAGAGGCCGGCAGGTAGCCGGGCTTCCCCCTAGGGGACCACCTACAGGGAGGGCAGGTGTCTCCTCCATGCCTCTGCCTGGCCCTGGGCCGGGGGTCGGGCTGAGCCTCACGAGGGACACGGGTGTCCGACGTTCACAGAAGGCCTGACATGGTGCCACCTGCTTATTCCGTCCAAACAACAGTGCGTCTCTCTAACATTTTAATTAACTTTAAAAATTTGCATTTTATTTGTACAATTTAGAATTGTTTCGTTCCTTCTTTTTTAAATCAGGAAGAGACATAGAGAATGACAAAGTCCTTTGTAAAGGATACCTTTGTATTGGGTGAGAAGAAAATGTATTTCTAGTGCAAGAAAACCCATTATGTGCAACACTTCACTTGTATGTATTAGGTGCATTTTTTCCAGGATGGAAAACGGTTCATACCTGCACTTTGTTATGTAAAAACAGTTACGATTTTAAATTTAAATTATTTAAAATAAATGTAAAAAATTCTCATTTAAAGGAATTAATCTAGGAGTTAATACTTTGGAAAGGTAAAGATTTTCTTCTTAACTCTTAGTAATTCTGCATTTTTACATAACAAGTTTGGTTTTTAAAACAAGGCACACTTATATATTAGAGCAAACTACTTTTTTTTTTACCAGACAAATCAAATTTAGAGTTTAAACATACAACCTTGATTTTTTAATTTCGTTATACAACAGGACTTCTCCTAAAATTGACCCATATTTCACACCAAATGCTCCAGGACCCTCCAACTTTTCAAGCATTTGATTGATGGTAGTGGTTTTCCCAACGCCAGAGTCTCCTAGGGGAAAAACAAGACATTCGGTTAGATTTATGGCCCAGAAAATGAATAGATGCTCACATATGAAGATGAGCCAATGACATTTTACTTGAAAATTGCATGGAAAAAATGGATTCTTTTCTTCCATTTTTAAAAAATGTGGTTAAGACTGGAAAAACCAGGGAGTAAATAAGAAATCCACTCTAATTACTTACATCTCTTATAAAAGGGCAGATTAGGAAGTAGTGGTTATTTTTTTAAAAATATTTTTAATGTTTATTTTTGAGAGAGATAAAGAGAGTTGGAGTAGGGGAGGGGCAGAGAGAGAGGGAAACACAGAATATGAAGCAGGCTCCAGACTCCGAGCTGTCAGCACAGAGCCTGACATGGGGCTCGAACTCACGAATTGTGAGATCATGACCTGAGCTGAAGTCTGACCCCTAACTGACTGAGGCGCCCCAGGAGTTAGCCATTATTTTTAATCAAATGTTTGTCTGCACCTATCACAAATCTTTTTGCTTCTCGAAGAGCAGAGCTACTCCATGAAATGAATTTCCCTGAAAATTTTTGAAACACAATCTGGGGGAGAGAGGTGAGGATGAACCATCACAAGAGAACAGGGAGTCGTGATTTTCCAGTTCACCAAATATTAAGTGAGAGTTAAGAATTTTCTTCAATAAACTATTTGTAAAACAAACAAACAAACAAGAATTTTCTTAGATCGGGGGTGCCTGGGTGGCTTAGTCGGTTAAGCGTCCAACTTTCGCTTAGGTCATGATCTCGCGGTTTGTGGGTTCGAGCCCCGCGTCGGGCTCTGTGCTGACTGCCAGCTCAGAGCCTGGAGCCTATTTCAGAGTCTGTATCTCCCTCTCTCTCTGACCCTCCCCTGCTCACGCTGTCTCTCTCTCTCCTAGAAATAAAAAAAAAAAAAAAAAAGAAAGAAAAAAAGAATTTTCTTAGGCCGAACTGGAAGCGAGGTGTGGATTATCCGAGAGTTCTGATTTCATTTTGCCTTAGTGTTGTCAGCGGGGGCCTCGGAGTGTAGTCCTGTTGCCTCTGGGGACCCACAGCCCGGGAGCCCAAAATGGTAAGAAAAGGGTAAATAACTGTTAAGAAAGAAGTGGGGTGGTGTCGAATTATTTGTTAATGTTAAAAGACTGAAAGATTTTAACATCGGGTTGAGGAATTATACGTGTAAGTTGTTGTTGTTTTAATTAGGCAGTTTCTTTTAATTTTTTCCTTGGATGTAAACCAATCAACATTCCTACCATCAGGCACCCTCTCGGGCCATCAGCTCACAGGCTGTGGAGGCCATGCATGTATGAATCCTGCAGTCTACTTCTGGAATTCATCTGGGAAGGAAGGAAAACATGGAGAGACTGATAATGTCCTCTGTGGGCAAACGTGCGGGGAAATGGGCCTTCACTGTTAGTAACAACATTTATTGATATGTAGTGTTTAAAGTTTTTCAGGGCATATTCCCGCCCCCCACCCCCCTAGTTTTAATGTAAAATATTTAGAGTAAATAATGACTAAGCCTCTTCCTAACCCTGAAATTCTCCTGGTTTTTTAAAGTTTATTTACTTATTTTTGAGAGACAGCGCATGAGAGGGAGACACAGAATCCAAAGCAGGCTCCAGGCTCCCAGCTGTCAGCACAGAGCCCGACGTGGGGCTCGAACTCATGAGCTGTGAGATCATGACCTGAGCTGAAATCAAGAGTCGGACGCTTAACTGATGGAGCCTCCCAGGTGCCCCTGAAATCCTCCTTCTTTGAATCTTGAATACCTGTGAGAAGTACAGGGCAGAAATTCTTTAAAAGGAGGCTTATGAGGAAAGTAAAGGACACCGAGTCTCTGGTAGCAATATGGGTGATGTTTTCACCACAGTCTGTGATCTTCAGGAGGTTCTCACTGGGTGCTGGTGGGTCAGTTAGCACTGAAGTTCCTAAGGTAAAGTTAAAAAAAAAAAAAAGTTTCAAATGGCCTATTCATAAATGTTAACCTAACTTTTCAAGTTCTAAATACTTTCTGGAAAAGTCTGTACAGTATAAAGCAGTATCAGCTTGTGTGGATAAGCCAGACCTGACGCAAGTGCCTGGGGGTCCCTGTGGATCTCGTCCACACTTGCACCTGGGGAGCCCCCCCATCCCACATCCACCGTGTAGACGCCCTCCCCCCACCACCACCCTGTATCTCGCCTGCCTCTCCTTCTCCTTCCCTGCAGTGGAAGTGAGGACAGCCGCTCCTTTTAAAGAACTTCGCTTCTTTGATAAGCCTTCTCCCCCCATGATCTGTCTCTTCCTTTCTGCTGAAATGTTCCGTTGTGCAAATACGTATGTACTAGTATCTACAATCTTTTTATTGGTTGAACCATGGGAAACTGACATTTAGTAAAAACCCGTTGAATATAGGCAATTTTATATGAAATAAAACACACACACACTTTCACACACACACAAACTAAAGCTAAACCAAATCTCTCTTGATCCTGCAGCTTCCTATACATACCACCCGATCCCTTCCCCCATCACACAGCCAAAACTCTCAAAACAGCCAAGAGCGTTAACTACAGCACAGACCTCCCTTCATCTCTGAAGAATTAGACACGGACTAGCCAGTACGTTCACATGGTGCACAGTTCAAAAGTATATCAGGGAATGCAATCAGCGGTCTCTTCCTCACTCCTTCACCCCAGGGACTAGTTCCCACACCGTGTGCACCACACAGTGGTTATTAACAATGTAGTACATTCTAGAGGCCCTCTATCCAGTAAAGACTTTTTCCTGATTAATATTCTTCTATTTGAGGCGCGTATCACAGATTTCTGACCAGAGCCCCAGCAATGGGTAGTTACTGTGCTTCTCGACTTTTGCTGAGTTTATGTAACAGACACATATCATTTTGCACACAGCTTCTCACAGGCAGAGCCACTGGGTTGCTATACACTGAAATATGGTTTATGACTTTGATATATACCGACAAGCTGCCTTCCAGGGCCTTCATTCCCAAGCACCTCATGTGGCCAGTAGTGTTTCTGAGACTTTCTGGATTCTTCTATGAACAAAATGTGGGGTTTTGTTTTCTGTGGCTTTTTCTTGTGCCAGAGACCGGCCTGCCCCAGGACTCCTGATCTACTTTGCACGGTGCTGAATCGAAGAGGACGTTGTGATGCTGTGACATTTACATTCCTGCTACAGGTTTGGGTTTGAAAGCTTGAGAGGGTTTCCTTTTCTCCTAAGCCCGTTGCCGACAATTAGGATTAGACGGGACCAGGGAAAGTGGTGTCTTCAGAGATTTGGAGGGAATGCCTCTGCTTTCTCAGCGGAGGGGCACACTGAGATACTGAGTTCCGTACACTGGCGTTCAGGTACGTTCTGCACGTAGTAGTAAAAGTTAAGGACAAAAATGACCAACATTAGCTGCTTTAACATACGATACACAATTCAGGGGCTTTAAAGACATATAATCACCCACTAATTCTTACCGTGACAAACATTATACAATAGAACGTTAGTGTAAATAACTTCAAAATGAGAGCTCTCTGTATGCCTATAATTATGTTATCTCTGGCTGTTTTCTATCAAAAAGTCTTCTAACCAAACTTTGAAATTTGCTGATGAGAGAAGCCTAATCCTCCAAGAAATTAACTCCGTTTGCATTTATTAAATTTCTTGCATTTGCAGTTTTGCCTCAACTTCAACCAGGCTCTCAGGGCACCACACTTTTCTACATCTTTGTTTTCTATATGTATCAGCAGAAGATTGAGAATAAACACCATGTAGCACATTGTGGGTGTTTATTAAGTTATGGTTATTGTCTTCTAATTATTATTTTCTATCATAATCAAGTGTAGTTCTTACATATGCAGTTTTCCTTTTTTAAAGAAAATGTTTACTTATTTTTGAGAGAGAGAGAGAATGTGAGCTGGGGAGGGGCAGAGAGAGGGATAGAGGATCTCAAGTGGGCTCTGGGCTGACAGCAGACAGCCTGATGTGGGGCTCAAACTCACATCCCATGAGATCATGATCTGAGCTGAAGTCAGACATATAACTGACTTGAGCCGAGGGGTCCCTGCTTTTCCTTTTTAAAAAGAGTTTCTCCCCCTTTTCTGCTTTCAGTAATCACAGCTAATTAAAATAATATGTATTTTCATTAGGAAGTCTTTCAATGAACTATAGCTTTACAATGCACACCTGACTCAATCAAATATATTCCAGTTTCTCAGAAAGCAACATTCAGTGGCTATTTGTTTAAAGGCATGTGTTATAAACATAGATCTAAACTGGTTCCACTACAGGTGCTGGCAAGGATGTGGAGACACGGGCCCCCTCCTACACTGTTGGTGGGAATGTAAACTGGTGCAGCCCCTCTGGAGAACAGTGTGGAGGTTCCTCAAATAATTAACACTAGAACTCCCCTATGACCCAGCAATAGCACTGCCAGGAATTTACCCAAGGGATACAGGAGTGCTGATGCATAGGGGCACATGTACCCCAATGTTCATAGCAGCACTCTCAACAATAGCCAAATCATGGAAAGAGCCCAAATGTCCATCAACTGACAAATGGATCAAGAAGATGCTGTTTATATATATAATGGAATACTACACGGCAATGAGACAGAATGAAATCCTGCCATTTGCAACAATGTGGGTGAAACTGGAAGATATTATGCTAAGTGAAATAAGTCAGGCAGAGATGGACAGATACCATATGTTTTCACTCATATGTGGATTTTGAGAAAACCATAGGGGAGGGGAAGGGGAAAGAATAGTCACAAACAGAGAGGGAGGCAGGCAAACCACAATTTAAATACTGAGAACAAACTGAGGGTGGATGGGGGTGGGGGAGAGGGGAAAAAGGGTGATGGGCATTGAGGAGGGCACTTGTTGGGATGAGCACTGGGTGTCGTATGGAAGCCAATTTGACAATAAATCATATTTTTTAAAAAAGGAAAAATAGAAACCGGCCCCTGCGCAGACTTGGAATATATCAGTCTCCACAGCTACTGACATACCTACTTTCCTACGTAAAGTAATCCCAATATTTTAGAAAGGTTAGCGTATGATTCTTAGAATTCGTCTTACCTTTTTGAATGAGTGTCTGAATACTGGGCAGTAACTCTGACCAAGGTACGAATTCGCATTGCTGTAAATCCACAAAATACTCAAAGATAGAACGGTTACCGCTTGGTAGGGTGATGCCTGTGTTTGAAAATGACAAATAAACAGGTCTAAGTAAAAAAAGGCTCACTTATGGAATGTTTCGTTAATGATATGATCTCTGTGTGGAAAGTCTGGTTGTTGAACTAGAAACAGAACTATTCCCCAAGGGTATATTCACATATATAAAACAGGCCTATCATTTTTTTCCTTCTGATCTTTAATTATATAAAAAAACATCTTTTTGTATCCAAAAAGCAAGGTGAATCATGATGCGATCTTTGAAGTCTTTCCCCAGAAGTCCTGTTTATCACCCCGTATTGGATATCAAGCGACAGTCACATAGTAGCAGTTAGAGTCAAAACAATGTATTAGGTAAGTCTGCCATTTATTTGCAAATCACATTCACTTTTCCACTATAAAATTAATACATTTTCTTAATAGATTCAGGAAAATACAGAATAATGAAAGCAAAAGGCCTTAGTCATGGCTTCACATAGGAAGATAATGGTGTTAGTATTTCATATAGTTCTTCGAATTGTTTATAAAATTTTTATACACAGGAACATTTGTTTTTGGAGAGTATACAGCTCTATGAGTTTTTTTTTTTTTTTAAATCACCTGCATGTATTCTTGTAATCACTGTAAGAGACAAGATAGAGAACAATTCTTAAACCCTAAACAATTCCATTGTGCCTGCCCCTTTTGTATTCAGTTCTCCTGGTAACCACTGATCTATTCTCTATTTGTTTTACTCCTATTTACTTTTGAGAAAGAGAGAGAGAGAGAGAGAGAGAATATTCCAGGCAGGCTCTGTGCCATCAGAACCCGACGTGGGGCCCAATCCTGTGGCCCCAGGATGACCTGAGCCAAAACAGAGAGGCAGACACTCAATTGACTGACCCGCCCAGATGTCTCTGTTGTCTGTATTTGCCTTTTACAAACTCTCATGGAAATGGAACCTCACAGTATGCACTTTTTTGAAAGCGAGTTCTGCCACTCTGCAGAATGAATGCATTTAAGATTCATTCTTATTGTTTCTCCCTCTTCATCAATAGCTCATTCCTTTTCACTGCTGAGTAGTATTCCACTGTGTGGGCAGATCACAGTTTAACCACTCACCTATTAAAGAACACTTGAATTGTTCCCAATTTTTGTCAATCATGAATAATGGTGCCATAAACATTTGTGTGTAGGTTGTGATGTTTCATGTATCTGGGATACATACCTAGAGGCATAATGGTGGGTCATACGGTACATGCCTAGTGAACATTTTAAGAAGCTCCTACCACTTTCCAGAGTGGCAGTATGTTTTTATCCTACAATTAGCAATATACAAAACCTGCTGTTGCTATCTATACAGCCATGCTGACACTTGGTATTACTGACTTTAAAAATTTTTAGTTTTCCATCTTTATTGGAACATAAATGGCAAATGATAGGTAAGATTACAGTGCACCATGTGATGATTTGATACATACAAATACTTTTCATGTACCTATTGGTCTTTTTCTTTTCTTTTTGTATTATGGTAAGTGCATTCCTTAATTGCCATCACTTATTTCCCCCACGCCCACACCCACCTTCCCTCTGGTAACCATAGAATGTTCTCTATAGTTAAGAGTCTGTTTCTTGGTTTGTCTCTTCCTCCCTCCCCCTTTGCTCATTTGTTTTGTTTCCACATAGGAGTGAAATCATATGGTGTTCGTCTTTCTCTGACTGGCTTATTTTGTTTAGCATAATACATTCTAGCTCCATCCATGTTGTTGCAAATGGCAAGATTTCATTCTTTTTTTTTTAAAGTATTTTTTTTAATGTTTTATTTATTTCTAGGAGAGAGAGAGACAGCATGAGCAGGGGAGGGTCAGAGAGAGAGGGAGTCACAGACTCTGAAACAGGCTCCAGACTCTGAGCTGGCAGTCAGCACAGAGCCCGACACGGGGCTCGAACCCACGAACTGTGAGATCATGACCTAAGCGAAAGTCGGAAGCTTAACCAACTAAGCCACCCAGGCGCCCCAATTTCATTCTTTTTTTATGGCTGAATAATATTCCAGTGTATATATACACCACATCTTCTTCATCCATTCATCTATGGATGGACACTTGGGCTGCTTCCATTTCTTGGCTATCATAAGTAATGCTGCTTTAAACATCGGGGTGCATGTATCCCATAGAATTAGTGGTTTGTATTCTTTGGATAAATTCCCAGTAGTGTGATTACCAGATTGTAGGGTAGTACTATTTTTAATTTTTGAGGAACCTCTGTCTTCCACAGTGGCTGCACCAGTTTGCATTGCCACCAACAGTACTCGAGGGTCCTTTTTCTCCACATCCTCACCAACACTTGTTGTTTCTTGTGTTGTTTATTTGAGCCATTCTGACAGGTGTGAGGTGACATCTCATTATAGTTTTGATTTGGATTTCCCTGATGGCCAGTGATGTTGAGCATCTTTTCATGTGTCTATGCCTTCTTTACAGAAATGTCTGTTTGTGTCTTTTCTCCATTTTTAATTTGATTGTTTTCTTGCGTGTTGAGTTATATCAGTTCTTTATAGATTTTGAATACTAACCCTTTATCAGATATGTCATCTGCAAATAGCTTCTCCCATTCCATAAGTTGCCTTTCAGTTTTGTTGATTGTTTCCTTCCCTGTGCAGAAGCTTTTTATTTTGATGTAATCCTAATAGTTTAATTTTGTTTTCAGTTCCCTCATCCCAGAGACATACTAGAGAAATATTGTTACCAGCGATATCAAAAAGGTTACTGTCTGTATTCTCCTCTGGGGTTTTTATGGTTTCAGGCCTCACATTTGGGTCCTTAATCCATTTTGTGTTTATTTTTGTGTGTGGTCCAGTTTAATTCTTTTGCATGTAGCTGTCCAGTTTTCCCAACACCATTTATAGTGGCCTTACGTGGTTTGGGCAGCAGAGTAACGCTGCCTTGCAAAATAGCTTTGGAAGTTTTCCTTTGTCTTTTAAGTTTTGGGAAGATTTTAAGAAGGAAGGACTGGTGTTGATTCTTCTTCAGTGTTAGAATTCACCAGTGAATTCTGGTCCTGGACTTTCGTTTGATGGGAGATTTTCCTTTTGTTTTTGTTTTGTTGTTTTGTTTTTCTTTCTTCTTCTTCTTCTTCTTCTTCTTCTTTTTTCTTTTTTTTTTGAGAGAGAGAGAGGGAGTATGAGCATGCAGGAGAAAGGCACCCAGGCACCTCCGATAGGAGATTTTTGATTACTGATTCAATCTGATTACTTGTTACTGGTCTGTTCAGATTTCCTATTTCTTCATGATTCAGTCTTGATAGATCATCTGCTTCAGAATGTCCCCACTTATTTTAGGGTATCCATCTTGTTGGTATATAATTGTGCCATAGTATCTCTTCATTTGTATGGTGTCCATTGCAATATCTCTTTGATTTCTGATTTTGAGTCTCTTTTTTTCTTAGTCTAGGTAAAATTTTATCAATTTAGTTTATCTTTTCAAAAAACCTGCTCTTAGTTTCACTGATCTTTTCCATTGTTTTTGTAGTCTCTTTTAATTCACTTCTGCTCTAATCTTTGTTATTTCTTTCCTTCTGCTAACTTCAGGGTTAGTCTATTATTATTCTTTTGTCAAGTGAGATTGTTTGAGATCTTTTCTTTTATCACCATGTAGGCTTTTATTGCTATAAAATTCCTTGTAAGAACTTTATACTGGAACCCATGAATTATGGTTTCCATTTTTGTTTCTTTTTAAGATTAAAATTTTTTTTCATTGATTTTTAAGTGTGTTGTTTAATTTGTATGTAATTTCAGTTTTCCAGTTTTCATCAAGTTACTGATTTCTAATTTCTTTCCACTAGGGTCAGAAAAGATACTTGGTATGACTGTCAATCTTATTAACTTGCTAAGACTTGTTTTGTGACCTAACATGAACAATGCTGAAGAATATTCCATGTGTACTTCAGGAGAATGTGTATTCTGTTGCTACTGGATTGAATTCTCTCTACATGTCTGATAGCCTCCCCCCCTTGTTTTTAAGTAAAGCTCAATTCCAGTGTTTCCTTACTGAATTTTCTCCCTGGACAACCTGTCCATTGTTTAAAATGGGGTATTAAATTCTCCTACTATTTTTTAAAAAAATCTTTATTTATTTTTGAGAGAGACAGAGCGAGCGAGGGAGGGGCAGAGAGACGGAGACACAGAATCCGAAGCAGGCTCCACGCTCTGAGCTGTCAGCAGAAAGCCCAATGTGGGGCTTGAACCTACAAACTGCGAGTTCATGACCTGAGCCAAAGCCAGACACTTAACCAACTGAACCACCCAAGCGCCCCTAAGTTCCCCTATTTTTTTTTTAAATTTTAAATGTTTGATTTATTTCTGAGAGAGAGAGAGACAGCGTGAGCAGGGAAGGGTCAGAGAGAGAGAGGAGATACAGAATCTGAAGCAGGCTCCAGGCTCTGAGCTATCTGTCAGTATAGAGCCCGACGCGGGACTCGAACCCACGAACTGTGAGATCATGACCTGAACTGAAGTCTGACAGTTAACTGACTGAACCACCCAGGCGCCCCTAAATTCCCCTACTATTAATTGCTCTCTATTTCTTCAGACCTGTTAGTATTTGCTTAATATATTTAGGTACTCTGATGTTGGGTGCATATATATTTACAGTTGTTATATACTCTTGATGAATTGACTCCTTTATCATCACATAATGACTTTATCTCTTGTTTACTTTTTGACTTAAAGTCTATTTTGTCTGATACAAGTATAGCTACATTTGCTCCCTTTCACCTTTCCATTTGCATGAAGTATCATTTCCCATCCCGGCAATTTGAGCCTCTGTGTGTCCTTGAAGCAGAAGTGAATCTCTTCAAAACAAAAAAATGTGTCTGCCAATAAAGTTGATGTCCCTAATCCCCGCTCCCCAAAAAGAAGTAAATTTCTTGTAGGCAGCATACAGTTGGATCTTGTGTTAAAAATCCATTTATATGTTCTATGTCTTTTGATTGCAGAATGTATTCCATTTACTTTTAAAGTAATTGTGAGAAGCAAAGACTCACGGATGCCATCTGGCTGCTTTCTGGCTGTTTTGGAGTTCTCTGTTCCCTCTTCCTCCCTTCCTGTCTTCCTTTATGAACTGGTGATTTTCCCTGGCGGTGTGCCTGAATTTCCTTCTCTTTATCTTTTGTATATCTACCATTGGTTTTGGTTTGTGGTCCCCATGACATCTGTACAAAATATCTCAGAGATATAGTAGCCTTTTAAGCTGATAACAAGTTCATTTCAGTCACATGCAAAAACTCTTTTACCCCTCCTCACACTATGTTTTTCATGTCACAGTTTACTTCTCTTTATTACTGGAGCTATAGTAATTTTTAATGTTTTTAACTTTTAATTTTTACACTAGGGTTTAGTGATTCACACACCACCATGTTACAGTATTAGAGCATTTGACTATATACTTACCTTTACCAATATGTTTTATAATTTCATGTGTTCTCCTGTTACTAATTGACATCTTTCTTCATTTCAGTTGGAAAAGCTCCTTTTAGGCAGGTCTAGTGGTGATGAACTCCCCAGCTTTTGTTTGTTTGGGAGAGTCTTCATCCCTCCTTCATTTCTGAAGGACAACTTTGTGGGGTAAAGTACCCTTGGTTGGCAGTTTTTTCTTTTAGCACGTTGAATCATCATACTCCCTCCTGGTGTGCAAGATTTGTGCTGAGAAATTTGCTGAGCCTTATGGTGTTCCTTGTAGGTGAGCAATTTTTTCCCTTGCCTGTTTTCAAATTCTCTTTCTTCAGACAGTTTATTATAAGGTATCTGAGTAGATTTTTTGGCTGAAATTACTGGGGGATCTCTTAACTCATGTAACAGGTATCTAAATCTCTTCCCAGATTCAGTCAGTTCTTAGCCATCGTTTCTTTGAGACTTTGCCCCTCTCTCAGGCTCTTCTCCTTCTAGGACCCCAGTAATGTACAGAGTTTTAAAAATTAATGATATCCCATTTTCACAGGCTTTCTTCATTCTTTTCTCTTTGTTCTCCTATGCGTGGGTGATTTCAAGTGACCTGTTTCCTGTTTTGGAGGTTCTTTCGTCTGCTTGATCCAGTCTGGTTGATGTTCTGTTTCATTCATTGTGCTCTCCAGCTCCACCATTTCTGTTTGGTTCTGTGTAGGATACAGACTCAGCTGTTCAGCTAATGGGCTCAGGTGGGGTGAGGTCACAGTTTTGAGGCTTTACCTCTGTCCTTCTGCCTTACATGTGTTATAGCGTCTTCAGAAAAAAGAAGCAGCCCAGAATCTAATTTTCTTCAGCCTCCTTTCATGGGAGGACCAGAGTGGACCAGAGTGGACTGGAGTATGCTTACTAACCTTTTGCCTTTCACCTCACATTTGCAAAGATGGGCATTTTAATATGAGCCCAACCATAAAGAGTTTCAAACTAACATTCTAGAGTGAGCATAATTATGACTATCTCCCCCCTCAAACACCACCCAGAACTTACCTATTTGTGGGTTATTTTCAAACAGTTCATGGACGAGGTTGTCAAAGCCATAGGTGACCCTGGCAGGTGAGCCAGGCTCACAGTTCGAATATGGCACTGTGTCATCTTCATGGTCATGGTCTTGTTGTAAAACTCCTCCAAACGCCCAAGTAAATGCAAACACGAAGAGCTTCTGAATCATTACTTTCAATTTATCAGGATTCTTTTCCAGATACCATGTATTTTCAGCTCTGAGATAGATGCACGTGGAAGGAGGAAAGTTAACATTTTTAGAAGAAAGTTCAGTGATTTATTTCAATATCATGTCCAAGTTTCATTATTAAACATAATACAGTTAGGTATTGACATAAATGTTCTAAGGTTAATGTAGAATTTTCTTTGCTAAGTCATATAGATTATATACTGTTACTATTTTTCTTATTTTTTAAAATGTTTGTTTATTTTTGTAAGAAAGACAGCATGAGCAGGGGAGGGGCTGAGAGAGGGAGACACAGACTCCAAAGCAGACTCCAGGTTCTGAGCTGTCAGTACAGAGCCTGACATGGGGCTTGAACTCATGAACCATGAGATCATGGTCTGAGCTGAAGTCAGACGCTTAACCAACTGAGCCACCCAGGTGCCCCAATATGGTTACTATTTTTAAAGTACCATTAGTGTCAGAGATTTGTAGTCAACCTTTATTTCACTGATTTAGTACATATGATTCACTTTTATTTTAGGTCAAGTTATTAGTTGAGATTTACCTATCTTTTGGGAGAGGATCTGGTATCTTTCCATTTTATGTAGAAACATACAAGCAAATAGACACTCACACTGTCTCCTCTCAACCAAGTCCTAGGGGCTGATTTAGTTCAACCTGGCTAACGGCAGGCAGTGTGAATGCAGGCAGAGTCTCATCTAGTCTGGGCTGACAGGTCACCCAGGTCTGTGGACCCTGAAATTCTGCAGCAACAGGGCTGAAGGTGAGGGGCTGAATCAGGGGTTTGGGCCTGATGTCAAGGCATATAAAATAGTTCAGGATGTAGCATTATCATAAAATTATTTACAAATTATGAAAATCCTAAAAACAGATCACTGAACTGAAATGTACTGGCAAACATTACTCTACGGTGTGCATGCACAACGGTATTTAGTTTCCAGTCCTGCATAACAGTTCATTTAGTGAATATTTACTGAATTCCTACTGTGTATCAGCTACTTCAGACAAAACAAACACGACCCCTTCTTTCCAGAATGAGGTTGTGAACACCAGGCCGTGGCGAGTGGAGGAAAGGAAGAGTTGTGCTTGTTGTGAAGGACAGTTGGAGAGGCCCCACCTCAGCCTGCAGGGAGCAGGGACAGCCTCTGGGGACAAGCAACAGTGAGACTGGCATGAAGAGTGACATTCGGCAAAACGGAGGACGACGAGCATTTTGAGCAGAAGCGATATGTGTGCTGCAGACCATGAGATCAGGGGTCACGGCCAGTTTGAGGAACTAAAACAGAAGCCAGTGTAACTGTGCACAGGTAGTTGGTGGGAGAGACAGGGGATGTGCTCACAGAGGGGGGAGGGGTTTTCACGCTCGGCCAGACTTCCTCCTTCCATTCTGAGGGTCAGGGGAAGTCATTACATGCCTATAAAAAGCATTCTAATTTATTTTTCTTTCCTTTTCTAGTGTATGATTTTTCAAAAGTTGAACGTCTGCATATAAATTCCAGGAGACATGTACAGGCATGTTAATCACAGCAGAACCTGTAATCACCAAAACCTGAAAACAACTTCTATGCTCATCAACGGGTAAGTAAGTGTGACATATTTATATGCTGGACTAGTAGATAGCAGTGGAGGGAGGTGAGTGAAGAATCCCTCCGTGCACAATGAATTAATCAGGAATGTAACACTGAATGGAGAAACATAAGAACACAAGAACATAGCGATTCAAATTTAAAAACATGCCAAGTTGAAAAATGCATTGTGTGGAAATAGACTGATAAGCACAAAACCCAAGTCAGTAGTCATGTCGGACGACGGGACGGTGTGAGGTGAGACGGGTAGGCAGAGGACTTCAAAGATAAATTCGAAGGTTCTCCTGGATCTCTGTGGTGCATATAGGGATGTTTGTATGTTGCTGTTTACGCCTGGCACATATTTTACAAATATTCTTTTATGGCTACTCACCATAGAATAAAAATTAAAAATACTGTATAGCTGCCATGTTGAGAATGGACTGGAGGAACCAGTAAAAACCATATTGAAATGTTCTGTCATTTAAAAGAGAAGGTGACATGAATGTCTCAGGGCCTCATAATAAAATGTAGGAAGGCCTTGACAGTGATTTCCCCATCTCTTTTGTGACGTGGCAGAATTACAGAGCTAATAATTTCCACAGCCGTGATTTACCGAACTATATACCAGGCACTAATCTAGACACCTAGCATGTCACATACTCTCTTCTAGTTTTATAAGAGAGAAAAGCAAAGCTTAAAAACACTTAGTAACTGGTTCAACATTTCTCAGCTCATAAAAGGCAGAAATCATGAAATCAATTCACGTTAAGTGCATTCCTTTCTCACACAGGTACAGAGTCTGCGAGAACGTATTCATAGTATTCAGGTAAGTTAGCATCCAAAGCTGCTGCCCTTGTGTTAGACATACAAGGACTCTGGAATAAAATAAATTTAAGTTGATTTTGTTGTTACGAAGTCCCAAAGGCACTGTTCACTGACCACTAATTCTGTGTTTATTTGACCGTCTGGTACCCAGAAGGTACTTAACCATGTCTGTCGAATGATTAACTGACCTCTCTCCTGTGTTCTTGAATTTGGCAAAAACTTTTGAATACAGAGAAGTTTTCTCCCCTGTTGAAATGTCCTTCAGGTAGTCACCTTAAAAAAGAAAAGAGTATTTTTCCACAGTGAACAACAACAGACCGACAATTTACCTGGTTATTAGCGAGGTCTGACATTCAACACTGTTTCGTTTCTGAACCGCCACAGAACATTTTTCTCGTCACATACAGCTACCTTATCAGACCAAGGTGTGAGCTGCCTTTTGAAGAAAAGAGGAGCAGAGAATGTACCTGCCATTGTCTGAAATGCTTCTTATTCATGTAAACCGTAAGTCTGCATATTTCTTCCTTTATCTACTCTAGCAACTCTTCTGTAAGTTTGATCGTTCTCACACGAAAGCTTTAGAACATTTGGGTGATTACCTCTAAATACGGTGCATGTGACAGACTAGATGACAGATGGGTCCCAATGAAGAGAGGGATTAGAGAAGAAGGCTGTATGCTTTCAGACAATTGATGTAAGTTTGCTGAAACAAACATCCAAAAGGTGCATCTTGTGTAGGGTGTGCTGGTCTCCCTCCATCACCCACCACCCACGTGTCTCATCCACATCACACACACCACGCAGGAGCACAAAGAGTGAGTGGTTATTTGTTCCTCCCTTTAGCTTACTTTCTCTTTTCTAATGCTTGTTTTCTTTATACGAACGTAATACTGGCTTCCTGTAGAACCTACCATTCTATAATTCTACCACCCATGGGGAACGATGATTAAATGTTGATGCATCTCACTATGGCATTTAATAGAATGTCATTGTAATAATTGTGATATTTAAATACAATACTTCAACATTTAAGCTCAAAAGTTAAAAAGAGGGTTGGCTTCTCTTTTTATGTCTGTCTTCATGTCTTTCCGTTGAAATGTGACACTGTCACACCATAGTGTAGGAAGTCATTCTCCTACGTGGAATTCAGATTCTTGTCGTTTTATGATTATAAATAATTCTGCTATAAATAAAGCTCCTTGTGCATAAATCTATATACTTCAGTTATTACTTCTTTATAATGAATTCTTAGAATAAGAGATACTAGGGCAGAGTACATAGATATTTTTAAAAATTTTTAAATGTTTATTTACTTTTGAGAGAGAGAGAGAGAGAGAGAGAGAGGGAGAGAGAGAGAGAGAGAGAATGGGTGGGGGAGGGGCAGAGAAAGAGGGTGAGACAGAATCTGAAGCAGGCTCCAGGCTCTGAGCCCAATGCAGGGCTCAAACTCATGAACCGTGGGATCATGACCTGAGCCGAAGTTGGATGTTTAACTCACTGAGCCGCCCAAGTGCCCCATTGATATTTTTTAATGTATATTGCCAGATGGCTCACCAACAAAGGCTGGGTCAGTTTATACCTCAAGTAGCTTCTGTGAGAGTTTATAGGTAAATATATTTAGCTACTGATGTGTTTTCTCCATTCAAAAATCTCTTATTCGAAAACTGTATGCTATTTTCAAAGAAATGTTCCATTCAAGATCTGTAAGGTTAAACATTTTCAGACTGTTATTGACTGGAAATTTAGTATCTGTGAAAAGAGCCCTGGACCCAGGTAACTTCCACACCTGCCTCCCCTCTATCCTGCCTTGGTCATTGACAGCTTAGCTGAAAATGTTGAGAAAGAGCCCTCCCTGTATGCATAATATTGTAGGGTGTGGAGCGGTCTGTGATGGCAGGAATGCCATTGCATATTTGAGGGTTTATATCTAGTCCTGAAAAATGTTGAGGAATAATTTAAAAAGCTCTTCTTATTAGGTGAAATATATGCCATAGAATGTACCACTGTAACCACTCACCGTGCAGCTCATGTGTGTGGCATTATGTACAGCTTTGCACAACCATCTCCACCAGCCATCTCTAGAACTTTCTATCATCTCACACTGAAACCTTGCAACTTTTACACAGTAACTCCCCATCCCCCTTTCCCCCAGACCCTGCTAATCGCTACTCTAGTTTCTGTCCTTATGAATTTTCCTTTTCTAGGTACCTCATATAGCTGGATTCATACAATTTTGTCCTTCTGTGACTTGCTTATTCTACTTAGTATTCTGCCCTCTGGGCTCATCCATGTTGTAGTGTGAGTCAGAATTTCTTTTTATGGCTGAATCATATCCATTCTTCTGTCAAGAGACTGTCGAGTGGTTTCTGCCTTTTGGCTCTTGTGAATCGCGCTGTTGTGAACATGGGTGTGCAAATATCTGTTCAAGTCCTTGCTTCGGGTCTTCTGCATATATACTCAGAAGTGGAATTGTTGGGTCAAGTGATAATTTATGTCCCATCTGTTTAGGAACAGCTGTACCATTCTCCACAGTGGCTGCCTCATTCTACCTTGTCACCAACAGTGTGCAAGAGTTCCAATTTCTCCATATCCATGTGCAAATCTATTACTTTCTGATTTTAAAAAACTTTATAATGGCCATCCTAATGGCTGTGAAGAGGTATCTCACCGGGGTTCTGACTTAATGCATTTGGTTTTTGCATTTCTGTAAACAATTAGTGATGTTGGGCATTTTTCATCTGCTTGTCGGCCATTTGTATATTTTCTTTGGAGAAATGCCTATTCAGGTCCTTCATCCACTTTTAAACTAGGTTATTTGGAGGTGCCCGGGTGGCTCAGTTGGTTAAGTGTCTGACTTCGGCTCAGGTCATGATCTCATGGTTCATGAGTTCGAGCCCTGCATTGGACTCACTGCTGTCCATGCAAAGCCCACTTCAGATCCTCTGCAACCCTCTCTGTCTGCCCCACCCCTGTTCCCTGTTCTCTCTCTCAAAATAAATAAATAAACTTAAAAAAAGTATATTAGATTGTTTGTTTTTTTTGTTAAGTTGCAGGAACTCTTTATATATTCTGGATATTAATTCATTATCAGATATATAATTTGAAAATAACTTCTACCAGTCTGAGGTTTTCCTTTTACACTGTTGATAATTTAGGGCTAAAAATAAAACTCTAAGAAGGTTAAAAAATAAAGGTTATAACCAAATATATTTTATAACAGGGTTATAAAATATAGAAAGATATCTTTATAAAACTGGGTTACACTATTGAGTTTTGCCCATTGATCTAATATCTGGGGACCTTGGCTCCAATTCTAATCAACTGCTGATTTTTGTTTTCTTTTTATAATGAATATGATTATAGCCTTTGAAAACAGTAATAATTTTGTTTCTTCCTTCCTTTTTTTAAAAATTTTTTTGAGAGAGAGAGCGAGTGTGAGCATGAGCAAAGGAGGGGCAGAGAGAGGGAGAGAGAGAATAGCTAGCAGGGTCGGCACTGTCAGCTCAGAGGCTGATGTGGGGTCAAACTCAAAAACCGTGAGATCATGACTTGAGCCAAAGTCAAGAATCAGGCACTTAACAGACTGAGCCCCGGGCGCCCCTCTTCCTTTTTATTTCTTAGAAGGCTCTTTCCCTGCTCTAACTATTGCTGCGCTGACTAGCACCCCCAGAGACCACAGTGAACGGTAACAGGAGTAGACAGAGCGTTAATAGGAACCGGTGGAGGAGGCCATGGAGAGGACGTGACTGTGGCTGAGCCACAGGCTGGACCCAGGCAACCAGACGTTTGTTATCCCTGTCCTGCCATGGGCGTGCATGTGCTGCCCGCTGCCCCAGTGCCAGGAGCCTTCCAGAGCAGCGCATTGCGAGAACTCCCTGAACGAAGGAGGACTGATTCCCACCAGGGCTTCTGTATGAACATAGGACTCTCGAGTGCGGGTACGCGGATCCGCATATCATGCAGTCCTTCGAGACGGGCCTTGTATGTAAACTCCCTTGCTGAGTGACGCCGCCAGCTACAACCTGGAGTGGCCTCTGGGGCCTCCCTGCCTCCGCGTATGGGGCCAACTTGAACCCCACCCAGGAAACTCTCGACGTTGCAAACCTACAAGTGGTGAGCCGGGCAGGGGACCCAAGGAACTCAACTTGGGAGCAAGACATCTGCGAGGGGACATCTCAGGCCAGCCGTGAACCTCTGCACAGGGAGGGGCGGCCCCTACTCAGATGTGTGTCTGCCGCCACGGGGGCCGAGGCCACGCCATGGCACAGAGGGCACTGGTGGTGGCCGCGAGGGGCCACTGACGCCCAAGTGGGGTCACAGCTCTCGTCAGGAAGCGAGAAGAACCAAGGTGAGAACGGGATGTGCACCTGCCGGGCCTCTGTGGCTCTGGGGCCTGTGGGGGAGGGGCGCTGACACTTCCATCTGTTGGCTTCATGGACTGAGAAGGGCCCAAGTGCCACAGGCCAGTGTCCCAGCCTTTGGATGAATCCTGATGGGGAATCGGAGAGGCAGGATCAGGGACAAAGGGGAGGACGTTCCGCTGACTGACAACGGAACGGATGAGTCGCCCCATGTCATCTGAGCCCTAATCTGAAGACAAATTTTAAATAGCGATTACCCCAGGCATCTGATACTAGAAAAATACACCCCAAAAGTCCTAGGAGGAAAATTTATGTTTTTTCTCTGTCCCGTGAACATGGAAATCTGATCACGTCTTTAACATGTGGATACACCACGAGAGAATTGAACCGCCACCCCCGCGCACCTTAGACAAGAAGAGGAAGGTGCGATACAGATGGCGGGAAAGCCTCTCCCCTGGATCCAGGCCTCAGCCTCCAAGAGGAAGCTCACCAAGGGCAAATCCAGACCTTCAGTCCTCTCCACAAATATATGTAACCTTAACTTGGTCCATCTGTCACAGACACGATTTGAACTCCACTGTTATTCACAAACTAGTGGGTTTTATATGGTTTTACCGGATTCCTGGGTAAATCTGATTATTAAAGCGATCGGGTCTCTGTATCTGTATGTTCACGTATGTGCCTGGAGATATGCTCTGCATAAACAACAGTGCTCTACCTGCAGATAATATTATCAAAATTAATTTAGAAAAGCTCTCTATTTAATTGGCCTAAAGAAAAATAAGCTTTGGTACCAAGAATTAACAAACTGATTATGTTGAAGTCCTCCCTCTGAATGAGGGTTCTAATATGTCCCATTTGGTCTGGACACCACGTGTGGCCCAACCCCAGCTCTCCCCTGTTGCCATGCAAACCAGGCTATGGTCGTTAGGGGATTACAGACGTTGAGCCCCGTGTCCAGTGCCCTTGTCGAACTGACAATGACTGAGGGCCACAATTTAAAGGTCATGATATATAAGACTAGGCAAAAGAACACCAGACTAAATGGAGGATGCACCTTCCAATATCATCTGCAAGCAAAAAGGTTACTTGAAAAAAAAATTAAAGCAGCAGGCTGAATTACAACGGGTAAAATCCCCTTGGCCAGGTAGACTGAAGTACCATCCCGGCCTTTAGGACATCTGAACAGTGAGAGCCTATGGCTCCGCAGGCCACACTGGGGCCCCCAGCCCCAGCACCCCGTAGCATAACGACATAACAGTCACAGGAAACATCCATTGTCTCAACTCCCACCGTGGACAACTGAGCCCCGTCAAGAACACCAAGCCCCCAAATGCCTGGGAAGACGTTATCTCCTAGAATTTGCAATGGGTCATCCACCGAAACAGAGGGGTTCCCTCCCCTGGCCAACAGGTATGTTATGCACAACCAAGTCAAGTTCCTAGAGCTGCCGACCTCTCCCTTCTCAAGGCCAGGAGGCCACATCCTGTCTTCATGTGGCCGCCATCTCTGCTCCCTCCATGGGCCTGGGGACACCACAGCACACACAGAAGCCCTCACCAAGCCCACTCAGCAAGCCTTAAATGACAGCCAACAAAGCTTATCTTTACTGAATAAGAAAATATCTCTAGCGAGAAAATCTGTCTCACAAAATAAGCTGGCCTTGGACATGATTACTATCTAACGAGGAGGCACCTGTACTATTATACAAGCAAAATGTTATGCGTTCATACCTTATGCGTCTGTTAATGTATCATCTTTATTAAATCACACGAACACACAAGTAGAGATGCTAGATGACCGCAGCGCCGACCTGGGGACTTAATAAATCTGTGGTTTGGATCATGGGGCTCTGAATGGAAACAAATATTGTTGCTTATTTTGGAAATCATTATCTTAATCTGTTTCTCTCTCGCACGTGCCTGCAGTGCTCTGTGGTCTCTGCCCTGGTGCAGCCAGACAGCCGCCAAACGGGGCGTCTCCATGTTCGTGAAACGCCTTGCTGACCCCTCAAGGCACGCTGTGTAAGAGGGAGGCAAATAAGGTTGTAAAAACCTATCACAGGAGATGAAATGGTGAAGCAGGTCATCAAGAAGCCACGACTGCTGGTGGCCTCCAAGCCGGACGGAGGTCATCAGAGGTTCCTTCCCCGTCCCTGGTCCTGACAATGTCTGTTCTGCCCCCTTCCTCCACTCGGAGCCATTTCAAGGACGTGGCCTTGAGACAGCAATGTGTTCTTGACGCCATCTGGACTATGTACGTTACCAAACCTTAGTAAGGCCTCTACATAAACTCTTAAAATTCTGGAAGGCAGGTGTGGAGGCCCACTGCTCTACGGCTGCCCGAGACAAACCGCATCTCTAAGTTCCGTTGCTCATTAACCCTGCAGCAGCCGAAGCAGACAGTTTTCATAGGCCAGGGAACGGACAGATGAGGCCTGTCCTAGACGGTTGTCGGTGCGGCCACTGTGGAGAACTGTACGGAGGCTTCTCCAAACATTGAAAATAGAAGTCCACCCCTGGATATTTGCCTAAAGAAAACTGAAAACATTAATTCAAAAAGATAGAGCATCCTTATGTTTCTTGCAGCATTATTTGCAATAGCCAAGATAACCAACCCAGGTGTCCATCCATAAATCAACTGAACGGAACAGAAAACCCAGAAATGAATCCATGACTATATGGTCAGTTAGTCTTTGACAAAGCAAGAAAGAATATCCAATGGGGAAAAGACCGTCTCTTCAACCAAGGGTGTTGGGAGAACCAGACAGTGACACGCAGAAGAACGGAACTGGACCAGTTTCCTAGACCAAACACAAACATTAGCTCAAAATAGATGAAACACATAAATGAGAGACACAAGACCATAAAAATCTCAGAGGGAAATATAGACAGTAACCTCTTTGACATCGGCTGTAGCAACTTATTTCTAGATATGCCTCCTGAGGCAAGGGAAACAAAAGCAAAAATAAACCATTGGGACTTCATCAAGATAAAAACCTCCACAGAGAAGGAAACAATCAGCAAAACTAAAAGGCGACATATGGAATGGGAGAAGATATTTGCAAATAAAGAGTGAGTATCCAAAATATATAAAAAATTGACCTAACTGAACACCCAAAAACCAAATAATCCAATTAAAACTGGGCAGAAGACATAGACATTTTTCCCAAAGACGACATCCAGATGGCCAATACATACGTGAAAAGATGCTCCAAGTCGCTCATCATCAGGGAAACACAAACCCAAACCACAGTGAGATATCACCTCACACCTGTCAGAATGGCTAGAATTAACAACTCAGGAAACAACAGGTGTTGGCGAGGACGCGGAGAAAGGGGACCCTCAGGCACTGCTGGTAGGGATGCAGACTGCTGTGGCCACTCTGGAAAACCAGTGTGGAGGTTCCTCAGAAAGTTAAAAATAGAGCTACCACCCTATGACCCAACAATTACGATACTAGGTATTTACCTAAATAATACAAAAATATTAAGTCAAAGGGGTCTGTACACTGCTATGTTTATAGCAGCTGCTATCGACAATTGCCAAATTATGGAAATAGCCCACATGTCCAGTGACTGATGACTGGATAAAGGAGACATGTATATACACAATGGAACATTACTCAGCCTTAAAAAGAATGAAATCTTGCCATCTGCAATCATGTGGACAGAGCCAGGGAGCATAATGCTAAGCAAACTAAGTCAGAGAAAGACAAATACCATATGATTTCACTCATATGTGGAATTTAAGAAACATAACAAGTGAGCAAAAGGAAAAAGAGAGAGAGAGAGAGAGAGAAAGAGAGAGAGAGAGAGAGAGGCGCAAACCAACAGACTCTTAACACACTGCTGATCACCGGAGGGGAGGGGAGGGGTGGGGTGGGGGTGAAACAGGTGAGGGGGTTAAGGAGGGCACTTGTCATCATGAGCACCGGGAGATGCAGGGAAGTGCTGGGTCACTATGCTGTGCACTTGAAACTAATATAACACTGTATGTTCACTATCTGAAATTTAAGTAGAAACTTAGAAAAAACAGATGAGTGAATAAAGAAGAAATGGTGCACACGTGCGTGTGTGTGCACGTGCGTGTGTGTGTAATGGGATGTGATGGAGCTGTGAAAAAGAATGAAATCTTGCCATTTGCAATGACACGGAGGGACCCAGAGGGCATCATGCTAAGTGAAATCAGAGAAAGACAAATACCATACAATTCCAAACGTACATGGAATTTAAGAAACAAAACAAATGAACAAAGAAAAACCCCAAAAACAAAAACCCAGCTGGCTGGGGGGTGGGGGACCCCGGTGAGGGGATGAAGAGAACACCTGTGCGCTGGGCACAGGGGGATGCTGGGAATTGTTGAATCGCTACCCTGTGCCACGGGAGCGCTGACAATGCTGTCTGTCAGCTCTGTTTCAGGTACAAAGAAGAAAACCCTGGCAGCTCCCAGTCTGGGTTAGGCTGCCTCTTTCTTTGGTCTCTCCTCACCCTCTGGGTACAGATGCCAGTTTCAGATTTCACCCAAGAAACTCCCAAGGTTCTGCATCGATGGGAATGCATCGCATGATTACCAACGAAGATGCTTACTATAGGTTTTTAATGGAAAAAGTCAAGAGTTGAGAAAGTTATCTGTTTTTGGATTGCCAAGTCTCTTTTACTATTTCTTTAATGTTTATTTTTGAGAGGGATGGGGACGGGCAGAGAGAGAGGGAGACACAGAATCCGAAGCAGGCTCCAGGCTCCATGTCGAGCTGTCAGCACAGAGCCGGATGGAGGGCTCCAGCCCACAAATGGGGAGACCCTGACCTGAGCTGAAGTCCATTAACTGAGCCACCCACGCACCCACCAAGTGTCCTTTAACATATAAATGGTACTATTTGTTATTTAAAGGCATTTCTCATTTGTTGAAATAGTGACATAGTTTCTTTCTTTTGAGTGGTTTATTTGGCAAATTATTCAGATAGGTCTAACTTAAATCATTCTTATATGCTGAGGACAAAGTCACGTTGTCATGGCATATCTTTAACCCACTGGATCCAGTTTTCTAATATTTTATTCAGAACGTCAGCACCCACATTTATAAATGGAATTGGTCTATAACTGTCCATTCTGTATTGGCTTGTCTGGTTTGGGGATCAGCTGTGTACAAACTTCATAAAACAAGTTGTGTAGCTTTCCTTCCTTTTCTATTCTTTGGAACAGATTTTATAAGGATAATTTGTTCTATGAATGGTTCGTGAAATTTACCAACAAAATTTAAGGAACTTGGCTCAGTGTTTCGGGGAGGGTGGCAGAAGGCTTTTAAAAATTCAACTTTTGGGGCACCTGGATGGCTCAGTCAGTTAAGCGTCAGACTTCCACTCAGGTCATGATCTCACCACTGGTGAGTTCGAGCCTTGCATCGGGCTCTGTGCTGACAGCTCGGAGCCTGGAGCCTGCTTCGGATTCTGTGTCTCCCCACCCCCCTCAAATAAATAAACATTAAAAAAATTCAACTTTCAGTTATTGTCATATTCAGATTTTTCCTTTTTTAAAGATCACTTGGGAAAATTTATATTTCACTTCATAATTATCCATCTCAAATAAGTTTTCCAACTTACTGACATCTCATTAATATGGTAAATGAGCCAGATATAGACTACTACCTACCACCCCAAACACAGAAGTATGGAAAAAACTATAACAACCAGAGCTCACCACAGCTGAGCCATAAACATGGGGAGGGGCGCTCCTTTCAGGATCAGAAACAAAGAAGAAAGTCAGACAGGACAGTAAATGAAGGTGCATATATCACCCACAGTGCCCTTGGAGGTGTGGCACCCAGTCCCGGCTGCCGACAGGAGCAGGTTTTTATGACAGTCCAGGAGAGCTGACTTTGTGCAAGAGAAGCAAGGTGGTGGGATTAGATTCTGGAATAGACCTGGGGCCGTGCAAGAGCTTCCCAAGGAAAAGGGGGTGAGGAAAAGTCAGTCTGTCAGGGAAGCTACAGGGAACGTCTTTCTGCCTAGATTTCGGGCTAATTAAAGTGTCCCGAGAGAAAACAGAACTTCAGGTACTGGCCCTAACTGTATGCAACCCTGAGATTTTCCTGTAATAAAGTTCAAAAGTGGGAAAATAAGAGACAGTAATTCCACCAGTGGGTATTTACCCCAAGAAAATAAAAACGAATTCAAAAATGAGCCTGCACTGCTACACACACTGTTGCGTCATTTACAACAGCAAGATTCAGAAGCAGCCCGTGTCCACCACAGATGTGCAGTCGAAAAGATGGGGGAACATACACAGTGGATATTACTCAGCAAGATGAAAGGAGATCATGCTGTTTGTGGTAACGTGGACGGACCTGGAGAGGGTGACGCCGAGTGAAAGGAGTCGTTCCTCTGACCGAGTCAGCGTTCAGCCACTTACTGGGTTCCTTCTTCGACCGCTTCCTGCTGTGTTCCTAGTGGCCCTGTCTCCCTGGTGCATCTGAAACTGTGTGTCTGGAGACGGAGTGGACACTTTGCAAGGCAGGAGACTTCATCCATGCTGACACCGCTCTTTCAAATGCGGTCTCTTTCTCGAAGTCACCTGGACTTTAAGGCGTGCAGGGGTGGCAGTGGGAAGAAACACGCAGGGACCTGTTCCTTAACCTGGTCGGGCTTTGCTGCCAACACGGTGTTTTGCTGCTGCCTCTGGCTGGGCGGGGATGTGCTGTCAGGCAAAGGCAGGGACGATGGTCCCCTCAGAGCCACCGGGAGGGGAGGGGCCAACCCTAAACGTCCACTCATTCACGGCGTCCGGCTCTCCCGCTCGGAGCTGCGGTGCTCCCCAATCTGGGACCTTGCCGTCTTGTCGCAAGAAACCTCAGGGGTTTCTTACCATTGCTGTTAGTTTGGTGGATCCAAAGCTGGGTTTTGGAGACAGAGCCGGGAGCCCGTGCTAATGGGCGCTCTCACCGGGAACCAGAGAGAGCCAGGGTTTGAAGGTAGGGTTCTGGCTGCAGAGACCACGCCGTGGCAGTAACGCTCCACTATTTTCTGAATCTTTGCTCTCACCTAACGCGTTTTACTACTTTCCAGGTTTACACCTGTGCATGATTACAGCTTTCTCCTCGGATTCTGGACACATTTCCCCCCATTATTTCCAACGCTAAGGCTCCTTAAAACATGGCAAAAGCATTCTTCCCTAAGAAAGACCCTCTTAGACTTCCTTATCCTTGGTTTTCTTGTGACCCATCAACACATGTATGACATTGGTTTACGTCACGGATATGCCCCCTTATTAGTGATTTTTAGTTTCTTCCGTGTGCATGTCTGCTACCTATTCAAATAGACTAAAAATTCCTGGTCCTCCTTTCTCTATTTTCTCTTGTAAGATTTAATAGAAGGTGATAAATAATTGGCATTAAGTGAGACACAAGACCATTACTTAGAAGGGAAGGAAATCTCACGTTTTCCAAAGCCTCCATTTTCACTCATGAATTCAAAGAAAGCATCGAGAATTCTGCAGAGAGTGGTAACCACTGAGATGTCCTGTACGGGAAACGGCTGACATTCCTGATGCTTCTTTATAAACTGCAGTCCGTCTGTGACACTGTTTTTAATCAAGAATTCAAGATAGCTCACTCCTGTTTGACTCATAAGTTTAGACGTTTTCAGAAGCCACGACTTAACATAGGGCTTCCATCCCAGATCTACAGGATCCTAACGACATAAAGCACAAGGTAATTTTATGTAAATAAAAGCATGGCATGCGTCTTCCTTACGGTCTCTTTACTTCACCACCGCCCCCAGCAGACACAGCCCAGCATCTGCAGTCATCAAGGGGCAGCTGATCAAAGCGGCTTGAAGAGTGACTGTCTCTGAAACAACTTGTGACTTTAACCCTGACCCTGGTCTTCCAAGACAGCCTGCGGTCAGGGGACCATGTTGAGGGCGGGGTGGGGAGGTTACGTGTGGGCGGTGAGGGGGGCTGCCGAGCCAGAAAGGAAAACTTCACAGAGAGACGACACTTAATTTTTGTGTGTCCTCCACCCCTCACCACTGTCTTGGCAAATGTATGTCACAGGTCCAGGGGTGCAGGGGGGTCACAGAGCAGGTGGGAAAGGCGTCAGGACAGTCTTTCCTGCCTGGGAAAGTTGAGGCATCAGAAGCCCATCCTGAGTGTCGAAGGCACCCCTCACTCATGCTTGCGGAACATGCTTGCCATTCCCATTACTGGGTGGTCCTCATTTAAACAGGAGTGACTACGTCCCTTTCACTCCTGGGTTCCCGGGTTAGGAGATGCCAGGGGACACAACAGCCTGCGGGATCCAGAGGTAACCACAAAGCCACCATCAGAAACGCTGCAGGTAACAACTCGTTACTACCCAAAATGGTACGTTTGTTTTGGAAGCTTACCATGTAGACCATCCCACAGCGGCTGACAATCGGAGGACTGGCCTGAGAGAGACTGTCCGTCTCAAAGACCAAACGTATTTTGTCAGTCAAGGCTATTCGCTCACTGTTCGCCAGACACAACATTCTCGTATCATCCAGCATGGTGTTCAGATTTTCTACCCAAAACGTATCCACCGGACCGTCCAAAACAATCCACTGCCAGTCGTAGTCTGGAGAGAGAGATACTTGTAACGTAACAGAGAACCTCAGTCTTCGCGTATCACAATTTCACAAATTCCTTATTTGTTTGGAAAGTATCTTCTAACGAGGTGAATGCGTGCATGCGTCGTCTCTAACATCTGTTAGAAATGACTGCTGCGACCACATGCTTAGCCATTCCTCGAACACTGTCAATGTTCCCAGATTGCTGCTGGTGTAACCGGCCCTGCGTGCTGGGGAAGAGAAGCCCGTGGATCTGTCTTTCCCATGATAACATGGTCTGTAAGCCCCCTTCCCCCCAGGACATGTTTTGGACGTGCTGCCTCTGGGAAATAGAAAAGCTACTCCCTTCGAAGAAAGGATCAAATAGACACATTTTAGAGTAGTTCTCACTCTGGCTCCACTGGCTCTTTTCCCATTCTACAGCACTACCCTGTTCTATGGTTCTAGAATATCTGTTGGTCAAGAAGGGTGGGGAGGAGCGTGTAGGTCACTGTGGAGACAGAAAATAATTAACTGCAGGACGGACAGGACAGCAGCCCAGAAGAGCAGGGGAGAGCCAGGGCCATGAGGCCAGATGCCGAAGGGTCTCTGGGCAGCTGACACACTGGCCTCCAGGCCCGTCCTAAACCCCTGGAAGGGCACCCACTCTGCCCGCAGCCCACACCCCCCAACCTGAATGCCGGGGAGGGACACACACATTCGGGAATTTTAGAACAACAGAAGCAAGGGCAGAAATCCTTCCGAGCCTGGAACATAAACGGACGGGACCGCTGGTGCTGTGGGGCTAGAGGCTCGGCCTGGAGCAGCAAGCTGATGGGGCTCCGGCCCGGGACCTTCTCTTCCTCCGGACCTGGAGCCTCCCACACACTCTCTGTCCCCAGGGGTCCCCACACCGCATACCCACATCGCACATCCTCAATGTGCGCCTGTACCGCAAACCCGCACGGTGCATCTGCACTGCACATGCTCACCGTGCACCCGCACCACACACCCACACGCCCGCACCACACCCCCACACCGCACACGCACAAACCTGCACTGCACACCCATACACCCTCGCTGCATACCCACACACCCGCACATCCGCACCACACACGCAAACACCTGCACCGCACACCCACACACCTGCACCGCGCACCCACACATCCGCACCGCGCACCCTCACCGCGCACTCACACACCCACAGACCAGCACCGCGCATCCACACACCCGCACCACACACACCCGCACTGCACACTCACACACCTGCACCGCATACACCCGCACTGCACACCCACACATCCACACACTGGCACCGCACATGCACAAACCCGCAACTATGCACACACACCCGCACTGCACACCCACACACCCCACATCCACACCGCACACGCACCCGCACCGCGCCCACACCCCCGCACCCCACACCCACACACCCATATCGCACACACACACACACACTGCATACCCACACCTGTACTGCACATACACACACCCCCACCACACACGCACACACCCGCCGCGAACACACACACACCCACAGCGAACACCCGCATCGCATACCCACACACCCACACCACGCACTCACACACCTGCACTGCACACCGCACACCCACACTGCACACTCACATCCTCGCACCACAAGGCAGCACGTGACGCATGCGTAGTTCTGTTCGCATGAGGGTGCGGGGGCTGTTACTTGGGCCGGGAGCGCACACGGTCTGGGGCCGTAGAGAGAGCACTGCTGCGGTTTCCACACAAGACTCGTCTCCACTTTTAACATCAGTTTGCTTCTTGTAAGATACTGACGTCCATTGATAACCTGAAAGGGCTGCGCAGGACCTACCACTTCCGTGACATAACTACGTGTGTGTACACTATGCTGTAGCACGTGGTAAATACACACACACGTACATTTTAAATAAATGTGGGAAAAATAAACAGAATAGGAACAAAACCAAACATTTCTAAAGATACAGAATACTCATTTGTTCAGTTTGTCTTCTCTATTAATGAATTATCTTTACTGAATTTCATAATAACACTTACTCTGACTTTCTGGGATTTTATCATCTTTCTCCATCTCCTTAAAAATATTATCATCAATATCTGCTAGATCAGAGGAATCAAGTTTGAAAACCTAAAACAGGTAATTAAGAATGTTTACTTCATCATACTTTCCAACTCAAATATGTCAATATGCTCTCTTGAGTACTGAAATAGGAAGGCAGAACATTCTGTGGCTGAAAGAACTCCCTGTAATCAGCACAGGCTGGCTTAGCTGAGTTGTGATTACCCGCCATTTTCTTCTAGAAAAATCTTTCAGTTTTTTTCCCCATATAATTTTAGTACATGCTTGTTATATAGCATTACAATAATACCATAAAGCAAGAAAGCAAATGTTCTCTGAATTCCTACCATCTAAAAAGAAACACTGGATATTTTGGTATATATTTTTCCTACACCCTCCTTCACGATAGCTTAAAATTTTTAGGGTAACACACTAAAATAGTGTGTAGAGTGTATCTTCCATTTCCCCAGTTTTTGCCAATTGTACAGGTGTCCAGGCCTCCTCCCTCCCCCCTGCTACGACAAGTTCCTTTCTGGTACATTTTTTCCAATGTAGTTTTCATAGAGTGTCTCCACCATTAGCAGAATTTTTCCGATTTCCATTTCTAACTGGTGTAATTAGAGAATTGTATCATGACCAATTTATCATATTCCTTCTCTATCAATTACTGGAGAAGGCAGTAATAAAATCTCACACTAGCTTTGCACTTGTCAATTTCTCTACAAAATTTCTCCATAGGTGTTTACATGATGTCCTAGACACATAATAGCTCAAAACCACCATCGTTTTCTGCACCCACAGCATGCTGTTTTCCCTTAATTTTATTTATTTTTTTATTTTTATTTTTTTTGTTTATATTTTTTTATTTATTTCTAGGAGAGAGAGAGAGAGAGAGACAGCGTGAGCAGGGGAGGGTCAGAGAGAGAGGGAGATACAGACTCTGAAATAGGCTCCAGGCTCTGAGCTGGCAGTCAGCACAGAGCCCGACGCGGGGCTCGAACCCATGAACAGAGAGATCATGACCTAAGCGGAAGTCGGACTCTTAACCGACTAAGCCACCCAGGCGCCCCTGTTTTCCCCTAATTTTATAGTAATTCTTGACATCTGGCAGATCTCATCACCCAAATTCTTCCCCCTTTTTAAATTCAGGAATATCATGGCCCTTGGTCCTTCTGTATACATTTTAGAATCGGTTTGCCAAGGCCTTAAAAACTACTTTAATTTTCTATTTCAAAACTCAGGGCAAAGCTCCAGTTTTCAAGTGTGGCATTAGCATAAGGACATACAGAGTGCGAGTCCAGAAATAAACCCCTACATTTGTGATCAGCTGATTCTGACGCAGGTGACAAGATAATACAAGCAATGGGGGAAAGAAGAGTCATTTTTTTTAAACAATAGTCTTTTCAACAACTAATTCTGGAACAACTGAATTGGGATCCCTTCCTTGTACTGTACCCCAAAAATCAACTTAAAATGGACCAAAGACCTAAATATAAAAGTGAAAACTATAAAACTCTTAGAATAAAACTTAGAAGAAAGTCTTTGTAACCTTGAATTATACAAAACTTTTTAAAGCTACGATATCAAAAAATCAAGTGACGAAGCAAAAAGTAGATTGAACCTCATCAAGGTTAAAAATTTTGGTGTTTCAAAATGTACCTTTAAGAAAGTAAAGACAAATCACAAAATGAAAGTGTTTATAAATCATAGTCCCCAATAAGGGACTTGTTTCCAGAATATTCAGATACATATGTATATACGTGTGTACATATGTATGTATATGTATATGCATGTATATGCATGTATATTTATGGGTTAGAAGATGGATATATAATATCATTAATATAAAAAATTTAACTTATTAAATCTTAAAATTAATTTAATATTAAATATTATAATATTCACACCCATGATATAGATATAAATATATTTATGGATTAGAAGACTTACTATTGTTTTTAAAATTTTAATCCCAGTGTAGTTAACATACAGTGTTGTATTAGTCTCAGGTCTACAACATAGTGATAGAACAGTTCTATACATTACTCGTATGTCGAACTTAAGAAAAAAGTGGGGGAAAAAAGAGAGAGACAAACCAAGAAACACACTCTTCATTACACTGCCGGGCACCCGAGGGGAGGGTGGGAGGGGGGAAATGGGTGGGGGGATTAAGGCATGCACCTGTGGTGAGGAGCACCAGGTGACTCACACCTGAAACTAATATTACACTGCACAGTAACTATCATTTAAGTAAAAACTGAAAAAAAAAAAGGTATAAAAAAAATCCCCGCTTATCTGTTTGGTTCTAAATGTCATTTTTCCATTAATATATTTTGGCTGAATGAAATTTACTAGTAAGCTCTATAATGAATGAGAACACAACTTTTCAAAAAGCTTTTGCTATTTATGTTTATTCTATGATGGATTTTGTATCAAAAACATTATTCACTTTTACACTGAAGTGTTTTCATAGCTCATTAATTTGTAAGGTGTCTTGGTGCTGCCATAATCACTAGATCACCCTCCCCTTGCACCTAATCTGCTCTGTGTTCCTTTCAGAGCAAGTATCTTTCATTTTGTTTACCAACCACATTAAAAAACAATGGCATATTTTATGTTTTTTTATAGCTTATAATTTTTCTTATTTCCCAAAACTGATTATAATAATTTTTAAATTTATTTTTCTACTGGCAAGTATCTAATAATGCTTAAATATCAATTTTTAAACAAAGAAATAATCCACAATAGTCAAATAAAAACAATCCTTCCATATTAACTTACATTAGATGCATCTGAGATTCTTGATTTCAGTCCAAGATCACTGTCCTTTTCTGAGTACCTTGCAGTATTAGAATACACATAATTTCGAACTGCTGTTGATAATAGTCCATCTGTCCACTCCATAGTGTTAGGGTCTAGCTGTCCATATAGTTCACTAAGAGTGATACACTTTGGATTTAAAACACAAATATCTACTTTTCCTTTTCTTCCTGGAATCTGAAAGAATCCAGTGTGGTTTCTTAACCAGAGTGTAATTATTTACATTTTTCCACTCTTAACTCTAAAGGGTTTTAGGGGAGAGGTTTTTCACTCCAAGGAAAGATACCCGATAAAGATAGCAATTTAAAAGGAACAGCAAAAACTGACTTTTAAAAATTAGCCATAATATTCAAGTCATTATTTTTAAAACTATAAATACTATAAATGACATCCCTGGAAAAAAAATGGGGAGAAAAATCCCACTGGTCCTCATCTAGGAACACAACGTATGAACTGGGATGGGGTGTGTCTGGAGCCAGGGCTAGACATACAGATAAGGGAGAGTAGAAGACAGTTTTAAGCTTCAGGTCAGAGCTGGCACTCACGCAGACCTTCTTTGCTATCTTCTACCCTCTTGGGGGTGGGAGGGCTGCCTGAAGATCTAGGGGGCTGCCTGAAGATCTGGTGTCTATTCCACCGAACTCTGCTCTCAGGTGAGAGAAGTGTCAGGCACTTCCTGTGAAGGCTTCAGGAAGACTACAGACCCACAAAAGCCTCCAACAAGACCCTGTGGATGACTTCACGCAATAGGCCATATGTGGCCCGAGGGAGAAGCTAGGTAGGAGGAATGTTTAGGAAATCAACACACTCAAATTAAGCTGCGTAGACAGGGGAACGGTGAGGGTCAAACTGTGAAAGGCCACATGAGACGCGTGCCCAGGAAACACTTTAGAAGACATGAAACCTTCATCTCAGGCTGATCTTTAGAGTCAGAGCAGGTCCCGCTCATCGGTGAGGAATGAGCCTATGACAGAGCAACTTGGTAAAGGCTGGGAAAGGTGGCTGTTTTTATAAATGCCCCATTTTCAACAAATAGCACAAGGCATATAAAGAAACATAAAAACATTGTCCATTAAAAAAAATAACAATAAATTGACAGAAACCATCCTGGCTGAAGTTTAGTCCGAAAAGAAGTCATAAAACCACTCTCAATTGAGCTTTCTCCCTAAAATCAAGAACAAGGATGGCTACTCTCACCACTTTTATTCAACACAGTCCTGGAAGTCCCAGCCACAGCAATCAGACAAGAAAAAAGAAAGGAGAGGCATCCATATTGGTAGAAAAAGACGTCACTATTTGCAGATGACATGGTATTATACATAGAACATCCTAGATTCCACCAAAACCTAGTTAGAAACAATACATAATTTCAGTAAAGTTTCAGGATACAAAATTGATACAAAGAAATAGTGTTTCTATATACTAATAATGAAGCAGCAAAAGAGGAATAAAAACACTTCCATTTATAATTGCACCAAAAAGATTAAAATACCTAAGAATAAACTTAACTGAGGAGGTCAAAGACCCGTACTATGAAAACGATAAAACACTGATGAAAGAAATGGAAAATGACACACACAAATAGAAAGATATTCCATACTCATGAATAGGAAGAACAAATATTGCTAAATGTTGATACTACCCAAAGCGATCTAAAGATTCAATGTGATCCTTATCAAAATACCAATAGAACTTTTCACAACACTAGAACAAACAATCCAAAAATTTGTAGGGAACCATAAATGACCCTGAATCACCAAAGTGATCTTGAGAAAGAACAATAAGGCTAGAGGGATCACAGTTCCACACTACATGCTGATTATAAAGCTGTAGCAATCAAAACAGCATGGTATTGGCATAAAAACAGACACATAAATGAATAAAACAGAACAGAGAGCCCAGAAATTAATTCACACTTATATGGTCAATTAATCTATGACAAAGGAGGCAAGGGCATGTAATGGGGAAAAGACAGTCTCTTCATTAAATGTGCTAGAAAAATTGGACACCTATATGTAAAAGAATGAAACTGAGCCACTTTCTAACACCACAAACAAAAATAAACTCCAAATGGATTAACTACCTAAATGTGGGACCTGAAATCATAAAAAACCTAGAATAGAACCACAGACAGTAAGCTCTGTGACATTGGCCACAGCAACCTTTTTATAGATGTGTCTCCTAAGGTGAAAGAAACAAAAGCAAAAAGAAACTATTGGGACTACATCAAAATGAAAAGCTTTTTGCACAGGGAAGGAAACCAACACCAAAACAAAAGGGCAACCTTCTGTCTTAATTATAATATTTGCTCAGTGGGAGAAGATATTTGCAAATGATACACCCCATAGAAGGTTACTATACATCTCAACACCAAAACAGCCCAAACAATCTGATTAAAAAATGGGCAGAAGACCTGAATAGACAATTTTCAAAAAAAGACCAACAGATGGCCAACAGACACATAAAAGATGCTCAACATCACTGATCATCAGGGAAGCACAAATCAAAACCACAGTGAGATACCACCTTACACCTGTCAGAATGGCTAAAACCAAAATGACGAGAAACAAGCGTTGATGAGGCTGTAGAGAAAAAGAACCCTCGGGCACTGTGGGTGGGAATGCAAACTGGTGCAGCCACTGTGGAAATGAGTATGGAGGTTCACCAAAAAATTAAAAATAGAAATACCTTATGATCCAATAATTCCTCCACTGGTATCCAACCACAGTAAAGGAAAACACCAGTTCAGAAAGATACATGCATCCCCATTTTTTAGCATTATTTACAATAACCGAGATCTGGAAGCAGCCTAAGTGAATGGATAAGGAAGATGTGCATACATGTAGTGGAATATGGAGCCATAAAAAGGATGAGATTTTGGTCATTTGCAGTAACATGGATGGACCAGAGGGTGTTACGCTAAGTGAAATAAGTCAGACCAAGAAAGACAAATACCACATGATTTCACTTGTATGTCGAATCTAGAAAATAAAAGAAAAAACCCAACAAATGAATAAACAAAAAGCAGAATCAGACCCACAAATATAGAGAACAAACTGATGGGAGGGAATGGGGAAGCTGGCAAAATGGGTGAAGATAAATTGGAGGTAACAGGCTTCCAGTTACGGGATGAACAAGTCAGGGGCATGGAAGGCACAGCACATGGAATACAGCCAATGGCACTGTAATGGTGTTGCAGGCAATAGCCAGCAGTTATGCCTGTGGTGAGCAAAACAGCACACTGTGTAAACTTGTCAGTTAGCCGAGTCCTACACCTGAACTGAATGTAAAACTGTGTCAACTACACTAAAATAATTTTTTTTAAAAAAGAGACTCAATACATTTTGAAACTGTGAAATCATACAAGTACCTTCCTTCAGACACAGTGGCACTGAACTAGAAATCAGTAACAGAATACAACTGGAAAATTTGCTAATACGCGGAAACTGAACAATACACTCTTAACCAATGGGTCAAAGAAGAGACATGCAGGGAATTGCTATGAATGAAAATGGAAATATCATATGCCAAAACTTGTGGGATGCAGTGAAAGCGGTATGAAAAAGAAAAATTATGGCTGTGAGCATCCACATTAAAAGAGGAAAAAATCTCAAATCAACGATCTAATTTTATACCATAGGGAACTAGAAAAAGAAGAGAAAACTGAACCCAAACCAGCAAAAGGAAGGAAACAATGGCTAGGTAATAAGATGAACAAATCAGAGAACTGAAAAACAATAGAAAGAACCCCAAGAAGACCAAATTTCATTGTTTGAAAAGATCAACAAAATTGAGGAACTTTTAGCCAGACTGAGATAAAAAAAATAATAGAAAAGATACAAACAGGGAGTCCGAGCTCATTTGTTCCCACAGACACCCCACATTTACAGCTACATGTGGACCACTTCTCTCCGAAAATGATCTGAAAAGCAGATGACTCGCTTCTGCACAACAAAGGGCCAAAGGGCCACATCCTGGGGGACAGGCGGAGAGGTTGTCTGGCTACATCCCCACCCCGAGCATGGTGGCACAGGAGGGAGGGGGGCCTCTCACCAGGCCCGTGCTTCTCCCAGGGGATGAGAACAGCAGAGGCTTGGTGACCCACATCCGGCACCTTGGCCCCAGGATGCGCCCCACAGAGAGAAGCCCCCAAAACCAATTGGGCTGACATCCAAGAAAATCAAGGTACTTCCAGAAATGAAGACTGGCTTTTCAAGAGCTGCTTGTGGTCTCGCTCACCCTGAAACCCATCAGAAGAATAGCAGTTTGTCACGTGTCTGGACCACACGTGAAGGGGATTTGCCTGCTAATGTGAAAGTGTCTGCTGGGGGGTGGGGGGGCAGGTGCCGACGAGCTAGCCCAGGCTGGGGGTGCTCCCTCTCCCAGCCCTGCTGGCCTGGCCGGGTGAGCGGCGCCATGGCACCCGCCTGCCCCTTGCTAAGCAGCACCCTGCTGCACCGCTGAAGCCCAGGAGCGCAGGCACAGGCAGGGCTCCCTGACTCCCTGGTGGGGGCAGGTAAGGCCCAGGTCACAGCGCTGTCTTGCTTCCGGCTGCAAGCACGGGCAGACGAGGCTGTGTCCCAGACAGAGCACTACTGGAGCATGTGGGTATGCGCCCTTATGCGTTCTCCCGCTGCTCTTCCACGGCTGGTGAGCATGCCCCAACCCTCTACTCTCCAGCTGCCTCCCTACTAAAGCCAGTGGGCACACATTAATCCACATAGGGGACACGCCTTGATCAACTGGTCCTGATGACCAAAGGCGCTGGCACTACTGAGCTCCACAGGACAATCAGACCGTCATCGGCAGACCACCACCGCAGGCCGAACAACCAGCAGACTGACCAGTGTTCCTGTGAAAAGGGCCTATTTACTTAGTTCCGTGACAGGCCTCGGATTTCCCACACACCTAGTGGCCGAGGAGGCACCCCTGCAGAACTGAAGCAAAGACGCCATCTTTGCACACCTCCTGGGCCTTGCTGCCCCTGCCCCTTTGAACAAATCTCCCACTGGAGCCCTGAGTTTTGCAACTGGTGCCTAGGGGACACCTCCAGCGAGGATTCTGATCGTGGCCCCACGGGACTGTATATATTTGCATAATTTAAAAAAGCTGCTGCCCTGGTCTGGTTTTGAGTCAGCCTAAAAGGAGGTATGAATGAGATCCCTCCCCTTGGGACA